CCGCCCTTTGAGGCAATTCGACGCAATAATAAGAGCTGGGTCAAGGATTCCTCGACGTCTTGCTGCTTCGACAATACTCTCTGAAACTGTGAGCAGATTTTCGGTCAGTGCCTTTTTATTATCTACGATGATCCGGCCGGCCTTAAATAGCTCCTCGAAAAGTATACCACCAACCCCCAATGATTCTTGTAATAAACCATATTTATACTGAAAAGGCACCATCAGCATAGGGTCAGCATCTGAGTCGATGTCTTCGGTACTCTTCATAACAGCCTGCACGTGGGGGAGGACTTTGAAGCCGTACTGGAAGTCATTAAGGGTGGATTGGGATTCAGTGAACGAGTCGAAAAGGATCAGTCTAGCAGCCTTCGCCCGCGCATGGCGGAGATAATCGGGGGTTCTTTCTCTCGCCCAGTTATGTACGAGACCATGGATGGAGTACAGCCTCCGAACCTGATCGTCTTTGGTCACTTTGACTAGTGAATAGGCAATCAACAGGTCCATGCCTAATTGCCATCGACTCTCAATCCATTTCCCGGAATCATCGAGAGCCAGCAGATCGGCGAAGGACTCAGCACCGACTCCATAGTCATCTTGATGTCTATCATTCGGACGATAAGTAGTTGCCCTCTTGAGGATATTTCCCATCAGGCCTTCGTTATGGTAGAAGGAGAAAAGGTTTAAGAGCTGAAGCGCATATTTTGCAGCCTGCGCCTTTGAATCGTCTGAAGCTTCGTGGGCTTGCTTGTTGAGAATCTTATACGTGACGTCGAAGGAAGCATGTACGGCTCGGAGGACGGCCGAGCTGGCCGAGCCGCGATTAGAACCTGGTTTATTCAGTAAATCATCATGCTGAATCTCGAGCGCGGCCGCGTACTCTGTAACTTCCCACTGCATCATCCGAAGCGTGGCGGCCGCCTGTTCAATGGCCAGAGGCAGATAACCCAAGGATCGTACAAGTTTCACCCCCTCTCCGCGCACTTTTCCATCTACATTGGCGAGTTGTGCTCTGGATAAGAGTAGCTCGAGTGCGTCTCCTTCGCTTATTACGTCCACAAAGGTTGACCACCTTTGAGCAGGTTTGATGAGTTTGTTCTGGCTCGTGAAGAGCACGGCGCCGTTGTTTCCACCGGGTAGGTACTTGCTCACGTCTCCACGCACATCGTCGAGGACCAGGATCCATGAATGCTCTGTCTTCTCCAGCCATGGTAGCAGTGACCTTGGTGACCCGTCGCCAGCGTAACCGTATTCTGAACAATTCGTGAGTTCCCTAAAACCAGCCTCGATCGTTTCTTTGCTCATCGCATCAACCCATAATATCATGTCAAAGCTAAGAAAACACATCAGAAAACTATACTTAAGGAGTATGGTATTGACTCTTACCAGTGTCCATAAACGTCTAGAAATTTGGAGGCGACCTGCGACTTGCCGACACCAGGTTGACCATATATGAGATGACGTCGCTGGCGATCCGGACGCAGCTTATCTGGGCAAAGGTCCTTGGCAAGCGTATCAACAATATCTTGTCTACCGATGAAGAACTCGCTGACGGGTGGTCGGCTACGGATATCTTTCTTAGGCGGGTCGATCTGGCCGTGGTCGGATTGAGCTTTTGGTTGCTTGCGGTCAGCTTAATTCTACGAAGGCATAAGCAATAACTGAGTATTTACCGATCTGGCCAAGGGTAATCCCTCGTGGCTTTGCCTTGTCTATCAGGATTCGCACAACCTTGTCGATCTCGGACGACTCCTCTTCAATATACACTTGCATGAGCTTGGATAGCTCGTCGAGTTTCTTATACTCGTGTAGGCGGATATCCTCGGCTCCTCTGGGAAGTTGAAACCGAAAGTAAGTGTCTAAGTCGGCTCGTATTAGACGTCGTAGATCCTCATGTACTTCTTCCGTATTTGTGGCTATCTTTTTGAGGTTGTTGATCAGACCGACCGTCTTCTTTATTCCACCCTCGGCCTCCCCGATCGTTACCTCGCCTGAGAACCCGGTTCCCAAGCTGACAAGACAGCCTAGGACGCAGTCCGTTCCGAACAGGGCTGCCGCTTCGTCGACTACCTCTTTTGCCGGGTTGTTACAGCCCATTGCTCCGTCGATGAAGGTTCTACTGTTGTTCCCGCGGGTGAGAACCATAGGGTCGAAGTACGACGGCGCGGCTGTTGTAGCACGAGCGGCCTCCCAAATCTGGACGTCTCTGTAGTCATTCCACGGGTCTTTCATTGTAGATGTCATTTTGTTAAGCTTGGGTGGTCCAAGTGCAAGCGAATCATCTGCCGAAGAAGCTGAAGACCGAGAAGCGGATTTTGATGATGACGAATGCAAGGAAGAGGATGACGAAGGATCTGACGGGGAAGAAACTCCAGGAGAAGTATTTATCTTTAGCGGGGGCGGTGGTTCGTAGGTTCGAAAGCGAGTGGCTTTCCCCTGTCTATGTGCGGGCTGCGAGCAGACGAAAGCTTTGGACCGAGCTTCGGGTTTCGGGTCGATCATGAGCTCTCCGATTTGATGAGTAGCGACCATACCCTTGATAATATCTACAAGAGGCTTCTCGTGAAATGGATGGCCGACCAATATGCCCATAATCCCTTTTCTGTTCTTCTTCGAGAATATCCTCCCCGAGAAGTCGTAGTAGGCCGCGATCGCATCCGTCGTCGTCATCTTGAATCGCGAGAGCAGGATAGCGACAAGCCTGTATCCCCACATCACTTTTGTTAGTGGAATGATCTATCATATATACCACTAGTTCAACGTCTTTTGTTCCCCTCGACGCCTCTCCCCCCCAGGAATAGTAACCAGTTAGGTTCCTTACCCGCCAGTGCTTGTGCCCGCCATGAGATCAAAGTAGTCGCATGGTCTCGGTATGGAGGCCAGATTTTGGGCCTTTTGGACGCGCTTCATAATCTCGTCTAAGACCCTGAGTTCGCATATTCCGCGGATCCCTCCCCCGTCTATCATTGATACAAATGTTAGCTATCTACGCTCAGACAACATCAAATCACGAGTCACATGAATATAGGTGAGTGGATATACCTAATGCAAGTAGATTTACCGGCGTGCCATCGTTTTTAGACATGGCTTTCCCCCCTTCTTTTTTCTATTCCTTTTCCCCCGGAGTGCTCTACACAGATCTAATTCCCTAGAGCCTCACGGTACTACGAGCAAATGTCTATTATCCAAGAAGGGTGAAGATATCTATAATACCAATGTAGACGGCAAGTAAATATAATGAACCATCGCTGCTGTAGCGGCCGGAGCAAAAGAACGAAAAGAAAAGGGTATAATTGATGCCAAAAAAAAACAGCAACTAACAAAAATGATAGCAAGTGAGGCCAACCAGCATAAGGTTGATATATGTATAACATGCACTACGGCCGAGATAAAACGACACATCACATCACAGCCCGACTGGCTGCTGCTGCATGAACATACATACATACATAGGTACATACAGCAAGATCATGTGGACAGAGGGCGGTGCCAGAGACACGGCAGCCCAGCGAGCTGCAGACGACCCAGACGGTCCAATAGGCAACTAAGCGCCCACAGGGATCCCCACGAGCGTTGGTGCACAACGAGTAAATCTACGCGACACCCAAGGGTCGATTGGGCGTCGAGCGGCCCGGTTTGGCGGTCGCTTGGGAAAACGCCTTGCGCGGAGGCTGTCGAACAGCGGTACGTAGAGTGGTATGAATGGACGGGTAGAGAGGGATGTGGGTAAGGGGGATTCGAAGCCTCCTCGGCCCGCATTGCGATCCCCCCTGGGCTCCCGAGGACGAAATATCCCGGCTTCTTTCAGCTTCTGTCTTTGGTAAATGCATGCATGCATGCATACCTATGTATTACACTTATATACGTATAGGAGAATAGGGGGTCATGGACAAGACTGTATTAATCCATATTGGCCTTTGAGTCATCCTTGATGTTGAGAAGTGCCCTTACGTCTGCCCATACATAACGACGTGTACCCCTCGGTATACCGAATAGAGCTGGCGGGGTTGTAAGATAGGTTAGGTAGGTACTTACCCGGTAAACCATACTCGTCAACATTATTTCCATATAAGTTATAACTTGATTATAACAAAAAAAAAACAACAAAAAGAATAATACATCAATGCATTACCGCCTATTTTATATACATATTGTGAAGCTTGAAAGCACCATAGGTAGGTATTTATAAACATCGTGAACTTCCATAGGTTATTAACGGCTCGGAACGGACCGCAACCCCCGCCTACAATAACTAGCGGACTTTAGGTACCTATACACCTGCGAAGGCAGTGCAATTTAGCTACACACTTAGCTTAGGTACCTTTTAATCGGATCTCACTTGAAAAAAAAGAATGAAAAAAAAAAACATGAGGCATTAACCTATAACTAAACAACTAATACTCCTTACTTGCCTTGACCGTATATTTGTTTGCCAGTTGCAAACCCACATCTATCTTAACATCTCGTGTAACTAACCCAACCTACCTGTTAACTATCTCTAGGAGAGAAGACCTTAAGCGCCCCTAATTTAGTGCCAGCGTCAACAAAGCATCCGAACGTTAAACACCTGCCGGTCCGAGGCCGCATAATAACGAATCGGCCTGCACGCTTCATACATACCTACCTACCTAGGTACCTACGTAGCAGCCCAAACTCCCGGGAAAATATGAAACATGGTAGATAAACGATAAAATCCTGGGAGCGGACTACGATCTGGTAAAGTTGTATGCTTAAAATAGCACGAGGTGAAGACTGCTATGTATGTACATGACTAGGTACCTACACCTACGAGCCGTGTACGGGGTTCGTATTGAGAGTGAAGGACTATTTATGTAAAGCACTGGAGACGTACCAAGATAGTAGCGAATTGAGTCAATAATTACACAAATATCATATTCGTAAATCATAGATATTGATTTCGTTTCGCCAAAGGAAATTCGTAACATGCATCTATATACTCGTAATACCGCGCTATAACCCTTAGTCCTGTCTTCGGTACCTATTCACGTATATACAGGTCCATCGACCGCCTCCTCCAAATACCACGTCGAGTCGACGTTAGGATCGAGCTCCCTAGCCGAGAAGCCGTTACCCAAGTAGTGAAACCTATTGTGCGCCGGGTTATCGTAGACGTAGTCGAAGTCCTCGCCGCGGAAGTGTTCGAGCATTTGGAAGAAGTGCACACGGCTGCCTGGGTGTAGAGCCGTGACGGGCCCGTCTTCGGTACCGCCCTTAAACCAGGATTTACCTGGCGATGCCCATACCGTGCGCGGCATAAAAGTCGTTACATGCTGGCTGTAGTCGTCTACCGCTGCGTCCGACGGCACAATCGCCTTAATGCCTTCTTTCTGACACTTGGCTATTATGCGAGTGATGTATCTCGCGATGTGCTCGCTTAAGGTAAAGACGCTGCCGTGGCCTATAGGCCCGTTGGGACCAAGGAAGGCTTCGAGAACTTGTTAGGATAAAGTACGCAATCCTAAAGCCAGGGCTATTATGGATTAGGTACTTACTGAAGTAGTTGGGCACGCCGGCAAGTGCGCACGACATGTAGCCTTTCGGCGTCTCTGTCTTCATCGTGTCCTGGACGTTACCATGTCTACCAACGATGGGGAAGCGCGGAACGAAGGAAGTGTCAAAGCCCGTAGCGCAAATTATGGCGTCTAACTTGATCACTTCGCCCGACTCGAGTTGAATGCCTTCCGGCACAACTGCGGCGATCCCTTCCGTGATGACTTCTATATTCGGGGCCCTGAGAGCTTCTAAATATCCTGGCGCTGGCGTGATTCTGCGGCATCCCAGGGGGAACTGGGGGATTAGGGCCTTGCATAGCCTTTCGTCACCCCCTAGAGCTGCCTTCATATACTCGGCAACCTTACTGGTTGCAAACTTCTGCGCCGGGCTGCCGTTCACCACCTGCGCATGAAAATGTCAGTGATAATATTATCGAGGAGCCGGGAGTAGGCATGTCCTTACGAGTGCGAATGCGCCGTTGCTATCTTTCTCGATTGTTTTGATGAATTTACGGTAAAATGCTGGATCCGACTTGAACCTCTCGATTTGTCGTTGCGTAAAGTTCTCCTTCTCGTCGAGCTCTATCTCGCCAAGGATATCCTTAGCAGGTCCTCCCATCACCTTCATCGACAGTATTCGTGGGGGGATGATCCATGTCGGAGTACGGACGAAATGATATAGCTTTTTGACACCTACTAGGGGTCAGTTTATATTGTAGTGAGCAGAATAGGGGTCGACTGACCTGGCTGGATTGTAGGTAGTAACTGGATTCCCGACGAGCCATTCCCAATCAAAGCAACAGTCTTGTTGGTATAGTCGAAATCTTTAGGCCAGTTGGCAGTATGCATTAAGTTTCCCTTGAAGTTATTTATCCCCGGGATGTCTGGCCATTTCCAGTTACTGGAGTATCTTTATTAGCAGTGCGTTCTGCGCAGGCGGTGTGCTCTATAGTCGATGGTCTATCTTACTTTAGTATGCCTGATGCGTTGATGAGAAAGTTGGCATTGTCTCTGAACTCTTGGCCGGTCTCAAGGTCTACGACACTTAGGTCCCAAAGCCCGCGGTCCTCGCTCCACCAAGCACCTACGACCTTGTATCGAGTCTTGATCACGTCTGACATACTCTCTTCTTCGCATATCCGGTCTAGATATTGCTCGATCTCTTCAGCAGGCGCGAAGAAATTAGACCATTCGGGATTTGGGCGCCATGAGAACTGATAATTATGACTTGGTACGTCACATCTACATCCCGGATAACGATTCTCGAACCAAGTTCCCCCGACTTTCTCGTTCTTTTCGTAGATGACGAATTCGTAGTTGGCTATGTTTCTCCTAAGGGTCCGTATCATATTTATGCCACTGGCCCCCGCACCAATACCTACGATCCTGACATGTTTAGTAGTTCCGAGGGGTGCCTCTTGGATTGTGTAAGGTGGCTTTGATATGATCCCAGGAGCATTAGTGTTGCTTATACTCTGTTCACCATAGTCTGGTACGTGAGGATCTTTGCGGTTGGTCTTATGGCGTGTCATGCTGCTTGGGATGGTAAGAATATGAGAAATCCGACGCTGTAATTTCGTAATATCTCTCATATTCTCGTGTCTAAGGACACACAAGCTTTATACCTGGGCTTGAACCTCGATTAAAGCCAACTAGTAGACGTAAAATCGTATCATCTAGTACCCTTGGCGTGATGGAAGGCTTAGCTGAAAGCGGATACAAGTAGGAGGACCAACCAAAGCTTATACCTAGACCTTGTAGTTCTAGAAATGGCAAATAAGTTGGGTAACAGGGAGCCGCGTATTCCAGCCTACCATCAGAGAAGGAAGCTCTCTTTTTAGTCGTTTACTATGTCAGAGAAGTAACCTGCCCGCTATCCGTTCAAAATGCAATCTATTTGTTGCCCCCCTCAACTCATCACATTGCGTATATGGCTCATGTTTGCGTCTCTAACTCGGGCTGTCATATATTTATTTACAGCCATCCCCCCTGCCGGGATACGAATAAGAAAGCAGTCCATTGTAGGTAACGGAACTGGTTCGCCACGATAGTCGAGATGAAATAAGACGAATTGAGAGCAACCCTAGCATTGACACGCCAAGTTCTTTAACTAGGAAGCCAATGAAGAGTTGTCTGATAGGTCGTCTTGCTTGGTTATCATGAATGGGGTCGGACGTTGTATCGTATTTTAGCCAATCGCCCATTGTTCGTGGAGGGGCTTCCACGTTCCTATAGCCGTGTCCCATAACTGTGCTGCACTGTACTTGGACTGATAGACATTTGTCCCACTGAGGCGTGCATCTACCAAACTACACCCCGAAGCAGCCGAGCACAATGGGAAGTTTGAAGAGTTTGAAGGAGCAAGGTCCCTGAAAGAATCTAATTCTCGAGTGCATACCTGCATATCCTGCATATGAGGTACATGTGCAATGCAAAAGATGTGATCTAGTGTAAGATGTTGGTCGTTTGTGTTGGTTGACCAATGATCACGACGGGCTCAATGCCTCATGTGTAAAAATGTTGACATAGTGTAAGCTCGGAGTTACCATAAAAGATTCAAATTGGGGTTTGATCTGGTTGCGATGGTCAATTACCTGTCAATTAGATCCCCGCATTATCCAGCTTTAGGTAGGTACCTTAGGTACAGGTATTGTACACCAAATCAGGTACCTAACCTACGAGGGCGCAGCTCATCCCAAAGTTATCCTTGACCATCAACCCAAAGTCTAACCCAATCAGGCATATGTGGACCATTTTACACCATAATAGTACTAGCGCACCCAAAACTCAACTACCATTTCACTAACATTATATTTATGTAAATATACGCTTTTATACAGCATTATAAGACTTAATAAAATAAAAAGTTTATTTTAAAATAAGTAAAAGATAAAAAATAGGTAAGCGCATATCTAATCAATTTCTAATCGATTAGGAATTGATTAGATAAAGCGCGCTAAAAACCTAAGTGCTTAGCGCTATAATACAGGGAACTTAGTGGTTATAATGCGCTGTAATTACAGGGCATTTAGCCTTATTCTAATGATTAAAAATGCTAAAAACTCACCCCAAAGTCGTACAAAGCTCACCCCAAAGCGGACCCCGTCAAATGCAACCAATCAAAATGTTGGATCTAAGGCCCCAGCTTTTGCCAAATCGGGTTAGACTTTGGGTTGATGGTCAAGGATGACTTTGGGATGAGGTGTAGACTCCTAACCTACCTAAGGAGGTAGCCAAGCAGCCTCAAGTACCTAACCTACCGTACCCTAACTAATCGCACGCATTGTACATGTACATACCCACCTGTCTGTATCTCGTTTTCAAGGGTCTGAAAATGCACTTTTAATTGTACATATTCAAACCTTAGATAGGTAGTGTCCACTCGCCTCACCCTTACAGTGTCAGACATATGATAAGGAGGCTGAGATATAATTAACTCCTGCACCTTCTCGATATGTCCGGTCAGTTTTCTTTTGGATTTTCCGGCGACGATATAGAGGATGACGGGCAGTCAAACTCTGCAGGCCCACAGGTCAGCGCATCTACGCAGCCGCAGGCGTCGGCTAGTGCATTTCCTGTGCCAGGAAAACCTTTACTCCCGGCCACCAGTCATGACTTACACCACATGCTTTCTCAGCTACCGTCAAAAATTGCTTATGGCATCTTGGATATTGATCTAGACGGTGCTGGGAACATTCAGCTCCCCCGCCGAGAGCTATGGGACGTCCGGGTTCAGCTCATGGCCGAAGATGACGGAGGTGATACCGAACCCGGACTGGGCAATCATGATGTGAAGACCGGAGTCTATGAAGGCGGATTTAAATCCTGGGAGAGTAGTGTGGATCTCGTCAAGGTCCTCTCGCTGTCGAAATCCTTCCTTTCTGACATAGACACGGTCCCGAGGTTGATCGAGGTAAGTCTTCTCGGTCGTAATCGGCAGGTACCGCAGAAATAACCAACTAGACATTTCTAGCTCGGTTGCGGCACGGCTCTCCCCTCATTGGCGCTCTTCCAGTGGAGCCTCAGTCTTCGGGCGCCTGAGAAGAGCTCTGCTCTCTCCATAGTCTTGGCCGACTATAATCCAACTGTCCTACAGCTCGTAACACTGCCAAACTTTGTCTTAAGTTGGGCTCTTCATCAACGAGCAGGTTCGCCCCTGCTAGAAAATGCCTTCTCATCAGAGGGGGAGCTAGATCTGACACCAGAAGTTCTTAAAGCCTTCGATGAATTCCTAACGGCTCGCAAGATCTCTCTTTCATTCTTTTCAGGCGCCTGGTCTACCGAGTTTATCCGGCTCTTGAACTCCGATAAAACTCCCAAAATAGGGAATAACTCCGGTCAGCGAACAATTATACTTGGTGCAGAGACAATTTATTCCCCTTTTGCTCTCAGCGCATTTACGCAGACCATATTCTCTTTGCTCGAAGAGGAAAAGGCGCAGGGTAATGCGGCCGAAGCATTAGTTGGTGCCAAAAAACTCTACTTCGGTGTGGGTGGCTCGTTGGACGACTTCGTTACGAAGACTCGAGAGATGGGTGCCAATGTTGAAGAGCTCCGAGAAGAGGCGGAAGGCGTCCGTCGCGGTGTTGTTCGTTGCAGCCTTCCTTAAAACATCCATCATAGCTATCCAAGGCCCTAGGTAAATCTATGATAGCAACGGACTGTAGCTTTAGGAATCGTCAGATCCTGAGCCATAATCAGAGCCGCCTATCTCGAATACCGAGAATGTATCTTGGGGTCACAAAACTGCTGTTTCCTCATTAGAAATCATCCATCAAGGTTAATGCATGAATCGACATCTATAGCCGCAACCTTATAGTTGAGCCAATGGATAATGGATAAGGGCTGGCCAGCATCATGTTTCAACTTTCTGATTTTGCCTGCTGGAATCACAACGTGTGGGTAGCAAACCTAGAACTGAGTTGATCTTCAATGCAAATGCCGGCACTAGTAAGACACCATCTTGTTCTTGTAATACCTATCTGTATGATCAAGGAGGGCAAACTAGCCAACAACATGTTGTTTCCTTGGAGGCGACAAAACAGAAATGAAACATCTTGTGTAGACAATCTCCTAGGGTATTGTTAATTAGGTTTTAGTTGAGCCTTGTCTCGATCATCAGACTCGTAGAAAATCATGCTACGAACGTTGAGGGGTGTAGATGGTTAATAAGAGGCACCTTCCGAGGTCATTTACAGATTCGGGAGTGGTTGGTTATAGTTGGTTATGGTTATGGAGAACCCCCTAAATTGCATATCGGGTACCTGGGGAAGCTGCAGGGAGGGTTCTGGCCGGGAGCACCCCTGTTGTTTAGATACAATTGGGTCTTCAATGCAGGAACCAATCACCTAAGACTGACAGCCTAGACATATGTAGCGTGGATTTGGCGAGATTGCACGGCCCCACATATCTGCTTTTGGTTACACAGCTGCACGGGTCGAGATCCTGCCGCGAACCGGACTTTGTATATACTTTTATTGTCGATACCTGTACCTAGTTTCCCCTTATTAGCAGACCTCGTTGGATACGTAGGTAGACAATGTTTGTAGATCCTGCTTGAAACCTAAATGTAAATGAGTTGAATGATATTATAAATGTTGAATGCCCTTTGTGCATATGCAGGAGATAGCTACCCCAATGCGGCTCTAAATGAACTGGTAGTACATACCTATGTACTAAGTTGGCAGGCACTGCCGAATGAAATCATACCTATGACATTTTTCATAGGCGCATAATACGCAGTGCTAGCGCACAAGTCCCTGGCTGTGTGCCCAAGGCTATATTGTACGTCATGTTCTGATCTTGGCATACGCAGCATTTTTACTGCATACCTGGGTAGGTAGGTATGTTTATATAATTCGGGTCGACTTTTAGGTATGTAGTCGGCACAAGTAATTAAATTCGTCATGCCTGGGGCTGGGGGAGAATCTTGGAAAGAAAGTACTGGGTAGCATTCAATAGGGCAAAACATTGGCGGCAACCGCAGTATTTGCCCAGATTAGGTCTACGTAAGGCCCAAGGCTTAGCGGGCGGAGATAATTGGCTGGAATTGATCTATAATACTACGCAACATTCGACCAAGATTAGCTCTTTTCTCGAAAAGGAAAGGCACATGGCTGGGTGAAGATTGGCAAGGTTTCCTAATTGCATATTTCTAGGTAGGTTTGCCATAATTAAGCTAAATTGGGATTAGTCAAATGGAATTTTAGCGGTTCCTGACTTCCAAAGTTCGTGTGCTATCGCAAGTCCATCTTGTATTTGCGATTGCCAATTTCCCCGGAGACGCGGCCTTGCACTTTCCTGGCCTGTTGACGCACCCAAGTTGGGCAAGAACCTTCTCTTTTTTATTTCGTGCCAGCTGCTCACCCGAGCTTCCATTCCTTTTTCAACCTTCACACGCTCATTATCCAAATCCGATTCTCTTGTCGCCTTTTCGCGTACAATCTTCTAATTCCAACAACATCGGTAAGTTTGCTATTTGTCTTATGTTTTATATAGCCCGCGAGAGAAATCCCACATCACATCAACCCACTTCTACTTGTTGGCCTGCTACGTCGCGACGGTCTTTAAGATCCCAATCGGCAAGTGGAAGGTTATTATTTACGGGACTGAACCACTGAAAATCATCTTACGTCTCTACGGATAACGTCAATTACCGTTGTCGGCAGGCAACATAGTTATTATCGTGTGAGCTCTACTAATCTTGTTCTCGTTCCTCCACAGATCATCTCGTCACTCTTTAAGTACTTTGATACTTTCCACCACGAGCCAAAATGAAGGTCTCTTTCATCACTACCATCCTTGCCGCTCTCCCGGCCTGGGTCAGTGCGGTCGCCATCACCAACACCAACTTCAACGGCATCCAGGCTGGCAAGGCTTTCGAGGTCACCTGGTCTGATGCTGTTGGCCCCGTTTCTCTCACCTTGAAGGATGGCCCCTCTGACAACCTCAAGACCGTCTCCGAGATTACCTGTAAGTCTTACAAAAACCCGATAGCCCACTCACTGGGCCTATTGCTAACAATGCACAGCCGGCCAGACTGGCACGAGCTACACTTGGGTCCCCTCTTCCTCGCTGCCTTCTGGCACCTACGCCCTCGAGATCAACGACGGCAGCGAGGTGAACTACAGCCAGCAGTTCGAGATTTCAGGCGGCTCCGCTAGCAGCAGTTCAGTCAGCACCACGGCCTCGCAGACTAGCACGTCTTCGGCTGTCTCGTCGACTATTACCTCTAGCAGCGCCACCGTCACTAGCAGTGAGACTTCTTCGACTCCTACTAGTTCTAGCACGTCGTCTGGGTCTTCTAGCTTCACTACCAGCGCCAGCAGTGGTTCTATCACCTCGTCTAGCACCCATGCTAGTTCCAGTAAGTCAAACATATATATATGCGCCTATTAGATTTAGCGAGCTGACAAGTTGTAGCTTCTTCCGCAGCCAGGACCTCGTCTGCTACCTCCGCGACAGCCGTGCCCAACACGAATGCCGCTCAGACGGTGGCTCCGTTTGTGGCCCCGATGCTTCTCGCAGTTGGTGCGCTTTTTGTGTAAGCGCATGATATGATTCGCGTTCTTCAACAAAAGTAACATGATTCTCCCGGTCCGGATATTTTCGTTGTACAAATACGCTTTTCGCCTCCCGTGTAATGCCACGCACTGATATTGAGGCTTAATGGAAGGGAACATATGATTTAAGAGCTGTTGCTATTACGGGGATTTCGACGTATGAAGCGTTTTGGGACTACTTCGTTGTATACGTATAGTATCCCAGATCAATGTATAATCTTCTCAGCGACAGGTAGTCTCCGTCGCATAGTCGTGATAAGATCCATCTGCTAGTACTTGATGAAATTGATGAAATTCAGATCCTTCAGTTAAACTACGGTCAGGGGCACATCTGCCAAGGCTATCCTTCTCCACTTGGCATACCTGATCTAAGACTTCGGTGCGGGAACTCGCATGGTCCAATAGGAGAATAAGCATGCGAGATAATTCCAATGTCTTAAACTTGCAATTAGGTAGCTGCTAAGTACATAAGTTGTATCTATGATGTACCTTGTATATGGTGGTGCCTACCTATCTAAGTTAACTCTTGTTTAGACTGAAATGTACCTATATCCTTTGCGTGTAACCAGATGGAGATATCAATTGGTACCTATTCCATGTAGGTATGCTCTTCTTTTCCTAGCGTCTGCTGAGTAACGTAGATTGTACCACTATAAGCTAGGTACCTATGTAAGTAGCTCAAGAGGACGACATACCTATGTACATTCCAACGAAATAACAATAATCCTATGTATGCTATGCTATGAAGCGGTCATTATAACGTCCAGCACGCATGTATAAATAGACTTATAAAATGGGTGAAACATTCCTATGAAATTGCCTTTGAATCTCCGCGTGAAGAAAATCATACAAACTAACCTAGCTTCTTCTAGAATAAAACCCCCTATTGCCTACTCTAGCCACCCAAGGTAAACTAGTCTAGTACAAACAAATGAATGTATTGTTGATAGTCGGAATATGGGCTTTAAAGTACCTACACATAAGGTACCTAGGTAGATAGAGGTAGGTAGTCAATATTCCCAAATATTTTCGTAGCCGGTATTCCGGATGATCAGGAAGAAAAAATGAATGTACAAATTAACTCGCCGTTACTCGACATGTATATAACACCGTCACCAAAGCGAACACAAGGGTCTTAAGAAGCCTCAATAAATAGATAGCAACCCTAACTACCCAGGTAGTCATTCCCATAAACTCACGAGCTTAACATATATACTAATACCAATTTCCTATCCTGTTTTCAACATGCTTGCAATAGACATCCCGTAGAGAGTGAATGTCTTCGGATGCAAATCCACACTTGGCGCATATTAGATCCTGTAGTCTGGTAGGTAGGTAGTTAATCGTCTAAACCTCAGCGGCCTTTCCAGTCAACTATTCTGGCCTTGGTGTCGATATAAAATACTCCGACGTTTCCTAGCATTCGGAACGCACGAGGTCATACAACTTCGTTATCCCTACCGCTAACCCCCTTTTCCTCCATTTTTTCATTATATCATATTTCGTCTCCTCATTCTCGATATTTATCAGCCTACAACCCTTTCTACAGTAAGTGGCCTCCTTAAAAGTCGATCTCGCCACGGAACACCTCGGGGTCGACACCAGGAAGAACCTTCTCGGCAAGATCCCTGCGGCCCATCTGCGTGAAGACGCGGCGCAGAGTGTCGTACAAGTTGGTACTCCGGTTTTGGGTGGTCATTGCGTCGAGCTGTGCGTCACTGACGCCGCCGCCTAAGAGTTCGCGAGCCTTCTCACGGCCCTCCTTCTCCACCGTCTTGTGCATGCTGAGCGCTGCCAGCAAGTGGCCTGCCGCCTCCGCATGGCATCCCATGTTAATGCAGCTCACCCCAAGGTTATACCGCGCGCGCACGAAGTTAGGCTTCAGCGTCAAGGCTTTCTCGTACGCCGCGATCGCGTCCTCGCTCTTGCCGCTATTGGCCAGCGTCGCCCCTAGACGGTTCCACAACAAATGCACCTGGTTTTGCCGGTTAGACGCCCCAAGCTCGGATGACGCTAACGCCGCCGAAAAGCAGTCCACGGCTTTGTCGTACTCTTCAGCACCGTAGAATAGCACGCCTAGACCTACTTGCACATCCGGATCCATGTGCTCGCCGTCTGGACTGAGCCGAGCAGCCTTGATGAAGAGTTGCGTAACCCGGTCGTGAAGCTGATGGCGTTCTGTGAAGCCTAGATCAGCCGCAGAGGAGAGGTCACCAGGTGAAATGACAGAAGGGTATCTGGTGGATAGCCATCGCTCTAGGGTTCGGTAAGCTATACTATCATAGCCTTCGTTCGTATAGGAAACCGCTAGGGTCATGAGTGCGGGTGCGTTATTCGGGTCGAGGTTCTTAGCTTGCTCTAATGCCCGGATAGCTGCCGTCTCCTTCTCGTTTTGCGCCTGAGCCATACCGAGCTGGACCCACGCGTCTACGTGTTTCGGATCTTTTTGAACAGCGGCCTCAAAAGCTAGAGAGGCTAACGATAGATTGCCACCCTCGTCAACGATCCGCATACCCTCCTCAAACGGGTTTGCGGTGTCCTTAAACAGATTCTCCTCTTCGAAGAGATAGTTCTCTACATCAGGGTCGCTCATTAACCTGCTATTGGCGCCAGGCATACCCCAGTCTCCAAAGCGATCGGCCCAGTCAGGATCCCCTAACTGCTCAACCCACTCTTCCTCGTTAATAGCTTCCTTAGCGGCGGCCTCCTCTGCTCGGATGCCTCTCCAGATAGACTCGAAGTCTCCAAACTCGTTCGTTTCCGACTCTAGGATCTGCTCGTCTAGCTTATTGAGCTCGGGCTCAAGGGCAGCAGCCTCATCTTTTTCTTTAATATCATTCTCCTGTAGTTCGAGTTGCTTGAATTGTTCTTCCCATTGTTGATCGTCTAGTTCCACTACCTTTTCTTTTCCCTTCCCTTTATCTTGAACCGCTTCTGGTGAGAACTGCTGTTGTGGCATAGGACGGTACATGGGCATTCCACTCATACCGTAGCCCATACCCATGCCCATGCCGTTCATCGTTCCCATTCCCATCATCGGGTTTTGATACTGCATGGCTGAAGGCATGGGACTTGCTCGGGATGAGTTCGCTTGACTTGTCATCTGCTGGAACTTGGCATAATCTTCGGGACTGAATTGTGTGCCCTGGGGGACCTTGAAAGCGGATTCCATCGCTGCCTGTGGGTTCTGCTGGAATTCGTTCGCCCATGCTGGTGAAGTCGAGTTCGCTCGTAGGTGAACACCGTGCGAGGGGTGATCTAATCGTATCTGATTCATGCCCTCAAGCGGCATGTCGGGTAGTCGGCCATTCTGCTGCAGAAAGCCGTTCATCATCTATGGATATGGATATGTACTATTAGCTGATGCATTCGTGGTAGACAGCTATTAATTAGTATTCATACCTCATCTTGCGGACCATGCTGTGCGGCACTACGAAAGCCGCCCATGCCACCCTGAGGAGTTCCATTTCTAATACGATCTCTCTGTAGACTGTTGTCTTCCTGGGTATGTTTTGCAAACTGGCTGAGAGGGTTGCCCGCCGTGGAGCACTCAGGCCCGCCACCGAGGAAAGACATGTCGGAAATCGGAAGTCAGAGGGGGATTTATGTACGATCTGACGGATTGAATTTGCGGATGGAACTATGCGCCGAACTATGCTATAGCTCCTTAGTAATGGGCGATAGTAATGGAAGATTTAGAAGATGTAAACAATGCTGATTACTACAATCAAGTCAATGTCGGAAGGTGGTGGCGGAACTTGGTGCACTAGGGTCTAGGTTAAGAATTTATCGTATGAAGTAGGGAAAAGGCACAGGTGGTCACCTAACCTGGACGTTTTGAAATTTAAAAATGATGTTTGAAAAAGGAAGGAATATTCACATATAGATAAAAGATGGGTGAATTTGGGCGAAATAGACAAAATGGTTTACTGTAAAACTTTATTACAAAGCCGTTTTGACAAGGAGGTGACCTCACAGCGTACCTACCTTATTATTATGGTACCTAAATGGCCCAAGATGCCGAGGAAAGCCAGAGGCCAGCCACCTGTACCTACAATACCTACGGTATCCGCCGAGGTCAATGATTTGCCCCACCAAAAGCTTCGTGGTAACCTTCCATTTGACTGTACAACACCTAGCGTGATAAGTGGCCCGTGCAAAGTGCAAATAGTACCTAGGTTAGGTACTTATGTATACCGTTGGCTTCATGAAAAGCCTCAAACTGCGAAATGTCCACAACATGTTACATTTACCATGTCACATAAAGCAAGCAAGTATTAGAGAGAGGAAGTTTTACATTCAGTTTCCTATGAAACCAAGTTTCGTGCTGACTACCATATTTGATAGAGGCAGCTCTTCTTAAAAAGAACTTGAACCCATGATGTTACATACAATAGCTTTCCATTCAATTGATGAATAGCTGCTAGTAAGGCCTGATCCATGTTGCCTCGAACCTCCCATGATTCATCTGTCATGACACCTTCCTGGTCACATGTCACATACCCCATCGTCCAACCGAGTGCCTCCTGGAATATGAGATAGCCATCAATCCGAAGGCAAAAGCATCACACCTGTCGAAACCCGCCTAGTTGCGCGGGTCTCGGTTTCGGGTAGATCGAGGTCGCTCGGTATTCGGAGTGCTCGCATAGTCAATGCGTAGAGTGCGGTCTCCTAGCTGGAAATTCTGGAGCTTGTCGTACGCCCTTTGTGCGCTCTCTATGTCCTTGAAATCAGCATGGGCGAAGCCGCGAGGCCAGCCAGTGTTGCGGTCCACAGCTACGCGCACATTAACAACGTCTTCCAGATCCCGGAAGATGTTGTTCAGATCGGCATCGGACGTTTCGTAGGGAATGTTACCGATGTAGAGCGAAGTCGTCGGCTCTCCCGGAGACTTTACTCCGGATCGCGGAGCGGAAGGCGATGTCCTGGGCTGAACAAAGAGACGACGACCCTGCCAAAACGAGTTGTCTGCTTCCTCAATGGCGCGGGTTGCTGACTCTGCGTTTGAGAAGGTAATGAAACCGTAGCTAAAACCCTATTAACACACACAATCGATAACCGGAGAGTAAAAAATGCATAAATCAATGTGCCCACGTACCCTTTGCTGGCGCCTGAGGGGTCACGGCCGATGCGGATCTCTAAGATATCTCCATACTTGTTAAACGCCTCCTTAACAAGATCATCCGTGGCATCATAGGGAAGGTTCCTGACGAAGACCTTATTGGAAAGGTCCTCTAGATCAGAGTTAGCCGTAGAACCGGTTTGTCTAGTAGATTCAATCGCACCTTCTCCGGCAGCCCGCTCACTCTCATCTTGGGCAACCCGCGATGTCTGAGAGAAATAACGAGCTAGAGGCATGATAGTAGCCGGTCGCGCATTGGCCTTGCAGATTTGCATGGCAAAAGAAGCAATCTGCTGGCGCGGGACAGCGACAGCAAAGGTTGTAGAGCATGCTGCTCTAGCAGCTGCGCGTCGAAGGGAATGCCTATTAAATCAAACAGTTAGCTCTGATTGATCTCTTGTTTTTAATAAAAAAAGGTCCAGGTTCATACATTTTAGTGATTAGTATTCTTTGAAACAAGGAAATGCCCTTCTGAACAATTTAGATGTGAAGTTGCAAGAAGATGTAAGGGAAGATTTCAACTTGAAGTTACCCTCTAGAAGAACTTTTGAATTGTTGAAGAAAAAAAATTTCGCTCCACTAAGGGAACACACCCACATAGTGTGTGTACCTTATCTGCTTATCCAAATCCACACAATTTTTACAGAACACCCCACCCCACTACAATTGAATCATGTAAGTCGCTAGCCTTAGTCAGGTACCCTAGTACTAAATTACACACACATAAGTGCACGTGCCATCCGTCTGAATAAATTTCTTTAATCGAGTACCTAGGTACTGTAGGTATTTTATAGGTATTTACATTGATATATCCAAATATTTTAACTTAAAGCTGAATAATGCAAATGACCCGATTCAAACTTGCATGTAGGATCGAATCTATCTACTTGTAATATTCATTCTATTACAAGTTAACCTTCCCAAGCGTGGGTCGCCTTAGCCTATCATAACAAAGACAAGCCTGTTATAGAAACACGAGTTATAAGCTGCCAGTATACCATCAAACTCGTTTCAGGACCGACATAAAATATTAGACATGAGGCTGTATCATATCTTCGCCGTCCGAACTACGGTTGGTTTGACCCGTGGTGCTTGGGTAGGTGATCCCAGTTTCAAAGGATCGATACACGCCATTCTAACTCCCACCACAACCCCAAAGCCTTTTTTTTAAGCCTCTCCTACTATTTCCCTCCATTCCCATCCCAAATATATCCTCGTAGCTATTCACCAATCGTGAATTTGAACACCCCAAATCCGTGACATAAAATTAGCCGAGAAACAGAACGGCGGGTATATGTGTATATACACTCCAATAAGCTCAACGTGAGCAACGGTAAAACCGTAAACGATATCTCGAAGGCCGGCACTCGAGCAAGCACCGGCTAAGCATCGATATCTGCAGCCGGGTTGTCCATCCACTGCTTGAAAAATAAAATTTCGCACTTTCCCCCCTTTTTCTATAGGTGGAAAGCAGGACATCCCCCCAGGCTAGCAATTTAGGAGTCAAGGTGATTAGATAAGGAATGACTAGCATCAATCCACACCTTGATATCGTCGGCGAGTCTGAAGGGATCCAATAGCCACCCGCCTCACCTCCACCAACGCCAAAATAGCAAAATTAGGCAGTATCCTTATTCCGACATGATATCCTCTGCATCAAGTTCATCCGCACCTTAAGTTTCGAGGTGCTCATCGACGGGGAATAGCCGTTTGCTTATACGGGGTATCGATGAAAAAGCGCTGCAAGTCTAGTTTTGATAGCTGCCGCTCCCCAATATGATATGTTTACAACAACAAAAGAAAATATGAATGATAGTAGTTACGGCTATTGGTACCGACCTTGTCGATGATCTTGGTGAGGATCCTGACGATATCCATTAGGTGGCCTTTGAGAATCATATTGGACACCTGTCATAGAGTCCGGATTGCTGGGAATGTTGTTACTCAAGGCTCGTAAGGGCGGGAGCTCCGGGCGGGGGGCTCTGCCGTACAGATCTTGACCGTAGGGATCTGCAGACGGTTGCGACGGCATTGCAGTATTTGGGGGGCCTTGGCCTGGTGGTATCGGAATACTTCCTCGAAGCTGCGCGTTCTCCATGCGCAACCTATCGATCTCACGACGTAACATCTCCGCTTCTTGCATGGCGGTTTGGCAATGATTTGTAATACTCTTGAGAGCCTCGCCCTGTTTCTGATGCTCGGCAATAGCTAAATAGCAGTTAGTATGTGCGCCAATGCTTATAATTGTACAGCGGCATACCTTTCGTTAGAATTTCCCACTTGGATGCTTTTGATCCTCGTTCCTGTGGCATCAAATCGCGAAGCTGATCAAACAACTCCTTCATCTCTGTTCTCCGCTTCCGTTCCGCCAGCTTATGACTTTGCCGAAGCTCAGGTGTCCGACTATACGGTTGATTGCCACTATGCGGGCTAGACTCTTCGCTATGAAGATCCGAGAGTTGCTTGTGCTGAAGCGTGTGGTGGTGGATAGTTTGGAAATCCGGGGCTATACCATCGTCCAGACGGCGCTGCCCAGGGGGTAACCGAGACTCGGTCGTAAATTGGCTACTTGCAATCGATTCCGAGATACTGCTTCTCCTGGAATCAAAAAACGTGTGGTTACCAACCGTGGATGGCATGCGCTGAATTTCCTCCTCTGGAAAAGCCCAAGCTTGACCTTTAGTTGGTTCCGCTGCCCTAGCAATCGTGCTTGTGGCAGGACCAGTGATAGCCGGTGCGGTTTTAGTTGCTTTCGGATGTTGATCGTTAGGTGTGCGTTCGACATTCGGCTGGTATCCATTAGATATCCTGTGTACCGCGAGATGCTCCATTCCCGCGCGGGAGTTGCGTTGTTGCACCAAACTTCCATGAAACGAAGTCGTAGAGTGATTCTGACTCGCGTAAGGAGAACCACTCAATCTCAAATCGCCGAACCCCTGGTTAATCCTGCTATCAACACTCTCCCGTCGTGAATCTGGCCCGACACTTGCTGCACCTAAAGACATGCCGCCGGGTATAGAATCGAAAGACTGCGGCCGATCGAAACGCCCACTACCTGGTGTCGTCGGCGACACCATCGACGCCACGCTCATGTTACTCGCGGGAGTTATTATTGGCTGGGGGACTAGGTTCGTGGTGGTCGGAGAAGGAGTCTTGTCATGGACGGAGTGATAGACATTGATACCTATGCCCGAGGCTGCAGAAGTATCTATAAGGGGCTCCCGTAGTTAGCAATGCTGATACTCAACTTTCAGCTCGAGGTATAGTATAGTAATTACATACGCTTGCTAGACGCATCTGTGCTTGAATAATAGGCTGAGTCGCGATTATCCTCGGGGGCATTCAATACTGTAGCCAGCCCGGCTGGGATTTTCTGCGACACAGGTCGAGACTGATCTGCCGCCATGCTCGCGAAGTTTGAATTGGATATCTATGAAGGGGGGGAAGAAGGTAAAAACAATTATCGAGGGGCTAAGTGGGCAAGCTTTGATGAGATGCCTAGTAAGTGGTGATCATTAGAGCCACCTAACGAAGACGCAAAGACGTGCGGATGCAGCGTCGCGGTATAAGTTGGTACTTTAGACTAAAGTCGCCCGAACTAAGTTAACAGACGGACGGGTAGACTTGGGACGCGGCAGCGCTCGACATCGGTTTACATTGGTGAACAGGGTCTGATCAGCATTGACGCTAAATAGCCAATCGTAATTAAGCGCAACTAGTCCGATAAAAACTCGTGCTCAAGCTTGGGACTTGATGCTTGGTGCTTTGAGGAGAAAGAGAAGAGAAGAAAAAGTAGAGAGCGGAAGTCGGAAAGCGAGAAAGAAACTAGCTAGTAGAAGTAGTAGTAAGGTAGTTAGTTAATGGTAGAATAAGTAAAATATGGTAGCGAGTAGTAGTAGCAAGTAGTGATAGAAGATAAATAGTAAAGCCGACAGGGAACGACGTAGGTAGAACGACAGGTCAGGAAGCGTCAGGAACGTGTCGTTGGTCCCGGCACGCGAATACAGCACTACCACAAATCGACGATGCGCATCAGAAACGACTATTGGGTGTTTGAACTTAAGCTTTTGGGAGGAGTATAGTGAAAAAAAGGTAAAGAGGAGATCTTGACAAGTTATGGATGAATGTCCCCAAGAGTAAAGAGAGGATAAAGAACCCCCCAGCTCGAGTAGAGTAGTTCCCGTCAGCACAAGGGCTCTTGTACATAGGTACATACAAATTGTATATACAAAGGACCTACGGTACATGTACCTAGAAGTGTACCTACGTATCTTGCAAGTGTACCTATGTACCTAGGTAGTGCCGTGTAACGGGGGGTAGTTCCCTCTCGAAGGAGGAGGAACGTGGACGGGGGAAGCGCTTTCTGAGAGAATTGAAAGCCCAAATGAAAATGGAGGATGGGAAAAAAAAGAGGATCCACCCCTTGCTGGGATCGAAGGAGGGAGGCACTGCGCGTGTTGCTGTGGAGGAACTGCAAGAGAAATGGCAGGTCAAAAAAAAGAGCCGAGAGGATAGCCATTCCTATGTATTTCCTAATGCATACTTAGCACGCTACCTCCATGTAAGTGTCTACCTACCTATGTACATATGTAAGCGTGTAACTAACTACTATAAATGTACCTAGGAGGTATGTATGTAGGTACCTATGTACCTAAATACCTACCCTACGTAGATACATCTCGAGATAGGGTCAACTTCCATGCATGTACCAGAGACATTAACGGCAGCACGAGCAGAGCCACACACATGTACGTTATAGATGTGTCCGAATATCTGACAGCGCGATGTATGAACTGCATGTACCAGACGGATGTATTGACGCTTGTTAGTGTAGCGTGGTATGTAGGTACATGTATGTAGGAAGGTTTGTCCGTGGCGTTTAGACGATGAGACGATGCAGCTGGGCCCCTCTGGCTAAGGGTTTGTCGCATGGCTATTTCCAGGAATATGTATATATGTACATAATGTATGTATTGTTAGCGAAGGATACTCCGACCAAGAGTATAGGGTACATGTTGTGCTATAGATTATACGCTAGCGTGTCACTAATGCGCCGCCCGTCGTTTCTTTTCCCTCGTGGCTAGCCATGTACCGGGCACACGTGAGGGAAGTTGAGCAGGGATTGCCTACCTATGCATATGTGCATGGATGGTGGAGTACGACATGGGAACGCCCCGTGGCCGCAGTCGAAAGTGACTGACTGAAGTCAACTAACTATATGTACTATGTACGCCATCCCATATAGCATCCACGCCAATGCAGACGTAGGTAGCGGAATACCTACATGTACAGGTTAGGTGTGCAGCATTGGAGGTACATAACCGGCAGGTAGGTACATGGTATGTATGTATGTATGTAGTGTTAGGTACCTATGCTTGCGGCTTCCACATACATATAAGATGTACTATGTAGCATATATGTACTTCCATCAACACGCAGAGGAGTAGAGTAGAGGTAGGTAATGTTAAGTTAGGTACTCAAACGTGTAGGTAGCGTATACTACCTAATCTCTCCCAACCCCAACTAAAATCGACGAAGAAAGATTCCGGATTAGGTAGGCCTTATAATGTTACGGTCAACTTTGGATAGGATCGAGCGGCAGCAGAAGTGCAAAAGTCCAGTTTTGTGCGCGAACCGCAATTAGAAAGAACATTATTCCATGACGCTATCTTTTCTTTTCTTTCTTTTTTTTGGAGTCGGAAGAGTCGAGTTGTAGGGTCAGAAAGTTCAATTCTTTTTTTTCTGACACGCAAGGGAGTTTGAAGACTAGGTTCTAGGTGAAGACTCGGTGCTAGGTTAGGTATGTAGGTATACATATACTATATGCCGCTCCTGTCATAAGATACGAAGCGACATGGTTTCAACAAAGCTTGGATCTGTCGCCCGAGTCCAGGGAACTGGTGGTCTGTTTTTGTCAAGCTCGGGCAATCGGAGCGACCCTGAAAGAAAGGCGTTAAGAGAGGAGCTCCAGGTCAAGTCCCTGTTTAAAGCACGGGTATTCAAATGGCCTGTGCCAGAGCCGAGTGTAGTCAAATACCGGATAACGGCGTTGTTGGTCAATAACATAACCTGGATTGCGATGTCGTACACGGGAAACATTTTGGCAGGGCTCACATACAAAGCATACAAAGCATACAAAAGGCTTCCAAAGAAAGGCATGGGTATCACAATCCAAAAACGTCAAGTAGTAAGGACTAGGTATAACTAAGACTTTTTATACTTACTTACTCGCCATATCGTACTAAAGTAGGCATTTATGCGTCAAAATGCACAAGAACCTTTATTCGACTATTTCCCAACAGTTTATATTCAAGCCGATAATACCCTGAATAGGTACCTACCTATGTAAGCCAAAGCGAACTGTTTCGTACGTGGCGAATATCCTAAAGACCAGTAGGATCTTATACTACTTACTGCTACCACGACTATAGAAACTAGGAACTATACGAAGTATGTATAACTAGTGGTATTAGGTAGGTATGTAGGTAGAGTTGAGATCATAGGTTAGCCTAGCATGCGAAGCACCATGGAAGGGTACGTTACCGTCGGTGTCCCTGAAAAGGAGTAAGTCCCGAAATGCAGCTAACACATACACGTAAAAGATATATATTATATACATGTAGCTGCTAACTGTGTAGTTGGTGTATGCGAAGTTGAACTCGGTAGGATCCGCCGCAGTAAGTTGACATGACATGTTTGGTGACATGTATGGGTTATAACAGGATCTTTCTTACGATATGATACCTTGTCTGTTTGGCTGGTTACGATCCTCCCGCCGCCACGTGAGGGCGTATCGACAAATGCCCAAATCAGCAGCTTGGCTTGGCCAGAGGCTAAGCCCAATACTGCGAGTGTTATGCAATGGATCCTATCGATTATGCGGGGTGCGTTCCCAGCGGATAGCTTTCCGACGGACCTATCAAGACTTGTGTTTGATCGTCTAAAGTCGCGGGGGCCGGTCTATACATATGGACATAACATGGCATTGCATACCTACAGTAGTACATAGAGATCTCCATACCGCTGTCCTCGCGCCGTACCATACCTGAGATCTGACTTACACTGCCTACATACATAGGTAGGTAGGTAGGTATCTAGCTACCTACCTACCTATGTACAAGATTAGCTTTTCCGCCGCTTTGACTATTGATCGTCCTTATGTACTTCGTAGGCCGTGGGGACATCAGCATCGCATAGAACAGACGGGCTGGTTCCCGCCAACATAAGACGACAGAAGCGCCTAACAGCACAATTCCAAAAATTGGCGGCGGCACCCTACATGACTCTAACGATGTGTAACTTGTTTTCTAGTTGCGCTTCGTCTCAAAGGGAGATCAAACGCAAAGCCGCCAGATGCTTCAACTCATATGTGCAAAAGGCTTAAATCTCAAATCTGATGTCTCGGGTATACCAGCGCTTCCTTCTCGTCCAATCTAAGGAGCCGGGCCGACGTTTAACTTAGTAGGTACCTGGGTAGTTGGGCGTTTAGTTATCATATTCGGCTATAGTGTATGGCCTATAGCTTCGAGGATCTTTTCGCTGAACCGCGTCATCCATCTTGCGTATAGACGGAAAAGCTCAAGTCAATCTGAGTCAGATCAACACGACGAGGACAGAGGTCTTCGTTGACAGACGTAATTCTCGCACATCTTTGACAAATCATAGGGGTCGTATACAATGGTACATATGTGTTACACCCCGTCTCCTCATATCCCAAATACATATAGTACTATGTATACCTATGTAGGTAGGTAGTTATCCTCGTCTACCGAAGTCGAGGAGATAACGGTAATGGCCATTTTTACCTTCCGTGGACGTCTTGCATCTTTGGGACTAAGGGACCTATCGCCGAGCTTTGGCAAGGATGCGCAACACGCGTCGCACACAAACTTACGGAGAGGACGCACGCAATTTGGCTTGCCGCTTGTCATCAGGCCGGTGTGATGGTATTTATCATAACCCACTTTCCGGTGTGCTGCGAGGGGTTTATTGTTATTATTTCTGGGGGGGAGTACTGTAGAGTTTTAGTAAACAGACACAGTATCCGGGTCACCACCAGGAAGGGCATGAGGTATGCCTGTCTCATATGTAGAATATCCGCGCCGCATACAAAAGCGTGGGTAAGATGTTTACCAACCTTACCAACCTTACCAACCTTACCCAGAGCTTTTTACAGTTGACGAATGGGATCTTTAGAAGCTCGTACGACTCGAGACAGCTTCGTACGTGTGATGTATACATACATAAGGGGGGCGGGAGGCCTTTTACCAAGACATTTTTCTCCGCTTTATACAGTATAATGCATGTTTAATGCAATGTACAAATGAAGTACCGTCTACGCATAGATGTATGTATGTATGTAGATTCAAACTAAGGTCCTTACCTAGGTATGTACCTAAATGCCCACGTGGTTGACGGCGTTCCACATCGTCTAAGCCATCTACAGTATGTACGCGTATCCTATCATCTCCTCGCTCCTCGATCCCTCTAGCCGTAAGATTAAGCGCTCTAGGGTAGAAATACGGCAAATATGGTCTTCAATCCCGATATAAAGCTGCGTTCTAAGTCTAAAATAGAGACGGGGAACGGGGAACGGGGAACATAATCTGGGGGCGGACGGCACTTCAAACATAAACTAGCCTATGTGATAGCCTACAGGACGTGCCGTCAACGTTGGACCAGTCATGATTTTTTTTTCATGTAGGTATGAATATTCGGTACCGATTATAAGCAGGTCAAGGTTCTTGTGTGTCTGCAAGGCGGATAACGGTGATCATGGTGGTTACCACCTTACCACCTTACCACCTTACCACCCCTCCTAAATTTTCTCTCATGATGACCCCTTCAGGCTCGCAGACTCGCAGGAAACTGGCAGGCTTCCCCATCCCTTGCCCCCCAAACTTCGTGCAAGTGTGGGCGCGGCATGCGGCATGCCACGTTCCTCATACACTTAAAAGGAATTTTCCTTTAGTTAGCGTCTCCGCCATCCTCGATTCCCTGTCCAGTGCCAAGGTTGCCAGGTTATCGTCCGCTAGTAGTAAGGCTAGGAAGAAGCAGGGTTCTTCGGTGGTTCTCGTCATTTCGTGAGTGAGATCCAAGTCCTGGCTCGGCCGTTCCCCGACCTTTTTTGACCGAGCCGTTATTCGATTAGCACCCAGATCTGATATTAAAAAGACAAGCCTCATGCTGGCCCGTGTTCTGAGTCCCTTACCAAGTCCTTTTCAGTCCCCAGTCCCGCTGAATTCATACATACATACGTAACCTACATGCTATGTAACAAGCAGCTCGGCTAGGCTGGGTTGCCGGATTACTAGGTATAGCCTCCTTACTCCTATCTGGACCTACGTAGATAAGTAGGTACCCGAGCGATTCCTCTCGATCAATCACATACCTAAGAGCGTATGCAGTGCACCAGCATCTACTACTCTGGGTACAGAATCTGCCTCGTGCTACACGTGTACTTGCTATTACGTACGGTATCTACGTACGTACAAAGCCATATGCACTCCACGCGCTACACCTATAGGTAGGCTATTAACCCCTTTCTGCTTACTATACTTGTAATATGTATAAGTCTGCCAAGAATATTATATACTATCAATTACTCAAGAGTCAGCAGGATTCACGAACGTGATATGCTATAACTACCGAGACTTTAAACCGACTATCTGCAATGCACGTATGTTGAGTAAGTATGCAACGCTCATAAAGGAGGAGGGTTCCGATAGTACTACGCCGTATCAATTATTTACTTAGTTACATAATATATCTTCAAGCGAATTCACCTTTTAAGATGGTGACATCCAGCGGCTCCGTATCAGCCAGGGCTAGTAGGTAAAGGATAAATACCACACCCAACCAACAAGATTTCGTTGATGATATGACGGGCGTCTGTAGCGTTAGAATGAGACGGCTGTGTTAAAATCCAACTACCTGACATGTTATTTCAGTAGGTACTATCATATTTTTACTTCGGCATGTCTAGCCGTTCGCGCAAAAGCGACGAACTGTCCGCCGAACCAACAAACTATCGAACACGGGAAAAGAAAGTGTGCGTTATCTGTTAAGCTCCCCCGCCTCTTTGATTGCGGGCTTTACTTTTCACAGTTGCACTTTGATCAGCAAACGGAGTAGATCTAGATGGGCAGATGTAACCTCTACCCAGTTCCCTCTTTACTATGTACGTGATTCACTCTTCGCACGATACTAGGAGGTATATAATAGCTAGTCATTATGCATGAGCCGGCCTTGTGGGGTTTGGAGAGATCCAGCCTTACAGATGAAGATACACACAGTGCTCGGAAACATCTTGACGGAATTAAACCGTGCTACAGGAAATAAGATGCTACCTCATAAGAGGATAGTATAAGATAAGTCGGGCGTCTATGAAGTCAGCCACATCTTTGATTATTACTACATAATACGATACTAACGCTTTAGCCCTTCAATAGCCTCGCTGTCCCTCGTTATCACATAAGTTAATATACTAGGTTAACGGAATCCTAAACTCAATTCGTCCTTTACGAACAGGCTTCAAAAATAGCCACGCTTCTCTGGCCATTAGCAGTTAGACGCCGGCCGCGGAAGGTCCCCCTAAAGGAGCCTCCACCCTCGCCTAACCCGAGCCGATTCCTTTCGGTGTCACCATTCCATCAAGGCGGATCGTAACTAACAGCTACCTTTTCTTATCTCAACCCAGCTCTCATTTTTTTTGTCTGTGTGTTTCATGTGAATATCAAACATCAAGGGATCGGAATTTGTAGATGTTCAGCTCTTCGGCGATATCCTTCAAATAGCACGGCCTCGGTCTGTGAGATATCGCCGAAGGAGTGCCCACAGATCTGCGCGCCACTCCCGTCGGGGGCTGTCCTGTCTGTGACGCCAGCCTGGAGGTTCGGCGTACGTGCGTATGGGAAGAAAGCCAGCCTCTGAGTGGTCGGTCTATGCGCCCAGGACCATGGTTGGTAATACCACGTCTGCGGGTGAGCTTGATCCTTCGAATAAACTACACGCGTAAATGGGCCATTCTGCGAGCTTAATGGTTTAAATCCCAACTCGGCCGAACCCGTCCTGGCGTCAGCTTCGTCCCTGTTCACCTACCCAGTACACGGGCTCACCGGAAGCCAAATAAGTTTAGTCTTAACTACCTCCTAACATACATAGTACAATGTAGTAAGACTTCCCAAAAGTCCGTTCGCACGTGTTACTGGGATCTATTAGACTTCTTCTAAAGGCTTGGAGGCTTAAAACTAGTGCCTATCATAGAAACATGGCTTGAGAGGCCTCTAAAGTTTCTCCTAGGGAATGATCATTCGGCTACACGGCATAGGTATTCATTCCAAGATCGATCACATAGTAAGTGTTACCCATCGATAGTCAGCGCCAGGGGCTACCGATTAGTGTGAATCGCAGGCTTTCATTACACGGCTAGGCCAATAGTTCGATGTCAGCGTGCACTAGCATCATCCCGTCTCGATAAACGTATGACCCTAGAGGGACAAGGACCTTCAGGACACGTTAAGATACTTTTGTTTCTTATACTAACTACCTAGTTACCTATGTCGATGATAATTCTAGGTTAGGTTAGGTTAGGTTAGGTACCTACGTATGAGTTTATTGAGCAATAGCTATCGTTATCGACCCCAATCCTGGTGTCTCAGTCCTCCCGTACTACTGAGAGGCGGTGTGTGGCACGAGCCGGCCTCATGGGGAAGATGCTGGCGAGACCATCTATCGCACGCGCTCTCCCCAATCCGTTTCTCTAATAGGACATATTCCCCTTTCCAACGATCGGGGTAACGTGTAAGACGTCGACTTGGAGACACGGCATAATCTGTGCGCAGTATACCACGTTTCTAGATTCCGAGAGAGGTAGCGCGATCTGATGCGACGACCCGAGGTATCACACGTTGAGACCCGTCCTGTCTCGGGCGCGGATGTCACGCTCTGGAAATAAAAGCTTGTCGGTTTGCTTAAGCACTGCCGCTTTCCGTCTGCAGCTCCCTCCCGTTACCGCTTGACGGCCGAATCTAGATCTTGAATAGGCAGGATTTCGCGATCGAGTAGGCATAGGTATCTCGGAAGATGCTCGGCGCTGAATGCTTGGGGCCAAATCTAGCACGAGAAAGTGTTTCTTTTTTTTTTTTTTTTACTTTGTTCATTATACTTGCCAGCCAGTGAAATATCATATCCTGTCATCCCTCGCGTAGCGTGGCTCATGTCTCATATCAACTCATAGAAAGCCAATCCCCTAGAAGAGTTCCTCTTTATTTACTGAAACACATGCGCCCTACTGGCATCATGGCACCTTTCGTGGTACCAGTGCCGTGGCTCTCGGGACGAATCTAGTGTAACGGTTTCAGGGGCCGATGGCGCTTGTAACATATCCGAGAAACCCACAAAGTGTTACCAACTGTGTGATTGGTGATAACTGCATATCTGCAGCTAGCCTCGCGTCCGCCACAGCGGTCAGGTCACTCAGAGTTACGGTTTGGATACTCACAGATACCTCTTAAAGCCATCTTCGTAACAGTACACGTGAGAGACAACGCCAATCTATGATATCAATAGCCACGGTGGTCACTATGCATGCTTGAAGTTTACTTGGAGGATGTAAAAACGCCCTCACCGATTACATGATTAGTGATCCCGATAGGACATGACACTATCCACAATGATATAGGTTTAATATTTCTTGGCAATAATTCAACTATGAGTCTGCCTAACAAGATTAGGCCGAGGGTGGCGTTTAAATGGATTTGAGATTTGGGGGACGTGCTTACATCAGACACGATAGTGAAGTCCTAAAGCATTTCGAGTTCATCCTTGCTCCGTTGTTGGACCCGGGGACAATAAAATGGTGGATCCCCGAGACGTGAAATTGCGGAGTTGAAAGGACCTCGGCGGCGGACTTGCGGACTTCACACGTTGTCCTCTGCGGTCCAATTTTAGCTTCAGTTTCCATCTAATTACGTTCATACTAATCTTATCTACTGTAAACACTGTTTACTTGTGACTGAGAAAGTCGTCTTTATGAAATATTTTCAATATTTCCCTAACTAGCGCGTCTTCCTCTCGGGGCGGAATTCATGGCTCCGCGCGGAGGCTCATCTAGGCAGAAGAGCTGCAACGCCTGTGTGAGGAGCAAGCGACGCTGTGACCAGCGGATCCCAGCTTGTGCTAATTGCACCAAGAAGAAGCGTCTCTGTATCTACGGGCAACAGTCGGACACGCAGTCATACGGTAACTCTGCGGGTGTTCCGACAAGTCTAGACTCTTTCAACGGTCCTCCGTCTACGTCCTACGGTGACGATTTTGTACTAGATGACGGCAACGTCCCTACTACTACTATGGGCATTGACGTAGATATTTTCCCTGATGAAACTATTCACCTCGATAGTACGTTTGAGTCTCTATTGGATTCGATGGATGGGTACCGATTTGGCGATCTACCCGGGCTACCCGATTTCTCGGGGCGGGATACACAGATAGCATCAATTCCAAAGAGTAAAATCCTATCTCCTGAAAACTATTCCAGGATGGTAGCTGTATGCGTAAGTTTCAGTGAGAATCATTTTTCACTCGCTTAGTACTCACAATAGTAGGACGATTATGCTCCGTGGCAACTTGAGGACTCTTCAACTAGAATTGCTTACGCGATGAAAACTTTCAAAGGCTTCCATAAAACTATTGCCCAAGATAACTCCACTATTTATATGCATCGTCACTTATATCTAACTAACACGTCACCCTGTATCCTACAAGCGTTTTCGGTGTGTGTTCTCTACACGAACCAGACGGAGGCAAACCGTGGCTTTGTCCTTAGAGTTCTTCACGAGAATATCCATAATCTTAAAACAACGGTTAGTGGTACATAGTTAACGCCGCGGGAGAAGCTTGCAAGAGTCCACGCTCTACTTGTTTATCAAACCATTCGTATGCTTGATGGAAACGCCACTCTAGGGCAACAAGCAGATGGTGATGTACCGTTATTAGAAGCTTGGAACGAGGAACTGCACAAGATAAGAGATAACCTCGAAGACTTCGCTGAACTAGATGTTGCTGAGATTCGTAATAAACCACCCGAGTCTTGGGAAGTAGGTGTGAACAAGTTACCCTCTGGAAAGACCTGTGATCACTGACCTACCGTCCAGTGCTGGTTATTCGCAGAGAGCATTAGGAGAACTTATATGATATGTGCTGCTCTTGCTCACTTTTGTAATTTATTGAAAGGGCAGAGGATACCTGGTAATGACATCAACAAGATAAATCTACCTAACTACTGGGTTCTGATATATGAATGTAGCTGATCTTGGGGGTTGGCAATACGTCCACCGGTGGACCCTATCGAGACACCTGTAGGCTGCCACGAACCCCTTAGAATTTCATAGGGCATGGAAAGAGAAGCCTATGTGGATCATATCGGCCTTTTACTTTGATGAGTTTTTGCGGACTGGAAAAGGAGATGAAGGAGTATGTCTATTTGATCACACCTACGTTCATCATATCACCACTTCATCCCATTCTTACTTTCTTGTAGGAAGCCTGAATGGTAGAAAGTCCAGTAAAGCTAACCTAATCGAAAAGGCAAGGGAAAACCCGATACCTAGGTCTATGCGAGGTATCAGCAGCGACACTACGGAGTGCTCATGCCGTGCATCCGATCAGTGCTGTGCAAGTATGAGCCGTACCCCTATTCCCTGTTTAACAACACCCACGGCAAGGAAATCATTTAACTTAAGTGCCCAGGTCGAATACAGTCCCTTCACAACCAACATCGAGGACTCCCAGATCAGCCTCCTCGCCACATGTCGGGATCTCGGCGTCGCCGTCGAAGCCTCCTCGCCCCTCTCGCGCGGCCTCCTCAGCGACCGGATCAAGAGCCCAGCCGGCTTCGAAGCCGACGACGTCAGACGCCACTACCCGCGCTTCTCGGCGGACAATTTCCCCAGGAACATGGCTTGCGGTCGATGAGCTGAAGACGGTCGCGGCGGGAAAGGGGTGGACCGCCGCCCAACTGGCGCTCGCGTGGCTGCTTGGCCAGGGAGACGATGTCTTTCCGATTCCGGGGTAAGCGAGGCGTGCTCGTCTGGAATATCCTGTCGAAGTTTAGGAGAGTATTTCTAATACGACTGTGCGGTTCCTAGGACCACGAAAACCGCGCCGTTGGAGGAGAACTGCGCGGCTGCGTCGATCTCGCTCTCGGCAGACGAGGTTGCGCGGATCCGGGCCCTCGTCGAAAATGCCTCGTGTCCCGGTGCTCGTTATTCGCCGGAGCATAGTATTGCTCTGTTCGCTGATACCCCGTTACCCGAGGACCACGTCCCAGACCTGGAGAGTCGTGGTCAGTTGTCAATTACCGGCACTCTATATAAATCGAGCACGACTACGGAACGTGACTGAAGTGGAGGCACAAACAAGTTACACTGTGGACTCTTGATTATTAGGAGCAGGCTATACGCATTTATATTATTTGGCTGTATTAAATACGTTAGCTTGCTACTCTTATATTGCTTTTATTCGCACACTATATTCTATATATCTAGACGTTGCTTCTCCCTAAGCTGGTTGTTTCTTTTGATAGTTACGGTTTCTCGCCTCAAGATCCGTTGTTCATGAATAGGTAATTTACCTTCTTATAGACTATAATTGGTATTTCTCCCCTGCATGTCTTGCATACCTAGTTATACTTTCGCCAATGAGAAGACGAGATAATAGGGTGCCCTTCCAGTTCCGCATAAATCCGAATGCTACATATTCTAGAGGCGTCCAAGAGTTATTTATTCTACGGAGGTATTGGGGACAAAGCTTGGTAGGGAAATCTCATAGGAGGTGGAAATCTACAATATCTACTTCTTAGTATAGTGGCAAAGTGTGTGCAAACTCTATACTACGTACAGTATATTATAAGGAGCTGAATAAAGCTAGAAAGTGTTTAACACCAATCTCGACAATACCATACCCACCTAGTATATAGTATTGTATTGTATTTCATAAAAACCTATCTCTATCGCTATGCTGAGTTTATCCAAGCGTAGAACTATTGCCGAGCTTATGCGGTATATATTCTTCTGTAGTCTATTATACCAAGATCGGTAGTAACTCATAGCCTAGACTTGACCTTATTCCACAGGCCGAACGTCTCCAATCCCGCCTCCCCATCAAATATATTCCTCTCGACTTTCCTAGAGTTGATCTATACAGAATATGTCAGCTGGTTTTCCTCTAGGAGGATGGGATGTACTTACATGTCTCGGACTTAGGTCGGCCACTTTCTCTACTCCAAGCAACCTCATGCATGTCTCGGTCTCCGCCTTGAGGACTATTTGCATCACATAGTTAGTTTGGCTCAAAATAGACAACAAGTCGTAATGCTTATTGAGAAGGAAACACTTACTCTCCAACGTCCTCTCAACACCCTTCTGTCCACCGGCCCCGAGCCCGAATAGAGCAGCCCGGCCAATTCCCACACCTCGAGCACCCAGGCATAGCGCCTTAACCACATCGGTTCCCCGCTTAATGCCGCCATCGACCCAAACCTCAATCTGATCAAACACCTGCGGACAGTGCTTGCGGATCTCCAGCAGGGTATGGACAGGAGGCGGCGCGGTATCTAGCGCACGACCACCATGATTCGACAATATAACAGCCTTGACCTGCGGCGCATACTTCGCCGCGAGGAACGCGTCCTCGTGCGTCTGTATGCCCTTCAGCACGATCGGCAAATCCGTATGCTTGGCCAACCACGGCAGCGTAATCTTCCACGTGAGGTCCGACGCCGTGCCGAAGAAGAGCTGCTGTCCGACGCCGCCGCCGCCAGGCCGGTTGGGCTCGTCCGAGGTCTTGACCCCGGAGGCGACCTTGACAACGTTCTTGAAGCTCTGCTTCTCGTCGAGCTCGCGCTTGCCAGGGACCGGCGCGTCTAGCGTCAAGCAGATGAACTTGAACTTGTCGGACATGCGGTTGATGCGGGCCAGCATGGCTTCGCTCTTGGCCCGGTCGTTCTGCACGTACAGCTGCCAACCGAAAATCTGCCCTGGTATTGCGTCGGCGACGATTTGCTCCGGCGTCATGGAGGCGTTGTTCGAGATCACCTGTAGCGCGTTGAACCGGCTGCAGGCCCGAGCAATGCCGGCCTCTCCGTCGGGATGGCCTAATCGGGCCATCGCGGCTGGCGCGACGAATATCGGTATGTCGACCTTGTGTCCCAGCAAAGTCGTGGAAGAATCGCATTTGGTGCAGTCGATGAAGACTCGTGGCCGCAGCAGGATGTCCTTGTAGACGGCATTGTTTAAAGACTTGGAAATGGTGTCGTCGCTAGAGGAGTAGTAGTAGGCCCATGCCCTTTCAGGCATGCGCTTCGTAGCGACCTCCTCGATCTCATTGAGATTCAGTAGACTCTCCATAGGTGGCGGACCATCTACGTCCTTCTCTTCCTCCTTAGCAGCTGGCTTGCTGGCCTGGACTATAGTCTGAGGGTCAATTCGACCCAATTTGGCCTCAGGCTTAAGGTTTTCCTCTAGTGTACCCGGAGGGTGTATGGGATCGTACTCATCCGTCGCATCTCGGCCGGCGAGCTGTAAGATGATCTTGGAACCGCCGGGGTGCGACGGCAGGAATTCGGTCACATCATAGACATTCCCATACAACACCACCCAACAACTCTCGGGCGTGGTATGCTTCACGACTGAGAAGTCGCACACACAATGGTCAGCCAACTACGATAGCCGAGGGAACAAAAGAAGGGTATAAGTGTTAAGGACAGAACTATTAGAAGTTTTATCTTACCTTCCTCGGCGCTAATGAGCTTCTCTGCCATCTTCATAACATAGCAAACGATAATATCCAAAATACTCTCCCCAATTTGGTTTTTTCTTCTTCTTCTTTGTTTAGTTGAAAATGTTGGAATTGAGAAAGTCAGCTCCAGCTTTGACAGCTCTCGGTCGTATTTAACCCGCGGAAACCCGGAGCTCAATCGACATCCACCAAGCAGGTATAAGTTAGCGACCCCGCGACTCCAAATAGTGGACTTGGTGGACTTAATGGGGATGGCCCCATGGGGCCATTACTATTCCATAGCTTCGATTGGCTAAACGACTGAATTCTGGAGAGTCTCTAACCTGTTAAGGGGTAAACTACTAGGGGACCCAGGCGCTCGGAAGCACCGCTGATTCGCTCCGTTGAAAAGGAACAAAAAGCTATTCAGGGGCAGACCTTACTATACAGGTATTATACTATCTTAAAGTCTTAAAGCCAAGACAAATACATTATGTAAGTATCTTCGATTCGACAAGGATTGATCAAACCTCGATGTTGATTTATTATCGTAGCATCGTTCAACTATAACTTTACACCATACATGACTACTGCGTCAACAATACTTTCGTCCAAGGTCCAAACAAGCTTCCTATGACGAGACTCTAACAGTCTTTCAACTAAAACGCTGGCCTCTTATAAGCCGCTTAATCCACCTGAACCCAAAGCTCTCACGAGGCCGCCTTTATAATCTGAACCCCATGTTCCGCGACGCCGTACACCGTAGCCTGCGGGTTCGTGCGAGGCGTAATGGGGATGATGCTCGCATCGCAGACACGCAAGTTCCGAGTCCCATACACGCGCAACTGCGCGTCAACAACACCCCCCAGCTCCCGCGGGGCCATGGCACACGTGCCTGTGAAATGGTGCGCCCCAACCGCCTCCTCGTGTATATGCTCCTTGACCTTGTCCAAGTCCGCGAAGCTGCCCAGCGGCGGCGCCGCCGGAGTGCGTCTGCCATCTAGCTTCAGCGCGCTAGCCAGCGGTTCGGTCTGGGCGAACTTCTCTACAAATTGTAGATGACGCGCGAACACCTCGAGATCGAGGGGGTGGCTGAAATATTTAGGGTCGATGGCTAGGGCTGGCGACTCTGCGGAGGCTTTGGTGATGTGTACGGAGCCGCGCGAGAGCGGGTGTGCTAGGATCAGTATAAAGCTCAACCAACTCTCGTCTCCAGGAGGCGGGCCGGCCATCGTCCCGTCGGTGGTGGATCCCGCGTAACCGGGGATCGCGATGTAGCATCCCGATACCTCGGTAGGTGACGCGAGGATGGATCGAACAAACGATTCGTGGGCTTCTGCAAGCGATGTAGGCTTGTCGGGAATTGTAGAGCTCGCACTTTGCAAGACTTTCTCAAGTTCCTGTTTTCCCTGTTCACTCGTTACCCCTGGAAATGGGAGCTGTGCAGCTATATTCGAATTGCTCTTGGCAAAGGGACCCTTCTGTTTTGCGTAGGCTTCCATAGCAGCACCGAGGGCTGCCTGGTCTTGCCTGGTAAGATTGTCTACGGTTTCAAAGCCGGCTTGTCCTCGAGTCTCAAAGCTCAATGTGATCAAGGGATGGTTTTGAAAGTTCTCTCCAACGTTCGGGTTGTCAACTACAACATCGATGCCAAGTGACTGTAGGAGTTTCGCATCGCCAATACCCGAAAGCTCCAATACCTTGGGCGAGTTGATCGTGCCCGCTGAGATTATAACCTCTTTGCGAGCTCCTACGATTTTCGGTTCCCCATCTTTATTGACTTGGACACCGGTAGCTACGGGAATATCTGACTTGTCGAATACGATCTTCTCCGCTAGAGCCTTGGTCCAGATGGTCAGATTGCTCCGAGGCCGTGCAGTCTCGAGGTAAGCATTTCCGACGTAGCTTCTCTGTTTTGTAGCAGGATGTATAGAATCTAGGACGATCAGGCCACCGGAAAGCTGCCCAGAAAACGGATCATCGGTGACTGGGAAGCCGAGCGCAGTAAGCGTTTCCCTCCAAACTCGTGGCCACTCAGTGTCTTCGTCGGGAATAGCAAGTTGGACCGGGCCTTTGGCGTCTGTCCCCTCCGAAGGCAAGCTATACGCCTTTTTCAAGGACTCGGAGAAGCTCGACCAGCCCCAACCCGGGTTTCCCAGAGCTTCCCAAGCATCGATGTTAGCTTTAGAAGTTATACTGAAGGCCATGCCATTCAGTGCGCTGGATCCTCCAAGCAAGCGGCCTTGGGGGGTCCAAATCTCTCGATTTTGAAGTTCTTTCTACTGACACATTAGAAGACATAGCACGGATGATGATAGAGCACATACCTGAGGCACGGTCCTGAAGTTATATGTGGAAGGAGTATTAAGTAAAGTAGGCCACATGGCAGGGATGCTGACTCGGGGGTCAGCCGTCTGATCTTCGCCTGCCTCGATAACAAGGACCTGGACAGCGGGATCCTCTGACAGCCGAGACGCTAAGACAAGGCCTGCTAGTCCTCCGCCGACGATAACAAAGTCGAAGCTTTCGGACGCCATAATGTCTATACGATATAGTGAAGTTCAAGTCGTGCTGCAAGAAAGCATATAGTAAATCCGAGTGCACCAACTACAACTGGAAGAACGAACAAGACAGTATGGTCAGTAGCTTACATACCTGCTCCCCAAGGTACATTTATAGTAACTACCGGGGATTATGCAGTATACGTTCACCCTCTCGTGCAGTTTGTAACCTGCTCTTCTGTAACTGGTGTTGGTAATTCAGTGCTTCATTACATGTAACTATATGTACCTAAGGGTACCTAAGCTATATGTAAAGAGAGCAGGGGTCTTGTGCTTCCCACCATGAAAGATGGGAAACGTGCAGCTGCAGCTACATACTACCTAATGTAAGAGATCTATGGTCAACCGTAATGGGGTCGTAATCCGCTGTGATATTCTGGGAATATGCATTACTACCACTAAACATTATTTTCCGAATATTATTACTGTGTGATAAGTACTAACATCCTATTTATTATTCGTATTAGTTGTTGTTGGTTAGTATGATTTAAAGGTACGTTTATTATTCGGATTTGGACATGTAAAGCCGGTCTTAGCATGCCGTTTGCAATAGCTGCAATATATCCGGCTTACACCCATTTAACTTGTAAGTACCTAAGGTAGGTAGGTTAGTAAGCGTTCAACTTCAATGGATCGCTTTTTGATACTATTATTCGGATATTCCTACGTACAATTTCCGAAATGAAAAATAAAAATAGATAAAAATACTAGGACTAACTTTCATAATTCATTGGTTACCTGTTAATTTAATAGGTGTAAGAAATCGTATTCCATCTTGAAGTATCTCCGTAATGCTCAAGCAGAACTGCTGTTCTTGTTAATCTCTGAAGCAAACAGTCCTCAGTACTTTAGTAGCATATGGCAGCATGGCCAACCTTAGGTACTCATTTACGCAGGAGAGAACGGCCAGCCATTAATACCGCCCGTAAACTGTATCCCCGACTCTATAGCCTTAGCTTGTCCCTTCAGCTCGTCCACATCCCAATTAGCCCATACAGCGCGGCCCTTCAGGAAGCTGGCCTCAGGGCTGGACAGCCATACCATAAAATGTGCTGGGAGTTGGGCTAAGCCAAACAGGTCATTCGTCAGTAACGTAGGTCTAGAATAAGGCGAGGTAAGGGGCGAAGTTGGTGATAAACTTCAACTGGGAATATATTAGAGCTTGACTCACGTTTATCCAAAGGCACAGTCTCGGCCTTCTCGCCGCTCTTCCTGAAAATATCCGACTCGATCAAACCAGGGTGCACCGTCGCCGCGAAAACATTCGGCTGCTCCGCGGCTAGGAACTCGATGATCTTCGTCTCGGCAAGCTTCGACGCTATGTACGCAGACAGGCCGGGCAGGATCACAATAGGGAACACCATGGTGCCGGTGTTGAGTCCTAGGACGGTAGCATGTGTCTTATTCGCCGTGGGCAAGAAAGTCTTGATGCTGAGGTATGTGCCTTTGGCGTTTGTCTAGCGAGTGTTAGCACCTAGGTTTGCTATCAAGATGTGAGGGTATGTATATATATGTTAGAGTTAAAGGGTTAGCTCGTCTTACCTCGAAGCTTTGCCACCACTCGTTAGTATCCGAGGAAGCGATATGCCCACGAGTAGAGACATAACCGGCGGTATGAATAAGGACATCCCACGTTCCGACTTCAGCCGCGACTCGCTGGAGCGCACCCTCCTGAGTAATATCCACCGCGAAAGTATGCGCTGAGACGGAACTAGGAAGCGCAGAAGCCGCCGTCTTGATGGTCTCCTCGGTGCGGCCCAGGAGCACGATGCGAGAAGCTCCAGCTTCAGCAAATGCGAGCGCGACTTCGCGGCCGATGCTACCTCCCTATGAATTATTAGATGACGGGATAAAAAGCTACGTCAGGCTAAGCTTACAGCGCCGGTGATCACGACGGTCTTCCCCGCGGCACTAAGCTCAGGCCGCTTCGGGGAGATAGCTGCGTAAGTATCATTGTGCCAAGTTGACGTCGGAGACGGTACAGGAGCTGCCATTATTTCGATATTTTGCGTTGGTGTTGAAGGAGGGCAAAGCAGCAAGTTACGGGAATCTAGAACGACTCTAATATCTAAAGGCCCAGGGGGTTATCGTATTATATGATATATTATATTCACGTAAGTTTGATGTAAGGGAAGAATCTTACATATAGAGGAGTGCATATCCTATCATACATTTCTCGGGGATATAGAACCAACCGCCGGGACTCTGGCTTCATAATCAGCAGTTCGGGGGCCGTTGGGTGTGGTGTTGGTGTCGTATGTATTTGGATGCTCTCGAACACGAGCTTTATAATCTAGTCCGTAATGGCCCCGAACTCGAACCCTAAGCAGTTGACAGTCTTGCTACAGCCTACTATCGACCAATTAGAGAGAGTGGAATTACCTTATCGTGAGTTCCCCTTTTAACCTAGTTATAGTTATATGTCCATAGAGTTTCTTAACTGGACTAACATTATCGACAGAGTATGCTGTTAAGGACTTCCCCAACTTCCTTGATAACTTCTATTCTATGAGTGCATAACCCGATGTAGCTCAAGCTAATATTGGTGGTCGTCTGATCCTACACTCGCTTTTATCGAATGACTCTGGAGCAACGCTCACCGACGCATTGAGGTTCGTAGTTGATGAAGGCGCAATCCTGTTGGGACATTCGGTCAATGTCAATCGCACACCGCGTACTCCCAACTCCGTGAATTCTGTTTGGCGTTCTACGGCTTTTAGTTCTGTCTTTGGCACGTAAGCCTCACCCCGGTTGCCTCCCCTGATCCATATACATATTACTAACGCTTAGCGCCAACAGCTATTACAATCATCTGGACAATAGCGCCAACATAATCGATCAGGAACTCATTGGGAACTCAATGGTGCCGATATTGTCTGCTATAACTCCTGATGGCGCTGCGTACCTGAATGAAGCAGACTTTGGACAGTATAACTTCCAGCAAGTGTTCTACGGTAACAATGATGATAAGCTCTTGTCTATCAAGAGAAAGTATGATCCAAATGACACATTCTACGATCAAACAGCCGTAGGAAGTGAGTGTTGGGAAATACGACAGGATGGCCGTTTATGTAAGGTTAGGTAGTTGTGAACCGTGTTACCAACCGATATTTTCGTTTACTATTTTTGATGTACTATTATATTTTATTACTGGAAATCTACTATATGCATACAGGCGACAGGAGGAGGTAAGCCACACTGGGTTCCACTAACCGATATACCTATAAGAAGGGTGTTTATTACGGGGGCATGGAATAAAAAGGGACTCACACACCAACATGTGGTTTCATTCTTGTATATACTACACTAGGAAGACATCAACTCAAGCATGTGATGCATTCTGGATGCCTAAAGAAGTTAATGAACACCATTGCCGCAGAGCCGAGCTGATAGTTACTAGGACTTTGACCAACAATTCAAATCCTCGATATATGTCTTCGGTATTAGTGGCGATTATAACCCTATTTCGTCACCAGGCTATACTCGTTTCGATTGATCCCTTGCATAGGTATCTTTCATATGTTGGTCAATGTTGAGAAGGTAAGATAACCGAATCAAGAGCATCCCAGCTTTAAGCTTGAATCCTTCGAGACGACTTACATACATATATATTATCTCTGGCGGCGGGGGTGCACATGTTGGTTCCAAATAATCGGATTCGAATGAGACGTTGGCGGTAGCATCTAACCCCAGGTTCCAACATACCATGTAGGTAGCTACCTCTTACCTTTTTGTGCCGCACGGGGTGTGAGTTTAGCAGAATTGTCACATCTTACGTAGACGTGTAAGTCCTGCATACATATCTGTTCTACCAGGTGGAAATGTCATATCGTGTCTTAATAGGCAAATTAAGCGTTGTATTGAAAAAGTACCTCTATGTTGCCGCGCCGAAATACATAGTCTCGAAACATTTACGTTAACCCTGACCTGCAAATAAGCATTGTTATTAAAATATAGGTAATGTATACCTACCTAGCCTAAGTATTTTCTTATAATAGTCGTAGTGTCTCGTTCCTTTACTATAATGATTATCTCATATGGATGTGCCATACCCGGTACATGATACTAAGTAGCTCAATAGAGCAGCTTCACCTAGGTAGCTAGCTAGTTGTATGAGAAGCTCGCAGCTATCGTTTAATTATTCCATGTTGTTGTTGTTGTTGTTGTCGTCGAACAATCTGTTCTAATGCTTTACCCGATACTTTTCGCCGTCATTTCTGGGTTCTTTGCTCGCAATGGCGTCTTCATCCGCGGCGAATGGCATCTTTATGTTCCACAGATCGTAGCTGTCCACTTTCTATTATGGCTAGGCACGGTAGGTCTCGTGTACCAAGCCCGTAGCTTCGTTTCCGTTGGCGGAGCTTTTCGGCAGGCTTCCATTATAGCGGCGTCATATTTCACTGCGATGTTTACTAGCATGGCAATTTATCGCTTGTTCTTCCACCGTCTATCTAAGTTCCCAGGACCAAACCTTGCTGCTGTCACTAAGCTATGGCACGTGTTTAAGATTCGACACTCGACAAATCACTTGTGGTTGAAAGAGCTGCATGAGAAGTATGGAAGTGTCATACGAACAGGTAGGTTTATACCCATATTTTATACCAACTTCGGTTGATCTTAATGTTTCATATATGCTGAAGCCAAGGAGCTCTGCTGTCTTCACTCGGAATGAACAGGAGCACAAAGATGGTCGTAGGGCCTGGGTACAGGCAATCTCCGGGAAAAGTAAGGGGATCCTCGCCTGACAAGGTCTAACTTGTATTAAGGGGTTCATCAACTAACATGCTATCCAGCCATGAATTTGTTTAGCTCGTGTATTTTCTAACATGTGCAAGAGCTATGCGAACGTTTCCGTGGGTTTGGTGGTACTCGGCCAGTCCACATAGACGAACAAGTGTCTCGGTTCACTTTTGATGTAGTTGGAGACATATTATTCAACCAGGACTGGTTTAAGATGGTTGCATTCTGCGAAGGTCAAATGAAACAACGTATAAATGTAAGCTTCCTCTGGTTTGAGGAATAATACTATATTAACGATAGTATGATATAGGAAGGCGATAATATAGATCGGGCGGACATGGCAACTCACTTTATCGACGAGTATCAAAAACTCCATAGATTCCATACCATAGAGGAACGCGATCTTTATCTTCACGGAACAGCAGTTACGGCTGTAGTCGCAGGCAGGTGAGTCAACCATACCCCTATTCTCCCCCCTGATGCTTTATAACACACATTAACGCGCCCTTGGCTACCATAGCGATACCACCCGGGCCGGTGGAGATTATCTTTGAGCCGAGAGAGAAGACGGTTATGATGATTGTTCTTTGGGAGGCTTGCGTGGTTTTCTTTTGGGGGGGGGGTATGGCTTGGCGTATGGAGCCTTGGGTTGTGGTTAGGCATTGCCGTCATGAGCTGAGATGGAGGCTATTCGGTTTGGCAAGTTGTTGAAGACTTAGGCTTGGCTATACTAATGACTTGGATACCCTGAATTTAACCTCGGCTGTCTTTCCCATTATTTCTTCTGAGCGGGTTAGTAGGAGGTCTGTTTTGCTTCAAATGCGATTCATGGAGCATAGGTTCATATGAGCCAAGCTCAGAAAGCAAGCATGATAGATATATCAATGGGCAATATACTTTTATTAACCCATCAACATAAGAAATCGAAATCGACGTGGAGTACCTAGACCTAGACTCTAGAAAACCCAGCCAATAATCAAGGGCTACCTACGGCATCGTACTACATTACACTAACATCACGCCGACGAGTCCGAAGATGGCCACTATAGAAACTCTGGCTATTAAAAAGAAGTGGTGTACAAAACCGCCATCCCTAAAATAACGAGAATCCACCTTCAGCAAGCCCAACTCCCTGCAAAAAACGAATATCGTGACCAACGAACAAACCATCCCTAAACGCACAAACAAAAAGTCTCAAAACCCCATCATCATAGTCCACAATTCCTTCTCCTTCTCCAAGACCATACGATCCCTTGCGAGGGCCTGGGCGAGGCCAAGCCGTCGGTTGATACATCGTCCCTGGCAGCGGCGGGAAGACGATGGGTTGTTCACACTCTCAGTGCCGGGTACGCCGACTCCCGGGACGCCAACGAGAGTAACAAGATCATCAATAGGCCGCGGAATTGGAGACGAAGCCGGTCGGAGGCCAGGTTGGGCAAATACCGAGGGTCTGTGGAAGTACGGTCCAGCTCTCGATTGAGCCTGCGATCGCGGCTGGACCGTTGAGTATGATGCCGGGATTCTAAAAGGATTTCCGTTAACAGGACCTGCCTAAGGCTGTGGCACAGAGAAGGATGCTGCTGATCGGGGTCGTTTCAAGCTAACTGCTCCGGGACGTACGTAATAGTCGTCTTCGTCCTCATCGGCCTCTTCCTGGGCCGGACCGTCCATTTGAGAATAGCGACGGAATGTCGTGGGCGCAAATGCAGGAGTAACGGTGGGCATGACTCGATCAGAGTATCGAGGGGGCAAAGGACCTCTGATCTGAGTAGGATGAGCGGAACTGCCAGACTGGCGTCGCCGGGCTTGCATAGTATGAAGCGTTGGCGAGGAAGCCGCGGTGGACGGGTCGGAAGACGATGTCTCTATAGTGTTGTGTATGTCATTAGGTAGCGCGGCACGATCATCGTCCTGGAAAGTTGAAGCCCCCTCTAGGCCAGAGATTTCTTGATTCGCGACTTCAAGTTCACCATTACCGTTGGAGTCTTCTCCCAACAACGAGAGGCTTGAGGTGGACATCTTAGCGTCCCACAATCCCTAGAGGGCGCCAACGTTAGAACTACTACAAAACTATTAACCTAGAGGGGTGAAGAACTAACCTGAACCTGAAGGGGGTCAGTTACGAGCCCGCCGGCCATCATCCACGAGCCATCGGGAGAATCTCCAGTCGCAGCGCCGGGTCGGTCATAAACAATGCCAAAGTCATCAATGTGATCTTTGACGATGTCATCTAGTCGACGTCTTTGTTCAAGTTTCTCTAGGTCAGCAGCCTGGGCAGCCTGAGTAGAAGTCGATGCGTTGGCTGTGGTGCTATTCACTGCCGAGTATGATTGCTGGTGTCCGCGACTTGCGCCTGACTGTTGTTCTTGATGCTCGGCTTTCATCTTGCCTTTGCCGGATGACTTGTGACCATCGAATTGGCTGGGGAGGTTTGAGGATAGTGTATTACCAGCTTCCTGGTCATCATGCTTCTTTTCGCCAGACATGGTCGGGACTGACGGCATCTCCTAAGTGCCCTCGTCAAACCAATCATCATTCTCCTTCCACGTCTCATTCGCCAAAAGGCCTGCTGAGAGATCAACTTCGTCCGAAGTAACCTGCTTGCGCTTCTTGCCTGATGCACTATCGTTGCCCTCCGACTTCCTCTTTTCGCCACATACTTCCTCACTTGCGGAAGCACGCTCGGTGGAATATCCGCTCAATGTCGGATATTGGTGGACATCGTTAGACTGACCGGTAGCCTCCGAGCATGGCAATGGCATGGTGAATTCTTTGTCGGGATTCATCTTGCTTGTGTTTCTCTCATCAATGGTATTCAACCTAGGGTTTTTGTGGGATACCAGTAGTGGTCCAAGGTGTTGATTGAACCTTGAGTCTAGTTGTTGAATGGTATCGTACAGTTGTTGTTTCTGTTTAGAAGAGTGGTTCTTTCTACACAATTCTTTGAGATGAGAAAGTTTCTTAACGTGTTGGCGTGCTTTCTTTCTCAGATGCTTTTGTCTCCGTAATAGCTTTTTTTTCGACAGCTTGTCGTCCGGGCCGAGCTGCGTTTTCTCGTCCTCACGTAAGAGTTTTTTGTTAAGCTTATTGTGCTTTGAGATGAGCTTTTCGGTCTTAGTTGACAAGATGCGGAGGTCTCCGGAGGTTAAAGACGGCACGGTCTGAAGCTGTGAACTGCTGCCGGAGCGGGATGTTGTTAGTGAGCCGTGACTCTTGTCAGTGTCGATATGCGGGCCAACTTTTGCCAACCGAGATGTCAAATCTCGGTTTGAAGTAGAATCCACCATCATTGACAAACTCATGAATGGGACATAGAAGCTCTTAGAAGAGATGATGCAGATGAACCGGAGATGCATCGAATGTAGTACCATGTTCCCCGAGAAGAATGAAATAGTCTGCTTACCTATTTACTTTCGAAGCAACCCTAGAAACGTTTGTTGCCTACCTGCTGGACTTCTGACTGCTAACCATAGGCTACATACCTATTGATTGGTACTTAGGTGAGGTTTGTTGCTCTTGCTGCTGTTGCTGTTGCTGTTGCTGTTGCTGTTGCTGTTGCTGTTGCTGTTGCTGTTGCTGTTGCTGTTGCTGTTGCTGTTGCTGTTGCTGTTGCTGAGTTTAGCTTGAAGCTCTCAATACCTCATACTTAAGATGGAAGTATAAAGTAGGTACCTAACCTAGTTACCTACCTCTATGTATACTTGATGTCATAGCGCACGGAATACAATATCGGGATTAAAGTACCGATATCTAATCGATCAGCTCTACAGCTCTAGACCCAAACCAGCCAAGTCTACCTGCAAGTAGCAATATGCGGATTACTAGACCATTGAACCTCGGCTCGAATCGTTAGATCATGTGGGGCTTGTATTCCTAATGCCGGACACTTGCCCGTCTTTTTGTTGCGTTTGAGCTTCAGGAACCCATTAGCCGCTCTTTAAGTCCGCTCTTTAAGTATACACATACTTAGGTTAGTAGCTCTCCATACTATACACTCCTACGTACAACTCTTTACTCGTAAATCTATACCATACCACGCCCATTTACATCTCCAATTCCAATTAGACGAACGTCAACCTCAGTGAAATCGAAAATGAGCAGTCCAGGAGCCGGGTTTGAATATCCTCCTACCGAGGTATCGTGGACAAAGCGCGATGTCTTGCTGTTTGCCAACACTATAGGCTGTACTTCTGACGAGCTTCACTTCCTCTACGTTAGTCACCTCTTGCCTATACATGCTATAACCATCCGTCGTATCTTTCTAACGGTCTAATAGGAGCTCGATCCTAATTTCTCGGTGTTCCCGACCTATCCGGTCATTCTCCGTAAGAACTGCCCTACGAACCGATTGAAATATACGCGATTAACAATACATAGCTTTCAAAAAGACCCAGCAAGAAGTCATCGACTTCTATGCCTCGGAGAAGGAAGTCAAAATCCCCGGCGTGCCCGACTTCGATGCGCGACGAGTCGTCGACGGTCAGCGACTTGTCCAATTCCTCAAGCCCCTCCCTACAACGTCGGCCGGCAGGAAGTTCGAGATCCGGAGTAAAGTCCTTGGTGTATACGATAAGGGCCGACCAGGCTCGGTCGTCGATATTCAGCAGGACCTGGTAGACGTTGAGACAGGTGAGGTCTACACGCGCGCCATCGGCAGCTCGTTCTACGTAGCGCAGGGCAACTGGGGTGGTCCCAAGGGTCCCGCAACCGAGAACTTCCCTCCGCCAAAGGACAAGAAGCCGGACGTCGAGTTCGAGAACCAGACCAATGCGCAGACACCCCTGCTGTATCGGTTGAACGGCGACTACAACCCGCTCCATGCGCACCCGGAGCCAGGCAAGAAGATGGGATTTGGCGGTGTCATCATCCACGGCTTATACTCGTTCAACTCAACCTGTCACGGTCTGCTGCAGAAATTGGGTGGCAGCGACCCTGCCAACATTAAGGAGTTCCAGGCCCGATTTGCGAGCCCTGTACGCCCTGGAGATAAGATAGTCACATCCGTATGGAGGACCGGCCAGGTGAAGGGGGAGTGGGAAGAGGTTAGATTTGTAGTTAAGGTTGCGGGTGGGAAGGTTTGTTTGAGTAACGGGAGAGCGTTGATGAAGGTGGTGGGAGAATCCAAGAGCAAGCTATAAGCGGAATTTTATATTGGGAATGATTTTAAGCTATAAAAGATGTCAACTACCTACCTATGGATGTGTAAAATAAGTATATAGCGATTAGCTTAGGTACCTATATTGCAATATTATTCTCAAACTTGAAAGGCATTCCAGGGTAACTACCTACCTAACTAGAACTTGATAGTGTGTAGGTAGGTAGGTAACAACATCCCCTGTGACGCCGTAACAGTTTCTCGGTAACAAATAAAAATTGTTGCCTGATCCGACTCCATATATTCTACATTCTACACCAGCCAGACCGAATAGTCTACAAGAAGTAGACACATGTTTTTTTTCAATGTTATTATAGAGTAACGCTGTTATGATGGCTACAACTCCAAAGGTTGGCGATCGATTGTCTTACGACGGCGCTGTTTGTACAGTTCGATATGTCGGCGAAGTCAGTGGCACGTCCGGTAGTTGGCTTGGCGTCGAATGGGACGACCCAACTCGGGGGAAGCACGACGGTTCTCATAAGGGAGTGAGATATTTCACTTGTAAGCACCCAGAGCAATCGTATAAAGAAACAAATAATAGAAATCTAATTATGAGAAGGCCGCTATAAATCAGCGACGGCCGCATCTTTCGTACGGCCAACGCGGCCCATGGAGAAGCCGCAGAGCTTCGTGAGGGCAGTGACTGAGAAGTACGCCTCCGAGCTGGAGAAGACGACTGCGATCATGTTTTCAAACAAGATAGCGGAGGAAGTTGGGTTCGAAAAGATCCAACGCAAACAGGCGCAGTTATCCGAACTAAGGGCTGTCATCGTCGACGGTGCACGTATCGCAACGGCTTATCTAGAGGGTGACGGTCCTATTGGTGAGACATTCCCCAAGATAACCGAGTTGGACCTCAGCCGGAACCTATTTCAGAATGTGGGAACCGTCGTGACTATCTGTTCCGAGCTGCCTGCTTTACGAAGTTTACGTTTGAAGTAAGTCTATAGATCGCGGGCGAAGCTGTATTAGGTCGCTAATTGCTGGATAGTGGAAATCGAATTCAAGACATATTTAATGATAAAGGTCTGGATAATTCAGAGACTTCCTTGCAAAATATCAAGGACTTGGCTTTGGATGACACTCTCATGAGCTGGGAGGAGATATGCCATATTGCAACCAAGTTTAAGATACTCTCATCCCTCTCATCCAGTGCGAACCAATTATCCTCTCTGCCGGAGACTCGGTTATCGACACTATCTTCTACTCTGACTTCTGTGGATTTGGAATTCAATAACTTCACTACCATCGCTGATATCGCCAGCCTAGCCGGATTGGCGTCACTTCGTAATCTTCACCTCAAAGGAAATTTCATCACCAGCATCACCCAAGACCCATCCGATAATCTACCAGTATTTTCGGAAACTCTGAAATACCTAGATGTATCATACAACCAAGTATCATCATGGGCATTCGTCGACGCCTTACCAACATGTTTCCCAGGCTTGATGTCCCTCCGCTTCTCGCATAATCCTATATATGACAACCCAGATCCTGAATTTTCTGCCCAGTCTAAGGCAATCACGGAAGAAGCGTACATGTTCACAGTTGGCCGTCTAGCAAATCTCAAGATACTAAACTTCGGTACGATATCGACCACCGACCGTCAGGACGCAGAAATGTTCTACTTGGGTCGTATCGGCAAGCATCTGGCTACTGTCCCGGAGAATAAGGAAGCTGAAATCATCAAGCAGCACAGACGTTATGCCGAATTATGTGAACTATACGGACCACCAGTCGTTAACAGACAAAAAGAGATCAATCCTACTTTTCTAGAAGCTAGACTGGTTACAGTACACTTCACCTTCCGCCCTAAATCTCAAGAAGGCGATATCGTAGAACGAACAACCAGGATCCCAAAGAGCTTTGATATATACGCCGTGAAGGGGATTGCTGGCAAGCTGTTTGGGGTGAATCCGCTCGGCGTACGCTTGATTTGGGAGACTGGGGAATGGGATCCGGTTGCAGGATTCGATGACGAAGTTGAAGACAGCAGTGATGAAGAGGAGGAACAGGAGAAGGGAGAAACGGGAGAAGCTATAGACACGGAGGAGGGCTCCCAAACAGACACAAAGACCGGTAAGTGGGTCAAGCGAGAGGCAGAGCTGCAAGACGGGCCCCGGCAGCTTGGGTTTTGTGTCGACGGTTTGGATGTAAAAATTAGGGTTGAGGCCCGATGATAAAGGGTAACCCAGGTAGATTTTATTCCATCGATATAATAAAGCTAAAGAGACCATTCAAGTCAACATGAAGGGTTAGCTTAATCGTATAATCCAAACCCCAGAAAGTCTCTCGGCGAGTGAGTGAAGACACTGAGACATGTTACAATAGATTGCAGCATCTCATTCATGGTGTCTGACAAGTTTCCATCTCCATTGGCTTAACTGCATGAATTATACAAACGGGCAGTTCTTGCATGACTGGCAAGCAAACGAAACGGATATCTGCCCAAACGACTCACCAGAGGTTTGTCCCTAGGGTTGCTACATAGCTATTATAGAATCAAATCTATACACATATACGTAACTTGGTCTGATTAATTTACACTAACCTAGGCTACTCCCATCGTCCAAGTTGGACTTACACTCCGAAATTCTAGAGCATGAATTATATCTCCAACCCTACAGAATTATGGCTAACACGGATAACAACCAATACGTCGGAGGAGGAACAGGAGCTGGCAGTCAGCAGCGGGCCAACAACTCCGACTCTATTTCTGGTCCCAGACCAACGCAGAACCAAATACCACTACCTCATTACTTCATCGTCCGCCCAGGAACGATAAAGCACACGGCGTCGGGCACAGTAACGACACCCGGACCCATCGTGCCTCTCGTCGCCGTAGACCAACTACCCGAATGGCTGGACTTATTCGGGGTACCGCGCGAGCTGAGCGTCGAGCAGACCGTCGGTCTCCGCAACCTGGGAACCGCGGTTAGAAATCCCAAGTTCTACCAGGTGTATATGCGCAGTGACCTCCAAGCATCTCCAGCTGCTCACCAGGGGGGCTATCACACGCAGACAGAGCAAGGCCAGCGAAACCGGGTGCAGGGTACGAATAATAGCACGCTGGTGCCTGTCGACATCCCCACAACATCCACTTCTCCCTCCACCTCATCATCTACATCGTTGACGTCGGCAGACCCAACTTCAGAATCCTCTCCTACCACCAACGGCCCAAATACCCAAGCCACCAACACCAGCAATCCCCACACCAAACCAGTCAAAACCAGCCAACACCCAAGATTCCCCTCAACAAGCAACAGCACACCCCCCACAAACCCATACCCCCTTATCCCCGCCCCCGCTCCCGCCCACTTCCTCTGGTACCCCCCCTCCACCTCCACCTCCACCTCCACCACCCGCTCCAAACCCCACCCGCACCCCCTCCACCTCCACCTCCCCAGGCCCAGCACCCACAGCCACCACACCAACGGCAGTCCCTCCAGCCCCTACTGCAAACACTGGTGCCACCGCGGCACCTGCCGCTGGGGCGCGCACTGCCGCTACGCGCACGAGATGCCGACGACCGCCGCGGGGCTGCGCGACGTCGGGCTCGCGCACCACCCGGCGTGGTATACCACCGCCGTGAGCATGGCTTTCGGCCCGGGCGCGCTGGGACTGGGGTGGTGTCCGCCGCTGCCGCCGCTGCCGCCGCCGCCGTCGGGGTCGGGGTCTGCTGGTGGTGGTGTGCTGCGGTATAGGGAGAAGGAGAGGGTGGAGAAGAGGGAGAAGAAGAGTGTGGGAGCGGGGGCGGGGGCGGGGGTAGGAAAAAGAAAGGGGAAGAAGGAGATGGATGGGAAGAGTAGTGGTGGTGATGAGGTGTTGGCGGAAGCTGAGCTGCGGAAGGAAGACGCTGCGGAGGAGGAGAATGTCGATGTTGGTAGTAACCAGGGGCAAAAACAACCGGATGTTGTTGAGAAGTTAGTTGAGATCTAAGAGAGTCAATAAAAAGCTGTTGGGATGATTTCTTATTGTGGAGTCCACGCCGCAAATACCGCGTATGATAAATAAGACGAATACACACATGCACCGAACAGACATCCCTGGGTTAGTCCGTAGTACTCGCATGCGTAATGTAAGCAGATAATGTATTTGATATCATAGTTGGTTATTGCTGCTAGGCCAATGAAACGAGACTCGCAACTCCAATCATGCTCCCAGACAAAAGGAACACGGCTAACGACGTTATAAAACCGCCGCCACCGGCGCCGGACAGAACAGGCCCCTGAGCATACATATCCCGTCGCCCAGCTTTATACAGTTGCCTCTCTCCTCGCTTTTCCAACCTCATCCCTAGCCCAGCCTTAGTCCCAGTCCGCAGATCATCTCGTCGTCTATTAGGACTCATACCGTTTCGTACTTCTCTATACCTCGCTTAGCTTAGCTTAAAAGCTCATCTCCTTCTTGATCTCGGCAATCGCCAGACCCGGGTTCAGACCCTTGGGGCAGGTCCGCGTGCAGTTGAGGATGGTGTGGCATCGGTACAGGCTCATCGAGTTGTCGAGCGCGGCCTTGCGCTCTGCCTTGCGCTCGTCGCGAGAGTCGGCTAGCCAGCGGTACGATTGTAGGAGGATGGCGGGTCCTAGGTACTCCTCGGCGTTCCACCAGTATGAGGGGCACGACGTCGAGCAACACGCGCACAGAATGCACTCGTATAGACCGTCTAGCTTTCGGCGCTCAGCCTTGCTCTGTCGGTATTCTTTGCCCTACGTAATGAACACAATCAGTATAAGCGATAGAGGAGATTATCTCGGTGGATTGGTGTCGTACATCTGGGGAGGGGGTATCCCGCTGTAGGTAAGGCTTGATCGATTTGTACTGCTTGTAGAAGTGTGTCAAGTCTGGGACGAGGTCCTTGACGACGTATGTGTGGGGTAGCGGGTAGATCTTCATCTCAGCGCTGGTTTCCGTGGGTATACGGCCTATGAACACCGTGTTAGCCGCGACGTTGTCTTGCTTTTCTGCGTCGCCAAGATGACTTACACAAGCAAGCCAAGGTATTCGTCCCGTTGATGTTCATCGCACAGCTGCCGCAGATACCTTCTCGGCAGCTTCTGCGGAAGGTCAACGTGGGGTCTAGCTCGTTCTTGATCCTGACCAAAGCATCGAGGACCATGGGTCCCGTCTTGTTTAGGTCCAGCGTGTACGTCTGCATCCTCGGCTTCTCGGTCGGAGTGTCAGGGTTCCATCGGTAGATTTGGAACGATTTCATGCGGGAGTCGGTGCTGCTTTTCGGATTCGCCTGGACCGTGGCGTCACCTAATGAAGCCATCGATCGTACGAACACGGACGGGAACACGGCGGGCCGCGACGAGGCAGCGGCGGCGAACAGCCGTGATGAGGTAGAGCGAAGAGCTGCCATTGCGGGCAAATTCGGGAGAGCGGTTTTTGCTGGTTTAGCTGGTTGATTCCCTTTTTCCTTGCCGTCGCTATTGGCAATTAGGTGAGAAAAAGTATAAGAGGACCAAAATCTAGGACAATATATTGAAACTAGAAGAGAATCAACCGGCCTAGCAATTATTCAATTAGAAGTTGTTACAGGAATTAGTGGCAAAAGAGGAATTGAAAGTCTTCCATCATCGAACTTTCCACCCGACCCGGTTTGCCCTCGGCTATTGGCATGAAATGTTCCGACCAATCACATGCTTTCAATTAATCAACTCAAGCGGGCCGTTGCTAATTCCGACCCGACTTTCACATGCGGGCACTTACCGTTCTTAGATCTAGCGCCGTCTATTGAGCCACTTGTCCGATAAATTCTTAGAAGGACCAATAAGCTTGGCCCGCACTGAATCGCATCGTGCATTGTAGCGTACATCAGCCTAAGTAAGCCAATGATCAAAGACGTATTTGATATTCTTGCATGTAAGCTAGCCCCAGGGTTATAATACCTATAGGTATACAGAGTAGTTAAGGAGCAAATGTTCGATCCTTGAATGAACTCAGTTCATTCCTACCGTCCTATTACTCTCAGCTAAACGCCCATGACCTCACAAGTAAAGTACGATACGAAACCCCCACGAACCCCTGGATAGACCATATCTTCAGTTGTGAAGTTGTATGGATATATTTAAAAACGTCCTCATAACATTATCTGTTTCTTCCACCGGATCAATGCCGTCTTCTTCCGTATCTACGTCGTCATCTATATCGTATTCTAGTATCATTCTAGAAAATCTTATTAGCACTTGCAATCTTCTCAGAATGGAGTTTTGGCCTACTTGGGTCTTGGTACAACTGTAGTGCCTCGAGCTCCGCTTTCATGTTCGATCCTTGGTAAGAGAATGATCTGACTCTGTGATCATAGCTCTTTCCAAAACTTACCGCAACTCGGTGACCTTCTATATCAATATTTTCTAGGTGGATATATTTAAGATGTGCGCTTGATCGGAATAGTTCCTTAAGTAGTTGACAGAAGTTATCGAAATCCCACTCCAGGAAACCTATATCAATAAGGGTTAATTTTCGGAGGCTAGAGCATTTTCGAATAAGAGAAAAGACGTCCGTCGTCCAAGTCAGGCACTTCTTAATCTCACACTCATAGACTTTCGTATACTCTAGCGGCTTGAGCTTAGGTGGTCTTCCGTTTTCATTAAATGAAATCGGAGCCCCTAACAACTGGAACATATCTCCACCACTTCACACTGCATGCCTCTGAGATGTAAGGCTTCGAGACGGGTTGCATGTGAAAGGAATGTGTATAAATAATACTCCCCGAATAAATCCAAGCTTCTAACATTTGGTGAAATCAGGCGTGGAAAGGAGCAACCCAGGTTGAACCCAAAATCGATAATTTCTAGCCCACAGATTATAGGCAAGATAGTATCTTTCGCAAAGCTAGGGATGTGAAATGTTTGCTCATCATTCAATAGATCCATCATTGCGCAAATATCAAGTCGTCTCGGCCTTGATCTTGATTCTCCTAGCGCAAATAGTACAGGCTGCACACACCTGTTGATTCCAGATAAGGGTGTCCGACGAGGCCTCCCTACACGAAATGTATAGGGCGAGGCGCCGATTTCCCTATAGACCTGGGAAGTTCCTAAACTGATGGCCTTATGGCTAGCGCAATTGCACGGATTGTCGCGAACCGAATCACAAATCCCGACTCTTTCGAGTTTTAGATTACGAAAGGCTTTGATAAGTAATTGCTGATGGCGTCCAGTATTTAGAAATGCTAACTGGTCGGCGGCTAGTTGGGTAAACTTGTTGATACTGACTTGCATCTCGGTAGACAAGTCGTCACTACTGTCGTATTCATGAGCTCCATCGAAGTGTTCGAAATGGAGACTTGCCTCAATAACTACGTGTTTTAGGTAGGGCGACAGGCGGGACTCTGAGATGTCCGCAAGAGCCTGTAGGCTATATTCGGTACACATGAAACGGATCATAGTGAAGTATTTTTGAGCGAATTCTCGGAAGAGCGAGCCTTCAAGTTGTTTACAGACCAAGCGAGCAGCTGTAAAGTCTCGTCTATTGAGGTGTGAAACGATCAGGAAGAGTATTTCCAAAGGTATGGTAGTGAGGTTCGGCGAAGACATTGTTCAAGGTTGTATAAACACGTCAACTTCAGAAGAGGCACCTAAGGTAGGTAAGTAGTAGTATTAACGATACGTGACAATGTTGAAGTTTAGAATGAAATTGATCTTGTGCAAATGACCAACTACCTAACCTAGGTAGTTATTTCAAGTTTTATTCCAGGCATTCGCTCTTTCCCTTTTTTAACGCAAAAAATCTGCACATACCTAGGTAGGTATACATTAGGTACATAATGTACCTAAGGTAGGCACCTCACTAATACAAGAAGCCTTACACTGCCGGGGTTGCGCCTGGGCGGTCAGCTACTGTAATCCTGACACCAAGTACCCACCTAAACAGCTGCTGCCGCCTGCCACGACTTTGCCTTTCTAGTACAGTTCAAAGTAGGAAATCGAACGTTGCAGATTGAATTGCAGAGACATAAAATCTACCTAGGTGAAGGATGTGAGGCAGTTTATATAGTATCGCAGGTTGTGGCCACCCATGGAAAGCCGCCTTTTCAGCTTAAATCACGATGCTCTCGAAGATACATAATGGTGTATTATCTAGACCTTTAATTACAAATATTCAGCACCAACTGAGGCCGCCGGTCCCGTCCTCGATTCTCTTGCGACAGCAAGCCTATCGCACCCGAACATTCTCTGTACAACCGATTCTTCGATCACAAGAAACGCAATCAAACGCAGATTCTACGCACAAATTCATATACCATGCGGCCGCTTCGTTTTCTGCCAAATATAAGAGATTTAACCCGACAAACGACGTCTTTCATTTCAATCCCTATAATCGCATCCAAACGCAGAAGCAGCGTCCCAAATCGAAGCGTCCAGCAAGTGGACAGGATGCTTTCTTTATAAGTCGTGTAGGCGACACAAACGCTATTGCCTTTGGCATTGCAGACGGCGTTGGGGGCTGGGAAGATAGTGGTGTTGACCCAGCCGACTTCTCACACAGCTTCTGCGACTATATGGCCTCGGCAGCGTATGAACATAGGCTAGACGCAGCTGGTTCGTCCTTGATGGCCAGGTCCCTAATGCAGAAAGGATACGATGACGTATGCCAGGATGGATCCATTCATGCTGGGGGTAGCACAGCCTCGGTTGGTATCGCGAGTGAAGATGGCAAGCTAGAAGTTGCTAACCTGGGTGACTCGGGATTTGTGCATTTACGTCTAAATGCTGTACATAGCTATTCAGAGCCGCAGACGCATGCCTTTAACACGCCGTATCAGTTATCCATCGTTCCGGCAAGCATGCTGGCACGCGCCGCCGCATTCGGTGGGGCACAACTGTGTGACTATCCCAGAGATGCGGATGTCACACAGCACACACTGAAACATGGCGATATACTCGTCTTCGCGAGCGACGGAGTCTGGGACAACCTGTTCAACCAAGACATACTTCGAATAGTTAGCCGGTTGATGATCGAACTGGGCGCCTGGCAAGCAAGTGACGGTGGCATACTCGTCGCTGACAACTTGCTGCCCTACACCCAAGCAGAAGATTCGACGCAGCGGCCGTTGACGCTTCAGAGCGCACTAGCAGTAGAAATCGCAGGGGCCGCCAAACTGGCGAGTACGAACCAACGGGTTGACGGACCATTTGCTAAAGAGGTTCAAAAATATTATCCCCAAGAGAACTGGCATGGCGGTAAAATCGACGACATCTGCGTCGTCGTCGTAGTGGTCTCCGAGGAAGGGAAATTAGAAGCAATCAAGAGCAAGCTATGAAATTACAATGACTAGTATTGTACCCAAGTTGAAAGAATATAGAATTATGCATTGCCAGGCGTTTAAAAGAAGGGAGGAATCAATATTTTACGAGCATTCTACAAGCATTCTGCATATAAAAGCAGGCGGGCGGGCAGGGGAGGCAGGCCATACTTGTATGATATCCGCTGCTAGATATAGTTATGCCTATTTATAACTCTATATTTCAACACGCATGTTTAATGGTAGATACCTATTATTATACTCACACCTCAACGGGGCTGAGGTCTTCTGCTGTGATATGTATTGTTTTATATGGTCATCCTTGACCGCTTTTCTTGGCCGGTGCTTGGAGGTACAAATATGAGTAATACGAGATACTAACGAAATACGAATACATCCGTGTTTATATGTATAGTCTGGTGTTTATATGTAATGATGCCCACATGCATATTCCGCATACACAGAAACACATAGAAGACAAATATAGGACTGCTACTATGTATGTACTATAATGCTTAGCGTACATGTAGTTTGCAATGCGTACCTATGTAATATAATGCCTGCTACATGTAGTTACCTATTACATGTGAATATAAGTTTGACCAATAAAACTATTGTGGAGAGTTGTCGTCAATCGGTAATTGCCAAATCCCAGCCTCCCCCACATAGTACGTCTATGTATTATATGTATAGGTAGGTATGCATATAGGGAAGCTCTAGGTGGGGCGACGACGACCAATTCCACCTTTTTAATTCTTGGCCTGTAAGTGCAAAACTTCTACGTACATACAACAATCCCATTCCTTAATGTATCCAATTCTATAGCTATCTCAATTCGCTATAATTGGCCCGAAAGTTAACAACGCGCGACCATGGACGATACTGTCGCGCAGTCAGTGGAAGGCCTTCTGCCCGACTCGCTTGAAGTGCCTATTGATGAACCCTTGTCAATATCTGATCCCGCTGAAGTTTTCGGTATCGAAGCTCCATCGCCGCAAATTCCCACCGACCTCCCCGAGGATACCTCGACTGGTACTACCCAGAGCGAATCTAGTAGCTTGAAGCGCTCTAGACCCCATGACGAGGCGGACGAAGGATGGCAAACCGTAAGCAAGCGCTCTTCCAAAAAGTCGAAAAAAGACAACAAGGAAAAGAAGATTCCGGCGCCCCAATCGACCAATTACCCTTCCATCACGTTTAATCACAATGCCAAGCTCCAATCTAAGATCGCACTCGACTCGCTACGAAACCTCATCCTTTACATTTTCGCTGAAGGCGCAGCTCCTCAATGGGTTGCAATCTCCCAACGGCCGCAATTTCGAAAGATCGTCGCGATCATGGTACCGGGACTAGAAGAGGCTATGTTCAAGCAGGATGTCAACTTTACGACGTATAATGACCAGCCCTTTAATTCGGATCAAAGGCCCCGAGTGTTAACATCTCCGGATGACTATTATCCCCGACTTCTTAAAAAGGACGAGCTTCCTGAAATCTTGAAGGACTTCGCAGATATGTTCAGTCATCTATGGCCTGTCAGAACGCCAGGTAACGAAAAATATGGCACTATCCGCTCGCCACTCGGCACCATACTTACGGCGCCCACTGAAAAAACCAAAGAGGAGAAGAGTCAACGAGGAGTCCAACCTGCGAAGGAGCCAAAGGGTTGGAAGGACGACCGTACAAGAATCACCGAGTTTCTAACGATGCCAGAAGACTTCCTAGCCAATGGGTATATATTACATCCTGCCTGCATACCAGCAGAGCGGCGCAAGAATTTTCAAGATCTAGAGGGATGGGTTCATACAAATGTGGAGAATCTCGAAGATGGCGATATTCCCGAAGAGGAAATCCAACAAGGGAGTGTGACGGCGGGTCGAGAAATTCTTGCTCTTGACTGTGAGATGTGCGTAACGGGGCCCGAAGAGTTCTCCCTTACGAGAATCAGTCTTGTAGGATGGGATGGGACTATTGTTCTCGACGAATTGGTAAAACCCGACAAGCCAATTCTTGACTATGTCACCCGTTTCTCAGGCATCACGGAACAAATGTTAGCCCCTGTGACTACCACGCTTAGAGATATCCAGGCTAAGCTTCTGCAAATCCTCCATCCTCGCACAATTCTTGTAGGGCACTCCCTAGAATCGGATATGAAAGCACTGCAACTTACTCACCCATTTGTTGTTGACACTGCTATTCTCTTCCCGCACAACCGAGGACCCCCGTTAAAAAACAGTCTAAAGTTTTTATCTCAGCGGTTTCTCAAGCGGGAGATCCAGAAGGGTATGATGGGCCACGACTCGATAGAAGACGCAAAGGCATGTTTAGACCTTGTGAAACAGAAGTGCGAAAAGGGAAAATCCTGGGGCAACCAGGAGTCGGGTGAGAATCTGTTCCGACGGTTGACCAGAACAGGAAAGGCTTATCGTGCGAACGGTGGGGTTGAGGCTAAAGGAGGCATCCAAGTTGGGAAAACGAGCGCCATGATTGATTGGGGCGACCCCATGAAGGGTGCCGGAGCAGCTTCAACGTTTCCAATCGGGTGCAAGTCTGACGAGGAGGTGACTGAAGCCATCATGCGCGCTGTGAGAGGTGATCCCGTCGGAGAAGAGATACCTTTTGGCGGCGTTGACTTTGTTTTCGCACGATTTCGCGAGCTAGAGGCATACCAGGGGTGGTGGAATGGGACGAGCGACTTTCCGCCTCCCGACCTATCCAACATGTCCCTTGAAACATGCGTTCAGAACCTCACCCAGCGAATCAAGCGCATATACGACTCATTACCGCCATGTACCGGTTTCATCGTGTTCAGCGGTTCCGGCGACCCGCGCGAGATGGCGCGCCTACAGGCCATGCAAGCTCAGTTCAAGAAAGAGTACAATACGCCAGGCAGAAACTGGGATGATCTAAGCGTGAAGTGGACGGACAGGGAAGACCAAGCGCTGAAGAAGGCAGTCAATGTTGCGCGCAATGGCATCGGTTTCATCGGTGTCAAATGAATCAACTAATTCCCTTGTACTCTTTTTTTAAGGACGATGTATTTTCGGGATCCTTCTTAGGTATGTACGATACATGGTGTAGGGAGGCGGCATATGAGATACGAGCTACGAGCTACGATCGTGTTTGGCATTGGTATTCCGAGATACCCCATTTCTATATTCTTCGTCAAGGATAGGTACCTACCTACCTTACCTATATAGTTACGCGAATTCGCTAGGCTTTTATAGCTTGCGTAGGTTAGATTACTACCGTTTAGTTAATAGGTATGATATAGTATTGTTGCCTTTACAGTTACAAGATCTACTGCAGCGTCTAAGTTGGGAAAAGCCTCAAGGCGATTAGAGGCCCGGCAAGTACATACCCCCTACATACGTATGTACTCCCTTTTTTAACTCTGCCGTAACGTTATCTCATCTTCGCATTGCCTTACGACTGTTGCTTCCCCAGACAAAGTATGCTTCAGTCTAAGCACCTAGCAAGAACGGTGCGTGTGCTAATATGATAAGCTACATACCTAAAATGGTAGGCCTCTAGGTTAAGATTTAAGATGTTGCTAGGACCTCTTCCTTAGATAGATGGGTTGGGTATATAAACCATTGGTCAGAACATTTAAAGTCCCGAGAACCAAAATGTAGGAGTCGTCAAAATAATATTTCCTCGTCATGGATATCTTAGACGTGACAGAGCCTTTGGATCGAGTCGTATGCTATTGTGCTCGGTGCCGGGCAGTTCTATACTCGTTCACCAATCTATGGATCAGCATTGAAAACTATATCTGCCCCATCGCCTGTCCTAGATCCTTCACAAATGCCTATATCGCTCATGCGGGTTTCCCGACCATTATATATACAGGTCCCGCGCGAATTGGAAAGGAACGCACATTTCTAGAGGATTGGTACGGTTTATCTTCAAACAATACATATGTATAACACCACTCCTAACATCCATTATAAAACAGCCATGTACATGATATATCATGCCTCGCTTGCCAGACGGTACTTGGGTTCAAGTGTCTCCTAACACCGGCCAATCACGTTCTACGCGAGTAAGTTTTTGTGTAATCCCTACTTAGACATTACTTGCTAATGATCATAGGGGTCAAATGTTCTTCCGGTCTTCCTCAATTGTACTCATTCTTGCGAATGGCACCGAAGCGGATGCCAACCCAGAGACCGGGGAAATTGTTGGAGCCGTCATCCAACAGATGATTTGTCTAGAAACCCCATGCCTCAGTCCCGATCCTTCACTCACACCTTCGTCCCCCGAGAGTAACACGCACGCTAGCACGAGCAAAAGTGACCTTTCGATAATACAAGGCCAGGTTCTTGACCATCTACAAGCTCAGTTAGATGCTTCAAGAGAAGAACTCCAGGGGTTTGACCGTTCACGTCATCAACAAGACAGAGCTAGAGCTGGCTTCGTTTATACCACAACGCCGTGTGCCCAAGACAAGGTCGCGGAGCGGACGAAGGAAGTCGACGAGGAGTCGAAAGGGGTCGTGGACAAGTATTCCGGGGATGCCGACATGCAGGATATCATTGCCTCACTAAAAACCGAATTCAGTGAAATGAACCTGACCTCCACCCTTATTGGGCGAGAGCTTACTTGCGCGAGGCAAATAACAGCAGACCTACGCTTATCTCTAAGCAACAATCGCCACATATCAGCGTCAACCACGGAGCAACCACCACCACCACCACCACCACCACAGCGCGAAATAGCCACTTCAGATACCAGTCCCGCGCAACAAGACCTAGGACGCGTGCGAGAAGAGGTACATGGAACCACAGGAGTTATAAGAGAATATATCTCGTCGGTAAAGGCCTGTGCCGAGGAAGTATCCTTGCTACGAGCGGAGCTGGAAGGCCTCAGAGATGAACTGGCCTACAACGGGTCACGGCAGCCTCTACCTGAAGACAAAGACTCCCAGGTAGAATCCACCAATGGAAATGCTCACCACTGATGTTACCAAGGTTGGTTAAAGAACGAGCTAGGGGAGGAGGAAAGTATGGTTCTTAGGTTGAAGCGATGCCACTGCTGACATGTCTTCAAGCACTTCTTTAATTAACAGGATGCGACTTTTCGCAGCTTCCCAGGTCGAGCACCATCGGGCAGAGGTTTGGGGTAAGCGATGGCAAAGGAGGAATGGTGTTTTATATAAACACCAGGGGGAGGGGGGGGACAGTAAGCTATCAAGCATTGTCGTAGTACAGAACAAAGTCACCAATAGCTTAGTTTGCACTCTGCAATAATAACTTTGATTTGATTTAATTTAATTTAATTTCACAAGCCGAATTCAGTATCCATAATATCCAGGGCAAAGCCGGCTAGTGTTTGGACTGGTCCCAGGACCGCCATTGTGAAGAAACGGGTTTCCTCCGAACCAGTCGGGTTTCTAGCAAGAGCATTTACCAGCGCATTTTCAGTCTCTCGGCCCGGTATACCCTCTAGATCGTTCAGCAGGTCCTTTGCTTGACGATATATCTGCCATTCCGTTGAATGAGCCGCCGGGCAGTAATGGACAACCATGGCTAGAATTGCCTGGCACATGGTCGCTTGGTCCATCTTCCCTAGCGCTTGCGAGATCTTCGCCGATAGAGACCCGGTGCTGCTGCCCGACGCCCAAGGTAGCATCGAAGCTGTGTTGGCTAAGAGCTTCGCGATCATGAGCATGCCCTTCACCCTGGGTCCGGAGAAGGGCATAGGCCCTCTATAGGGATCGCTGTTCAGAGCAAGGAAGCACGAAACAACTAAGCCGTATTGGAAATAGGCCTGTTCGCAGAAGTAAATGCTGGCGTCGACGAACACTTGCGTTAACGGCTCGACGGCGTACAACTCGGCTTGTCGAAGCCGCGCGCACATTTTCCAGCGCTGGCGGAGCTGGTTGGACTTATCTGGCAAATCCAAGCCTTGCAGCGATTCTGTGCAGTTTGGGTATATCTCCTCGATGTATTTCTGCAGAGAGCTATTCGACTGCAGATGCTGCTTGATAGGTGGATGCCGCAGTTTGTCTAGATCGGGGACAAGACTGAACGAGTTCAGCTCGAGATGCGGATATTGCTGGCAGACTTGGTAGATGTCTAGGTCGTCTTTGCACCGGGGACAGAGGCATTTGAAGTGATACCGCGTCTGTAGCGCTTCTTGACGGTGCGAGCGATGGAGTGTGCATTCTGATGTGAGATGAGCGGTTAGCAATAACTTTACTACGCGATGCCGAGCTTACCAATATATGATATTTCGATCTCTTCGCCCTCTTTTATCTCCCGAAACGCGTGTAGGATCGCCTTGCGTCCTATAAACTGTACGAAAGCATTCGGAACGCAGGAATGGTTTATCATGGCCAGCACGGGATTGAGGTATGTCCCGCTCTGGCCAATGTCTGCGTCGAGTCGGTTGAAGGAGTTGACTTTGAGCTGGTCATCGTTAGGATTAAGAGTCTAGGAGCGAGAAAAGCAGACGTAGCGAGAGCAGAAGTAGAAATGATAAAGAGCTGTAGCTCGAGCTGTCTAGAACAGTCGTAGCAAAACTCGTCTTCACTCACCTTACACACAATCTCCATGGCCTCGGCCAGATTACTCTTGCTCACCTCCCGACTCAAGTAATGCAGCGCGGCGCGCGCCTGGAGCTCTATGCCAGCCCACGCCACATCCGGGTCCGTAGTGCGCACCGTCTCGACATGGCCTTCCATCTCCGCGACCGCGGCCTGCATCTCCGGGCGCACAAGCACCTGGACCAGAGCCCGGACGGGAGTTGGCAAGACCATGCGATCCGGATTGGTCTCCTCCTCCTGAGACGAAGCAGGATCGGGAGCGCGGACCCGTCGGAAGGCCTTGCACTCGCCGAGGCCGTGGGCGAGCGCCCAGTCGGCTTCCTGACATGCCGGGGCGCAGTAGTAGACTGTGCGACAGCCGGTGCACGCGCGCACGCGGACCGGGGGAGAAACTGTTGGATCTTGATCCGATGCTATGGCTAGACAGTAGTGGCAGGTCCGCGGTAGGTGTGGGTTGTCTGGGATAGCTATGCTAGGCGCCCCTTCGCCGTGAGCAAACACGGCGATGACGGCTCCCGGGCTGAAGACCTGTGATGCGAGGATAGAGCGGCCCCGGGTTGGGGACGGTGGGCTCAGGGTTATGCCGGGCGGGAGGGCGACCATCTTGGATATCTTGGGACTGGGAGGTTATCTTCTTCTTCGTTATCTCCTTCTTTGTGGTGTGTTAGATAGAAGGGATGGATGGTGGGTCCGGACTAGAGGTAGATCTTAAATATAAACTTGGTATTGTACAGTGCTCGTCGCACTTTTCAATCATATTCTTCTTATGGAACTAGTAGGGCTGATAAGTCAAGGGTGATTTATTAAAAAATGTATCGTTGATACCAAATATTTTTTATATGGACTACCTATATACCTAATTATTATCGGCAGAGAAAGCTTCTCTATAAGTCTATATATAATAATATATAACAACTAGTAAGGGATATCACTCAACTAGGTAGTTGACAACTTTCCATCGACTCCTTTATGTTATGCACAGCAAGCTCGTCCGTAGAGTCAAATACAATATGATCTACTTTCTCGGTGAGATGTCTATGTTTATATCATGCTCTATAAGCTGGGAGGATTTGGCATAGTTCTATGGATAGGTAACATCGACCAATAAGTCCCGCCGCTTTCCGCCGGCAAACTATGTACTTCATAGCATACGACACATACATATTCACTCCCGCGCGCTGACTGAGTCACAATATGAGATATGATCCTTCTCTTCCTATTTCAGCCGCAAGACTAGGCTATGGATTTCTAGCCATGTAGCCCCCAGTATACGCAGGTAGGTATCCCTCGAAGATAAGGCGTGCTTATTACTCCAATAAATATAAGCGTTAAAAAGCAGCACTCAATGTTGGCCGGGAATGGCTTGACTTATGCTTTACCTGTATTAAATTTATCTAATAAAGTATAAGCACACCACATTTCTCAAGCTTAGACTAGGATCATAGTTCTTGGGCCTCACCAATCATTAACTAATCGGTAAACCATGCCTCTCGAACTCCAACCCGCCACCGAAGCTGACGCGCCCCGAGCAGCCGAGATCGAGTCTGCAGCATATGGGCCGAACCCGTTCAACAAGATCCTATTCCCGGGGCCGTTCCCTCCGGAGGCAGTGGCCGGGCGCGGCGCTCAGCTGGCCGCCGAGCTCAAGAGGGACCCCACCGCGCGCTGGCTCAAGGTAGTCGATACGGATCTGCCCGAAGGCGAACAGATGATTGCTTTCGCCAAGTGGCACATTTATACCGAGAAGCCGCCACAGCCAGCGCCTCGATCGTTCGGCCCAGGTTGTAACGCCGAAGCGTGCGAGCTTGTATTTGGAGATATTGCGAAACTAAGGTCGCGTATCTGGGGCGACAAGCGTTGCGTCTGTGAGTACTTGACCTCAAGGGGGAAGAGTCGTGTCTTTTCTCCATGTGCAAGATGAAACAAGGGATGAGGGGTTGTAGTTCACTAGATGATATTCTTCTGGTACGATAACTCACTAACCGCGCTACTCTAAGACCTCTCGCTCCTCCATACAGATCCCAAACACCAGGGCCGGGGCGCGGGTAGCACGTTAACTAAATGGGGTATCGAGGAAGCTAAGAGGCTCGGCCTTGTTGTATACCTTGAGTCTTCCTCGGCAGCTCACTCGTTATATGAGAAGCATGGGTTTCGCGATATTGAGGTCCTGACAGCCGACCTGAGTAAGTGGGGTGCGACGGAGGAGCATAAGACATGGTCGATGAAGTACGATCCGTCTGGGATTGCTAGTTGAAGAGTATTCCTGTTCATTATAGTAGTAGGTATAAGGTATATGTGATGAGAAAATAGGAAACGTTGATACCTTTTCAAGTTCACAAAGTTGTTGTTTGACTTTATAGAATCTTACAAATACAGGTTACCTGCGTAATGAGCAAACCTTCTAAAGGTTTGGTATCTATTCAAACAGGTATGTATGTTGATCGTCAACCTACCTACACACCTCAGTTGTAAATGGGTGGAGATTTGTCTAATTGAATAGGGACAACACATACAGTAGTTCTCAAATTACCCTCTATTAATGAAATATACTGTATTAGTGGGGCCCATGTGTACAGCTAAAATAACATCGTCTTACTCGGGTTTGCTTATAACTAACATGATTTCATCCGTTCAAACTCCCTCTAACCAATCCGTATCTGAAAGAGGCACATGTTTGCTTTTTCTAAGCCCAAACATCATATAATATATTTAAGACATTATAATTAATTATTCATCCAGTTCCAACTATATTCTCACCTTCAGCTGAAGCTGAACAGCCCCGCCATTCCGCACACTGCGTCATCGTAAAGCCCAACTAGCAATCAATGCTATCTTTCTTCTGGAAGACATCACCAGCAGTAAATTTCAAGATGTCCCCAGGCCCCCCCACAAATGACAAAACCGACCCTCCAGCTCCCCTCGTGAGTTCGTGGCGCGCCCGTGCCGACGCCGGTGAGTCTGTGGCTGTGGTCCGCGTGCGGAGCTTGCGAAGCTCTATCCCCATCGGCCGAGATGCCTGGGGCCGCTCCGGTAAGTTGCAGCCGGTGCTTCTCTCCTCCGAGGTGTCGTTCGCAGACCCATTCTCCGTGAACGAGTCTTCGTCGGGGAACACTGATAAGCTCGACTCCGGCACCGTGCACTATGGCACCTTGAGCAAGACGCTACTCGGCAGTCTCGAGCTTTTGGGGTCTAAACCCGACGCTGCGGGAACAGCAGCGACCGCGGTAGCCGGTACGGGCAATGCAGTTGAGGTTACTACCCCGCGCACCGCTGATGTATTGGAGTTGCTGTGGGTGCGCATGACAGGACGTGTGGTAGACGGGAGCCGTGTAGCTCTGCCGCTGGACCAGCTACCATTCCTACATGCAGCGCGCCTGCGCTCGCTCTCACTTACCGTGGAGCTGCCCAAGGCGTCTCTTCTCGGCGCCGGTGTCAGTCTAACGACAACAGCATGTTTCAGAGAAGACATGCCGGAAGATGAGGAGAAAGAGAAAAGCGATACTAACAGGAACCCTCTGCGATCTTACTCACGCACTCTGCGGATCCAGGGGCTACACATTCCAACTTTAATCGGCGTCAACCCGAACGAGCGCAAGGCCAAGCAGATGCTCGTCGCAGACGTCGAGATCGACAGGTTCGATGTTGCGGAGGACATACACACCGAATTAGAGAGTATTGTCGTAGAGGTAAGCCCGCAGAGTGAATCATATTTTAATTATATAAAAAGATTTAGACACCGCTTATATGTCCCCAATTAGACAATGGAATCATCATCTTTCGAAACGCTAGAGGCGCTTGCTTCCCACATCGCCAATAAGATATTATCGGACTTCAGGATCAACGACGACCCGAAACCCATGAAGGAGCGAGGGTGGCGGGTTAAGGTCTGCTTGGAGAAGCCGATTGCGATACCTACGGCGGAATTCCCTGCTGTGGAAGTTACCATGGGGTTGTGATTCTACTGTCTAGGGGAAAGGGGATGTGCCATTGAGATGAAATATTGGTATATATAGGACATGGACATACTGCTAAACAACGAGCATTTTGGATGGTAAGTTCTGTGATGTCACCTATAACACCAGTCTTATTCTAACATTATAGGAGAGTTATGCCTGTTGGGATTCCCAAATGTGGTCTTATATTAGGATAGTATCGTCTCATCGGTAGGACTTCAATTGTTCCTACTAAGAAAAGGTTCGGGGCTTCAAGTGCATCCTATAATTGCTTTAGATACATTTAACGAGAAGTTGCATAAAATGGTAAATCTCCTAGGTTAGTCGTTTGAATCGTACCGTCATTTGACCCTGAGCGGGTATCGACTGCAAGAGGAACATGGATTTTCTTGAAAGTCGGTATAGAAACTTCTATATGTGACGGAATATAGCATAATCTATAACTACGCGTGCCGAAATGACAGAATTCCGCTGAATTATTACCATATGATTGATCAGATAGGGCTGCCTTAGTCTCAGATCGAGATCTCTTATACGCGGCCCCTGGCAGTAGTGAAGCTACACAATATTATGTGACGTGGCTTTGTGTTATTAAAATAGCTGGTGTTTCTAGTACGAGGCTCAATGTCGTCAATATTACATCAAACCTGAAGCGGGAGCGTGTTAAGCGAGGCAGAATGAGACGGGGAACTACATATATGAAGGCTTCCAAGGGCTTAGACAGCCTCATTTATAACTACAATGCGTGCAATTCATAACCCCGGATTTTTAGAAACCTTAAGCGGCCTGGGTATCCCAGGCAATGGATTCCTACTCATGCGGGCGATGCGAGATCCCTAGTGTATCCAAGGATGCGTCCCGGTATATAGCATCTGTACTAGTTGATTCTTGGGTCTTTGGGTAATCTACAGAAAACCAAATATGCACCGTTTCTATCATATATCATCAATCATGAAGAGCGAGCCCAACAGACGAAGCCACGTCAGACCTTGCGGCAAGATGGGATGTCGCCATTCGTAATCTCATCGACAAACTTGGGATCTGGATCGAAGAGCATGACGTGGAAATGCTCTACGGCCTGGACAGATTTCAACGACCTCCAATTCTTGAACCAGATGTACTACGCAAACGTGTTAGCATGACTACCTACCTAACTAGGAATAAGAAGAATGGGTGTGTCGATTCTCACTTACTCGATCCCTCGGGACCCTAGATCCAAACGTCTTCTGCACGTAGCCGTCGATCTCGGCCCGAGCCTCGTCAGTCAGATCCGTCGTGACGGGATCCTCAGGCAATTCAAACTTGGTCCAGACGACAAGGTGGACGATTCGATCGTCAATCCCGTACGGCCAGTCGTTCCATAGGATCTTGACGTCATCTCCAAACTCAAAGGGCTTGCCTCGCGGCTTCACGGGGGCCTCCCAGTGCAGCCGCTGCGTCAGGACGAAATTCATGACGCTGCCGTGGTCTCTCTTCAGCTTCCACGTGTACTCGAGGTAGCGCCGCAGGTCAGAGGGGATACGTCTGAAGGAGCCTAGCCGGTTCTCGGCTACTATGTTCTGCACCTCTGGCCACGTCGACACTGTGTACTCCGAGTCGGGCGTGCCGATGATGCTGATATCCTTGACGCTTAGGCTGCGGAGGAATTCCGGACACTCTTCCGTCCGTTCGTCTTCAGGGACGTTAACCTGCCAATAGGGCAGACTATCGACGCTTCCCATCTCGTGCTTCAATGAGTAGGTATCTAATGTACAAGTAGAGAAGTACACCACCGTTTGATATGTGACATGTGGTGGTAGTGTATCTACTCTTGGAGGGAATAGGCGAAAAGCGAGTAGGTATAGCCGACTATGTACGATAGCCCCGGCTAGCTGATAGATGATAGATGATAATCCCAGAGGAAAGTGGCTGGGAGGTACAACCAAGGAATTCTGATTTAGGGAAATATTGTCAATAGTTGATATTCATGGCAAGCGCTGTGCAACGAAATCTCGGGGAGCTGGTATGAATCTCAGGGGTTGCTGACCGTAAACCATTGGCCAATCAGTTATGATATGTGTTAGAGGTGGAGTTAAATGGACCCTGTTGACTCTGTGCTTGTGAACTCTACAGGCGCCGTGTCAGTGTCATGTGTGTATGTACACGCTATCACGACATTGTTTACTTGAATAAAAAAAAAACATGGGAAACCTCAACGTATTATTTATTAACTAATTTGAAAATATATTAGAAATGTATATCTCTTATCGTTATACTATTAGTCTTCGTAACACTTTAATATTCAATGAGGTAACTATCTACCTACCTAAGTATGTTAAATGCTACATACATGTAATCGCTATTCATACCTGTATGTGGTTTCTGCCGCACTTATCCTTTAAACATCTCAACTCAAGCTTTGAGGCTTTGACACAGCAATTAAGGTTAGCTAGATGCGGCTCTTAACTTAGTCGTGAAGATGTCGATCCTGCCCAGCCTAAGGGATGGGATATAAGAATAGAGTCAGACATTAAGGCCTACTTGCATTGATTAATCGGTTTAGTTTCCCTTGTACCGTATGCCCCACGTGGAAATCTCCCGATTCTCTATTTGCTACAAAACTGACGTGGCAGTCGTTGTTAGTTAGTCTCGTCATCATAACCTCAAACGCCATCAATATAAACTACATATCATTCTGGAATCGACTTCGACAACAAAACCCGCCCTTTGCCGAGACCTAATTTGATCGAGGCCTTCGGCGAACGGTTTCACCGGCTTTCGATAGCTGAAGCTGTCCTGGACCAACCGATATGAGAATTTTATTAAACAAATACCAAGTGGATTGCTCTAGGTTAGAACTTTAGTACACAATTAGTTCCCGCTGGTCTGAAATAAACCATGTAGTGGGTGAGCTAATTGATCCATAGTGGAGAGGAAGCTGCATTTGTTAGGTATTGCGAGATATAATATCGTCAACTTGTTACTAGAATCTTAGGGGCTGCTTAGTCTGAGAGTGGGATGCGTAGGAAGCATTCTCGACAAAGCCGCCTATCCGTCATAAGTCCCTCTAGATCATGTAGAAATCGACTAGGTTAAGGAGGAGAGACTTTTTATCGGTGGCTTGAACGCCAACCACGACACTGAAGTAGGTGAAAATACTACCATACTACCATACTACCCACCCACATTGGAGTTCGGTCAGGCTAGACTTCACTGCGGATGCGAGCCCAAGCCAACCTTGAACTTTTGACCCACTCTCCATAGTTGTCAAACGAATGTTGGTAAAATGTGATAGATCTCTTGGATAACTTTTTTTCAGCCTTGAAGCGCTCTAAGCCTGCTCGCCCTGGAAATGTATTGATAGCTTACGTATATGCTTGACTAATATGGAATGATATTGTATGTCACGGTGGGAGACGGGCCTTCTCTCGACATTGGAGAAAAACTGCAGTATGCCGTCCAGAGAGGTCATTAACGTATGCATCGTGGCTAGGATACGGCACCAAGTTCGACGTGAACATCGTCGTGGTGGATCTTTAGCCGTCTAGCTTAGTAGGGTCTAGCCCATGTCCACAAATGCCGTAAGAGGACTAGCCCAGCCTGTTTAAAGGGGTATTTTCGAAGAGGTGATCCATTTGCGAATCGAATATTCGCGGCCAAGTACTGTACAGTACAAGGGAAATGTACACCGCATATCGATTTTACCTCCGCTTCATCGTGGCCATGGGGCAACCGATAATTTCCTGGAGCAACCATCAAGGGGTGAGGGACGGCTAGAAGGGAAACCAGACCAGATAAAAGGGGACGAGATGCTCCCGTCAGTTTACTTGACCGGTCCTCCTTTCCTCTTCGCACACTTCTGATCAGGCAAGACTGCAGATAGTTGGGTGCAGGACATTCGTAAGGTATGTTAACGATCTTTTTTTTTTTTTTCTTTTTTTTCTCCATCAATCTAATAGCTGCGACGTTATCGCATGTTTTCTTGTCTTCCCCCACTCAGGCCTAGCATGTGATTGAGCGCCTCAGTATCTGGGATACAGAACAAAGCCGCCACGTCCTTGTTATGAGAAGAAATAATTCAAAGTCAAGCAAGTCATTGCGACATCGAAGTTTCCGATCTTCGAGAGTCCTTTCAACAAGTGTATTTGGCTTTGTCATTAGGTTAGGTTAGGTAGTGTTGCCGGATAGGAACCGAACAACACAAATGATGAGGTGAAATGGAGATGAACAAGATAAACAAGATGATTGGATTGGACAGGAAAGGACAGCCCAACTGAAAACAAAAATACCTACGTACCTACACCAAGCAACAGCTGCGAGTAATCAGGGAAAGACAGAGTGGCTTGCTCTAATTTAGTCTGCATTACGTCAATGGTGCATTTGCAACTGCAGAAGTGAGCTAACCCCCCCTTTTTTTAGGTATCAAAAATTACCGTAGCTATCGAAGCTCCGCGGCCAACCAAAATTTACCCCGCCATTGCCCCCCCAAAAGTCTAGACAATCGTTCGTCATCCCAAAATCCCAAACCGTCACTAAAATAAATCTTGACCTCCTTTTCCTCCTTAAAATCGTCCTCCTCATATACACGCCCATAGCGGACTAGGAGCTTATTCACTATTGATTCAGAACATATTCGTCGAGAAAGATACCCAAGCATAACGTTGCTTTAATTTACACATTCACAATGGCTCAGGCAATTAAGAGTGCGCTGCCTTCCCATCTGAAGCCCGGCGGGAACGAGGCGGACAGCGAGTTCACTGGTCGACACCATGGAAAGACTCACTCGCACATGGTGAGTGCAACTTCATCTGTTTTGGCATTAATACATAGCACCCTGGGTTCGCGGATCCTTAAATCTATGAGAAGACGGGAGTTGCCCCCTGAACCTGAATCCAAACCTGAATCCAAACCTGAACCTGCACCGCTCCCATTGTTTCCTATTCACCATGACGAGGAGCCCAAGAAGCTCGAGGAATCCACGCGTGTATGCATCAGGACTTCAGATAGCATGGCAAGATAAAGTTTTTTCTACATTGGCAACTTGGAAAGTTCGGTGCCTTCAACACCAGACCCCAAGTCACAGCCATCCTCATTTCCAGTCACTACATCGTCTTTACATTGTTTTCGCTGAATTTGGGGATCTTATTTAAACACTTGAGCGTTTATTGTGTTTTCCTTCCTCCATCCCTTGCTACTTAATTTATATTGGAATTCTTTTTAACCATCATCTCAACCATGTCTACCTTACTAACAACTGATAAGGCCTTCGAGAATGCCTCGACCAACGTTGCCGCTGCGCAAATGCGCAATTCTCTAACTGAGCTTGCCGAGACCGTCAATGACCCGGAGCAGAAGAAGGTAGGCATCTACAATGTCACATCTTAAGACATATTGAACTAACCTATCGGATTAGCTGTTCGAGACTGAAATGGACAACTTCTTCGCTCTCTTCCGTCGATACCTAAACGACAAGGCCAAGGGTAACTCTGTGTATGTATAAGTTCCGTCCTGGTTCCTCAATTAAGGAGAAAGAAGCTAACAACAGACCGGTTAGTGACTGGGATCGCATTAAGCCCCCTGCGCAGGGACAGGTTGTTGACTATGAAGACCTATCCAACTCGGAGTCGGTCAAATTCCTCAACAAGCTCGCTGTTCTGAAGCTGAATGGTGGCTTGGGTACCTCTATGGGTTGTGTTGGCCCCAAATCAGTCATCGAAGTCCGCGACGGCATGTCTTTCCTCGACATGTCCGTACGACAAGTCGAGTTCTTGAACCGAACGTACAGCACTAACGTCCCCTTCATCCTGATGAACTCGTTCAACACCCACGACGATACCGCTGCCATCATCAAGAAGTACGAAGGTCACAATGTCGACATCCTTACCTTCAACCAGTCGCGATACCCAAGAATCTACAAGGACTCGCTCCTACCTGTTCCCAAGAACTTCGACTCGTCCATCAACGAGTGGTACCCTCCCGGACACGGTGACGTATTCGAGTCTCTCTACAACTCCGGCCTCCTTGATAAGCTCATCGAGCGCGGTATCGAGATTATCTTCCTATCAAACGTCGACAACCTAGGTGCTGTCGTGGATCTACGTATCCTACAGCACATGGTCGAGACGGACGCCGAATACATTATGGAGTTGACCAACAAGACCAAAGCCGATGTCAAGGGCGGTACTATCATCGACTACGACGGATCTGTGCGCCTACTAGAAATTGCCCAGGTCCCGAAGGAGCACACCAACGAATTCAAGTCGATTAAGAAGTTCAAGTACTTCAACACCAACAACATCTGGATGAACACCAAGGCCATCAAGCGCGTTGTAGAGAATAACGAGCTCGAGATGGAGATCATTCCCAACGGCAAGACTATCCCTGGTGATAAGAAGGGCGAATCTGACATCTCCATCCTTCAGCTGGAGACCGCTGTTGGAGCTGCCATCCGCCATTTCAACAATGCCCACGGTGTCAACGTACCCCGTCGCCGATTCTTGCCTGTCAAGACCTGCTCAGATCTTATGCTCGTCAAGTCAGATCTGTACACTGTCAAGCACGGCCAACTGCAAATGAGCCCCAGCCGCTTCGGTGGCGCGCCGCTCATCAAGCTTGGTAGCGACTTCAAGAAGGTCTCAGACTTCCAGAAGCGCATCCCGTCAATTCCCAAGATCATCGAACTCGACCATCTTACAATTACTGGTAACGTCAACTTACACCGTGGCGTGGAACTGAAGGGAACCGTTATCATCGTCGCAACGGAAGGCTCTACGATCGACATCCCTCCGGGATCGATCTTGGAGAACGTTGTCGTCGAGGGTAGCTTGCGTCTATTGGAGCACTAATCTGCGGAAGGGTCCCTTTTATTCACGTACTCTGGGAACTCTTCTGCTTTCTGTGTTGATAAGCGTTTCGTCACCCTTCTGTACGTACGTTTCTACGTATTATGCGCGCGTTTCGCCTAGAGATGCGGTTGTGGTAATTTAGTTCCCGCTTACCGGTCGTGTCGGGAATTATAGGAAGTCGTATGACATATAGAGATGACAGTGTTGCAACGGCAGTATGGCAGCAGGGACATGGAAAATGAATGATTCATGGTTGGACTCATGGGCGTGTTATGTAGACGCCGGGAACATAATGAAATAAAGGATATGCACACATGCAGTACAGTGCCTAATATTTGCAGGCCATCGTGCCGTTGTGTATTTGATGTTTGGTGGTACGCCGTAACTATTGTATGCTTTCGTAATATTCAAGTAGACGAGATAATTACTAGGGTTGAGCTATGGCTTTCATAACGACTTGAATTTTTGAGACGTGACTATTCCGAAGACTATGCGTATTTAACTGAAGGGTATGGTATTTGGCTTGGCATCAATGCTCAGTTATTCATATTCCTCCTGTTCTGGCGGAATGGTACTACATAGCCGCCATGATCATACTACCTAAGTCATCCGAATGTTAGGTAGTTCGTCCCAAAATTGACCAGCTTCCATCCTCTCCAAACTGGTAATTGTTTACGGCGAAACATTCTAGACGGTACTTGACGAGGTTAGCTTAACAGGTACCTACCTACCTAGCTTATAGACAAAGATGTTTTAGATTTAATAGTTGTAGAAGCTATCCGTGCTTTTGGACCGAGGGATGCGCCAAATTTGGTTATTTAGCAGGGCGAGGGACGTAAACGGTCTTTTGCGTTAGACAAAACCTGTCATATTCCATCCAATCCTTGCTAGGTTCGATTTGCGTTGCGTTGGGCTTAATGGTACCTTGGGTATGTATATACATTGGGAGTAGTATATACCTACATAGTCCAAGCGCATAGACTTGGATCATATTCTATTTCCCCTTCTTTTTCATGTTCTCGGTGCACGACGGACAGTACCAGCGGCCTTCGGGTTCGGACTTGAGGCCGACGCAGGTCCAGTGGAACCACTCGTAGGGACATGCCGGATTGTCACAAGCAACCATATCGCCGTACGATACATGCTGGCACAAGCAGTACTTCTTCCCCTCCTCGTCCTCTTCGTCATCTGATCCTCCCGACCCTGCCGATACCGATCCTCTATCTGGCATATCCTCGTCTCTATCGAGGTGTGAGTGTTTACGGTGATGATGGTGGTGCGGCCGAGGCACCGGCGTACCGCTGCCAGCTCGGGACCCAGCACGCGATGACCGCACCGACTCTGCGTCCGATAACTCGCTGTCTGCTGATACTGGTGACCCCTTGGACATACCCGCTCGTTTAACACGCGACAACGTCGACTTCGAATTCGGAGGTTTCTTTCGACTAACTCCCGCAGATGGTGTGCCTTTCCGTCCAATACCTACGCTTCCGGCCTTTGAACTGGCTCGAGGACCAGCACTACCTGCTCTCGATGCCCCGGGTGTCCCTGCCTTGGGCGTCCCTGGTCCGAGAGAAGAATGACGAGCTAATCCACTCGATGCTGTTGGTAAGCTACCTAGACCGGAACTTATTCGTGGGCCTCTCTTAGGAGCACCGCCTCCACTGTGTCTAGTTAGTATTGACTGTTTCTTGTTTATATGTAATACGGTAGTTGATTAGGAGTTTTAGGTGCCATATTCTAAAGAGGAAGAAGAGCTGTAATTGGAGAGGAAAGGAGTCCTGGTAATAAATATGTTGTAAAGGGAGCAAAGAACTCTGAATGGTTACTCACGGTCCGGCAGAGGACTCGCGCTGGTTGCGGCTGTTCATGATTATGCTCGCGGCGGGAGAAGTGGGCGCCGAGCTGGAGATGTGGGCTTGCGACTGGGTGGTCCGGATCTGGGGGTTGGCAGCTCTGGATCCGCTCGGGGTTGCATTGTTGGTGATAGGGTTAAGAGGCGTGTTGCTAGCTGTTGAGACGGCCAGCACCCGAAGGCTAGTATTACTATTGTTGGCAGCGCTCGGTCGTACAACGGAGGGTATCTCATCAGGGTCGGTAAAACCAGGTTCGTTTCGGTCGCTGAGCTGTTTGATCTGTAGGTCGAGATGACGAATATGTTTGTCAAAGAGCGTCTGTGCTTTTTGAGCCAGGTGAATCTTCTCTTCAGCAAGTTTATCGGCTCGGGTGTAGTTCTCGCGGATGGTCTCGCGCAACATCTGCTCGCGGGGGAAAGGCGTGTGGCTACCGTTCATACGAATCCAGCGCTGGATCTTAGCGTCGCTCTCTTCGATGTTCTTAAGACACTCTTGATATGTGCGGTCTTTGTCGGCGATTTCGTCCTGGATGAAGCGAATCTCTTCGGGCAGATTAGCGGTTCGGTGGATGAAGTCTTCGAGGATGGCGGCAGGGTCTTGCGCCTCGGTCGAGGGCGCCATCTTCTTTACGAAGTCTATGGAGAGATCGTCTCTAGGCATCGTTGTTAACCTGGCCCTCTAAGCGGGGACACGCTCTTTGGGTAGGTGATTGTGAGAGAGTGTTCAGAGAGCAAGCAATACGCGCGAGTGTAAAGGAAACTGGAAATTGGAAACTGGAAACTGGTAGAGGGGAGTGGTAAGGTTTATTTATTCCGAGAATGATTGCGACGTCGCCTATTGTTTGTTTGTTATTCTTTTTTTTCTTCGTTCTTGTCTTCTTCTTGTACTCGAATATCTGAGCTTCTTTCTTGCTCCCTGTTTATGTTTTTTTTGTTGCGGCGGCGTCCCGGGGAAGATAGTGCAACGTAATGCAGTGAGATATGAATAGTTGAGGCAAGTTGGGATCACATGCACATAATTGTGATATTTGTGTGAATCTTGAGCTCTGGCTCACCTTCCTGACCAGTCCCGAGAATTCTCATATAAAAGGTCCTTCTAACAGCGGGAGTGGTGCAATATTTGGGAAGTCGCTAGGAAGTCGCTGGGTAGGAAGGTAGGAATACCTCAGGTAAAATAAAATGGGAAGGAATTATTCGATTGCTTCATTAGTTGGATACAAGAATTGCTTGCATCGGTACACCGGCACCGGCAGTGGCAGTGGCAGCGGCAGCGCAAACCTGAGAGACGGTCCCTAAATCCCAAAGTGGGGAGTAAGTTGGTATTGTACAATCGATAAAATTCAAGTCTGAAAAGTAAAAGTTGACAAACACAGTAAAGACAATAGATGTTAACCCAATTTATCCTATTACGTAATAACTAAAATGTACAAGGTAACTATTTGATGTACCTAAGATGTATTATTGATGTATTATTGGATGCATGGATTTAGCAGGTTATAACGGTGCGAAACGGTGTGATTTACATCAGGGCCAGCCTTGAAGGATAAGGTTATTGTGTTAGGTGATCCCTTGTTCTCTAAACAAATCGGGAACCGTTAAAGAAAGCCATTTCAATCCAGGTACCGATCCAATCTATTACAGATTTAGCTTAGCGTTCTTCATTTTGCATGTTACATGTAGTTGGTTCGTGCATTATAGTGGGGGCAAATCGGCAACTACCGCATCCTTGGTTGGCAGTCATGGAAGTTGCCTTCATCCATCTTCAATCTTGACAATTGAAGATAACTTCTTCATTAAAAAACGAGCCCAAACTCATCAAGACTCAGGTATTATATTATAGGTTAAGCCAACCCATTGCCACCCTTCTGCGATTCATTAACATTCTATAAGGCGTTATATGAAGCTTGCCGCCGATAACTTTTAGTGCTATCCTAATTCATCTTAATAGCCGATTCGCCTTACCAGTTTGAGTCTCATTCTCGGAGTCAAGCAACAGACAACCGTCACATAATTCCAGACGCAGTGATACCAAAAGCCCTACAAGCGCTAATACAGGGAGCAAAAAAACTCAATCATCTCTATCCTTTACTTCACATAAGATATTCTTGTTCATCGGCTGCATCTCATCCGTCAGCCTTAAAGATGGAGGTTGACCCGGCGAATCATTATTTGTTACGGTTACCGAAACCCAACTACCTCCCTCACAAAGTCGATGTGGACGGGCCGGTGGTAAAGAAATTCAATAAACCTTTAGATCGGCCAAGCGACCTTGAAAATGCAGCTTATCTTAACAAGATTAAACGATTCGCTCACGAATATGGCATCACAAAGCCGAAAGGCTACACAGTGTCCTTCCATTACAACCCCGAAATGGAGAGGCATCACTTCGGCCAAACACATCCAATGAAGCCTTGGCGACTAACTCTCACCAAGAGCTTGGTCTCATCCTATGGTATGAATTTCGCCATGGAGAATTATACCGCCCGCGCCGCCACATACGAGGAGCTTACGGCATTCCACACAAACGATTACGTCGAGTTCCTTGCCTCAGTTGCTCCCCAGCCGCTCCCATTAGACGTTGACAATGCTAGTCCTGATCTCAAGTTTAATTTGGGAGGTAGTGATTGCCCACTTTTCGAGGGATTATACGACTATTGTTCCATGTCTGCTGGTGGTTCCCTAGATGCCGCGAGAAAACTGTGTACGGGTCAGTCCGACATTGCTATCTCCTGGGGAGGAGGCCTGCACCACGCCAAGAAATCAGAAGCGTCAGGATTTTGTTATATCAACGATATTGTCCTTGGTATACTGCAATTATTGCGCATCCACCCCCGAGTTCTCTATATCGATATCGATGTTCATCATGGTGACGGTGTAGAAGAGGCCTTCTTCTCTACAGACCGCGTCATGACGGTCTCTTTCCACAAGTACGACCCTCAAGTTTTCTTTCCCGGCACTGGCGCTTTAGAAGATAATGGGCCGAGGAGCGAGCACAACCCAGGGGCACACCACGCTATTAACGTACCCTTGAATGACGGTATTACGGATGAGCAGTACGAGTGGCTTTTCAAGAGCATCATTTCTAGATGTATAGAAAAATTCAGGCCCGGTGCAATTGCTCTACAATGCGGCGCGGACTCTCTAGCTGGAGACAGATTAGGTAAATTCAATCTGCTTGTTCAGGGTCATGCCTCATGTGTCGAGTACTGCAAAAGTCTAAATATCCCTCTGCTTATGTTCGGAGGAGGGGGTTATACACCCCGAAACGTTGCTCGTGCTTGGGCATATGAGACGGCTGTCGCCATCGGTCACAATAAGACTATCCCGACAGAATTGCCCCTTCACACTCCTTGGCGCGAGCGCTTTAGGCACGATACCCTCCTTCCCACCCTAGAACAGATATTAGGCGAGCCTCGTCAGAATAAAAATCCCAAAAAGAAATTAGACGATATCATAGAACACGTCACCGAACAGTTGCGGTTCGTCGAAACCGCACCCAGCGTGCAGTTTTCTACCATTCCGCCCGATCTCAGTCCAATCAGGGATGAGGTAGAACAGCGAATCAAGGAGGAAGTTGAGGAGAAGGATGAAATTGGGCGAAAACTTCGGGAAGAAGGCATGGGAGATCATATGGAACTATAGTTGCTTCGCCCTAATATCCAGTTCACGACATAACTTGGACATTTTGAAAGAAATCATGAACATCGGTCTAATAGTATTATGCTAGCTGAGTGTCTTATTGTATATGCCTCTATCTTTAATACTCTAACTTCCTAGCGATCTTGTCTCCCATCTTGTTACACTTGTACATAATAGTCAGTACCCAGTTCAATATACATAAAGGGCTGGACAAAACGATCAGGCGTTTACAAGACTCGACTTTACAAACTCACTCAAGTCTCTTATTGCGAGAACCTCGGTTTTATTCTATCACGCCTTGGAGATCTTGAATCCACCAGGTACCCGCTCTTGGAAAACCCTGTTGGGATCATACTTTGCCGCCGCGGCCTTTAATATCTTGACGTTCTCCGCGCCGTACGTTGCGAAGGGTTCTTGGTCGTCCGTGCAGTAGTTCAGGTATAGCCAGTCGGCATCCTTGTTGATCGACTTAGCGAAGGACTTGACAGCGGAAAGTAGCGCTTTCACTGCAGGTCGGCCGACCTGATCGCGCAGCTCGAGGGATTGGACCTCTATTCCGATAAGGATGTTGATGCAGTTGCCTGGCAAATTCTCGATTCCAAGCACGTTTCCACCTTTGGCGGCGGAAATATCGGCCCACGACTTGAGGATTGGCTGCGTGACCATTTGGGCTTTGAAGTTGTCGTCGGGGATCGCCTTGCGCAGCTTCTCTATTAGAGTTTCGTATTCGGTAGCTGCTTTGCGCATTGTGCTGGCGTCGACTTGCACGGTGATGGCCTCCCAGTTGGTGCTGGAGATGCTGATTAGCCAAGGGATGAGTAGTGGTGGAATTGAAGAATGTTTGACTTACTAGTTCGCCGAGGGGACTACGTAGTCCGCCAACTTCTCATACAGCGTCTTGACTTGGAAGTTCTCGGGTTTCGAGATAGGGTTCGGGATAGTTAGGAACTTCTGGAGGGGCTTCGCGTTCGCGACACCGTTGACGTCGGACACGTTTATGCTTATCGTATAGTCTTTCACCAGGGGCGCGTGGAAGGAATATAGGAAGGCGTAGTCATCCGGGTTGGCAGCCAGGTTGTTTACGAAGTCGACGTAAGCGTCGACGACTTGGTCGCTGGCGGTTTTGGGGTATACGGCCATGCCACACCATATCTTCTTTGCCTCCATAGACTCCATGTCGAATCGTGTCACTATACCGAAGTTGAAGGAGCCGCCCTTCAGCGCGAGGTATAGGTCCGGGTTCGTTGTTTTGTTCGCCTGGACTATGCTGCCGTCGGCTAGGACAACCTCATAGTTTACGATTGTGTCTGGTTATTGAGACCCGCGTCAGCTCTCATACGAACCCTTCTATCTGGCTTCCACACAGATGCTAATTATTGAGGGGTCACTTACCACAACTCCATCCCTTGCTAGCGATGAAGAACGATATACCGCCACCGATTAAAAATCCGCCAACACCTACCTCGGCCTCGCGACCTCCGACAACCAGCAGTCCCTCTATTATACCGTCAGATGGTGCTTATACGCTCGGGGTTTATCCGAGCACCACTTACGCGAAACTAAGTCTCTGTAGACATCCTTCCACCTACTGCCAGGCTCAAGCGACACAAGTTTTGTTTCAGGGTTGTAAGTTCGCTTCGTCAGGAGAGTGAGATCCATAGTCACGCCGTCTTTGATGTTGTTACTATTGTCCACCCACATGTGGCCTCCGCTGTCCAGATGATCTTCTATTAGCGTCTTCTTTCGACGATACACGGGTAGCAAGACAATGATATTCATAGTCGCTTACTCGATACTCACCTTCGGACAGCGAATTTAAGGCCCTCGGTGCTAACCAGAGCCTTCAACGCCTTAGAGACCTCTTCTGTGTTTCGGGGCTGTACGATAGCCCAGGGCCCTAATCGCTGCGAGAACGGCGCCAAGGATCCCTCTTTTGCCTGGTAGGCCTGCTCGCCAGGGACGTGTAAGACATCGCCCAGACCGGCTTCCTTCAATTTGGCAATGGCGGACTGCGCGATAGAAGACATGGCGATATCTTTAGGGGGGTAAAAGGGTTACATGCGAAGATGCAGGTCCACGCATAATAATGTGCGAACGCAACATCTATATATGCAGGGTTTTCTGCTGCCACCATACAACATCTACAAGCCGATCCACGCACCAATGCTCGGAGTTAACAGGATCCCGCCGCAGAGCGCCTTCATCATGAGTGGATTATCCATGATGCTGTAACAGTGAGATCCTACGAACTACTTTGAAGAACAGGTCTGACAAGATGTAGCCAATAGCGCAGGAGTATTTCTTCGTATGGGACTTAGTTTCATGTAGGAACGGAGTGGTTCCCCGTCGCAACTCAACACCCGCTTACTCGGACTGAATCCCTTCTAAGATTTCCCCTATATAGAGCGGTTGGATAGAACGTTAATCATGCGATTCGACGTACAGTTACGTCCAAGTCTAGATCTTGGAGCCTGGATCGTGGTAATTCAGATTTGTTGAAGATGGTCCCCTTTTACGTGTCACACATATGACTACCTACCTACATATATAGTAGGATACCATCACACTAGTATAGCAAAAGAGCTTTTCCCATTTTCGTTCATAGTCTTTCAAGGTGAGGCTAAAGCGTCTCCTCCATGCAAGTGCTTGACGCGTGTCAGATAAATACCGGAGCCCGATAATAGGCGCTTATGTTGCAAATCTATAGCATTATGAGTTTTATTATGAGGTGGTGTATGCCAATTCTATGACCAAAGTATAGTCGGCTCGTAATGCGATATACTCTTCAACAGGTATTAACTAAATTGAAGTCGCTTCAACGTTAACCAATAATGACTCAGACGAATGTCGTTGCTTTAGAATTATTACAATTAAGAAAGCGAATACAGTAGTTCCCTCGTGGATATATACGGCTATATGGCCATCTTACCAACTTACTTGTTCACTCGAGTTACTTTAAATACCAAGCAAGTCGCCGATGATTCGTAAATCAACGCTAGCTTCGCGTGCCTTGCCGTTCTGGTCGAGACCCGCGCTCTGGTCGAAGACGCGAAATAGAAGACATGGATCGCGATCGGGGCAGTAGGATAACAGAGCAGTTTTAGAGAACACCAAATATTGTATAGAGTATTTGATAACACGTTTCCCAATACAAGATATTCCATGATTGGAAGGGTTTCTGTTGACGCCTTGATGCAATCATAAGCCGTACATAAGCAAACCTGGTTCCCAATGCTACTATCATAGAAAGCATCTTAATGTTTAAAATCTACGAATAAGGATGGCTTCGCGGAATTGTAAAAGCGCCCGGTCGACTAACTCTAAATGCCACAATTTATCTATACGAATTAGAAAGAGGTCGGTGACGAGATCTTCACGTATAGAATGTAGTAGGTAGTATCGGGGAAGAGGATTGAAGGATCATAGTTGATACCAACTCAACAACCATGTAAACTGACGTGTCAAATTTCTCGTAGTACTTGGTGACTTGCCGTAACCTTGGGGTTTGAAGGGCGTTCGAAGGTTGAAGAAGATACGAGCTCCCGAATGAAGGTAGCTATATGAGAGGCTTGAGAGGCGACGGGCGAGATTCAATAACATTCCTCCGTTGCTGCATGGGTTACCTACTCAAGATTAGACTGCTAACAGAGTTGGAAGATCTTCGGCGTACCTAGATGTTTCAATAGCGGTATGGCTCGGAACAATTCTTATCTTTCCTGTTAAAAATAGGAAGTTAGAAGTATCCCGTCCATCTGGGCCCGGAATAGGGGCTAATTTTCTACTATTAATAATCTTTAGCTATGCTAAGGTCTCTCTCCAAAAAAAATCCCGTTGCTCATTGGAGATGGAGTATACATGTTGAGTACCTAGGGTAGTTCAATTTTATACCTAAAGTTAAACATACAGACTTTATGTCCTTGGCAGTGAGCGTCTTGACTCTTGAGAGTGGTTAGGTCCCGGCTAATCAAATTGTAACAGTCTCATATTTACCATGTAGTCTTCGTCCTATTAGTCATGCCATGAATATAAGAGAGTGTATGATGGATTCAATCTTCGAGCATTAGCACATATCTCTTAGTATTTTATAGCTCATCGTGCCGCGGATATTCGTCCTCTGGATACCTAGTGACTTTTCCACCTGCCTCTCCACCACTTGGCGCTTGGAAGGGGACTAGGAATCTTTCTTCGCCGGGGTCGAAGTAGTCCTTATAGAATATCAACTGCGGGTCTTGGTGGCTTGTATTGTCTTCCTGGTGTCTTGGAAGTGGATTGTATTCTTTAGGACTTGGGCCTTGGTATCTAGGGTTAAGCTGACCAGCAGCAAGTTGAGCACGGATAAAGTTTTTGGCATCGTTGTAGAGCGTCGTGTACGTTGGTACACCCCGCATCTTCTTGTAGTTGTTTTTGATAACTGTTGTTATGGCGACTATCCATGGATCCATGCCCTTGAGGGCCTTGACGTTGAACTGAGTTTCGTGACAGCCGGCAAGGAGAATCCCTGGTGTCGCCTTGTGCGTATCTAACATCCCACCACCCATGCATGATGAGGTTACGATAGTGAGGTTGACGCCTTTCTTAAGGTTCTAGATATCCAGGATATTGAGCCATTGAATACGTAAAATTGGATTCGGAAAAAACTCACCTTCCTAATAGCATCAGCCAACCAGTCGTCTTTCAAGACCGCTTTGGAAGTCCCGTCGGTATTTTCAGCTAGAATCCACCCCTCATCATTACCATCTTGTTCACCAGATCCATCTTCATCGGGATATGTCATGCCATGTGCGTCGACATACAAGAAACGCACGTCACCGGCTACAGCACTGGTGCATAGATACGTAAATTTAGACTTGAAATTAGCTATAGTCGGCGGATCTTGGCCAAGCGTGCACTCATTTGGCCCATCAGTCGGATCGATGTCAAAGTATGAGAGCTCTACATCGCGCCCAGAGAATCCGAGATGATTTACAAGCATATCCCGCGTCTTGAAGATACCATTATCGGTACCTGTTCCATAGCGCACGATTAACGCCTATGGTATAGGGGCTGTTAGCTAACGCAAAGAACTCTTGATTGAGATCAGTTACCTTTTTCTTATGGAGGTCTCTGAAGTCTGTCTGATCTAAGTGATATGGGGCTCTGGGGTCGATAGAGACCGATAGGCTAGTCATTCCTAGAACAACCTTATCGCCAGACCCGAGAATTGTGAAGTCATACTTATAAAAACCCGTGTCGAATTTTGCCGTCAGATTACCGTCGCTAGTGGTTCTAATGGACTCCATGGTACCATTAACGATGGCATTCTCCTTGTCGATGCCTGCGCTAGTCCTGGTCCATTGGCGGCTGAGTACCACAGGCTTACCGTTAGCTACATCGCCGGGGATTATGAGTGTTACCATCTCATTCCGGCTGTGTTCAAACCAATCAAGTTTCCCAGTGAAGACTGATGTAGATGGAATTCGTGTAGCATCACTGTACTGTAATGATAGCTTGGCTGGGGATTGTTGACCATGAGGGTTCATCATAGTGAGGGTTATACATTCATTTTTTGCGTATTCGTACCAGTCGAACTTCCCAACGTAGACATGCATGATTATTGTGTAATCAATCTAAGGCAGAGTGACCTTAGAAGAAAAGGACATAGAAGAAGACACTCTAAGCTGAAAGCTATTCAAGTAGGTAGAGGGCTCGTCTTGAGTTTAGTTTCTTGGTTTATTGAGTCTCACCCGTGTATGAAGCCGCGATTTTATACCTCTTGAGGTTATCCAACTGGTACGTTTCTACTCCACCCCCATGTTTCCAGCCATGATCATGTTTCCATATCATATTCGTGTCTATATTAAAAATTATCGTGTAGCTTCTTGATTTCTGCTCTGTGGCAAAAACTAACTTTCTATTAAGCTGAAAACTGCAGTGTTTCGTGGTCTTATTGGCTGACATTTACATGCAATAGACGATGTTAAGAATAGGCAGTTAACGATTATGACTTTATATCATATCCTGACTAGAGACCGGGGGAGATTTCACAAGGCATAACATATTGATTTAGTTGGTCCTTGAGGGAGAGATGAAGCAAGGTAGATGATATAAGCGAGCATTTACTCCTTTCTAAACTCCACCCTCTAGGTATTAGCGCAATTGCTTGCTACCCATAGAGATAGATAGGTAGATATGCATTCCCGTACTCTTGCGTAAGTGGCTTCATATTATCCGTTCAATATGTCGCGAGGTGCAAGTAAAGGCAATTCATTGCGGAAAAGACAAGCACTATGACACCAGCCAAGCAAGGCCTCGGGAGAGGGGTCATCCGCCATCTTCATTCGACTATGCTTCCTGTATCCGCCGGAAACAGTGGGGGGGATAGATAGCCTTCAGGTTTATGGGAGAATACTGTAGGCAGACTGACACTTAGGATTCAGAGTGAGTGCTAAAGTTGTGCTACATAGATTGAAGTTGATATCGTGTATACACACACCAACAAGACTCCCTGTTGTTGATGTTCAGTAAGTACCTCTATCTGGGTTAGAAGGTATTGTATGTCGGTCAATAACTGCAAACTTGAACAAGTAAAAATAAATTATATTTAATCCCTCAGTAAAGGTAGAAAAAGTCAAAAATAATGTGGCGGTACTGGGAATCGAACCCAGATCTACACGGAACACTTGTAGAGACATATCCACAACGTGTTGTACTGGCCATTATACTATACCACCTTTCATTGGCTGGTTGTTAACGAGTTTTTTTTAATGTTATTATTTGTTATATACTTGACGCTTGTGCTACCACTCGCGTAAGAAAAACAGAAAGGTAAAAGAAGCTAAGGGGAAAATAGTGAGAAAAAATAACAGGATGAGAAATGCACCTAAATTGGCGTGTGGGATTCTGGTAAGGCTGAAAATGTAGTCACACTGTATGACGAATGGTACCTTCCGGGTAGTTCCTCATTAGATTTATTAATTGCGAAATATGAATATTCATATTAGCGGGTATTTATGTATTTATCTAAGAGCTGGAATTATCTTAGACCCCAGCTCACATTTGATACATACGCGTGTCGCGGCATTACTTCGACTTGGCGTCAAATGCATCTTGATGACGTTAAACCCTGTTGTTCCTTTCTTAGATGATACGAATTAGTTGAAGTCGCAGGCTGAGTCAATTGGCGATACCTTTACTATGTAGGTTATATAGGAAATATTGAGTTAACTTTGCAGCCTCTTGACTCCTAAGGTCCATCACATTATATATTATATATATAAGCCGTCACCTATTCAACTACAGATAAAACCACTGCATCTAAACATTCAAGTGGCACAACGACTTAAATATTTCGGCGTCATGGCGACGACTTATAATGATGTCCGTGCTACCGGTTTTAAGGTAGAGATGCTTAACGCTCTCGAAGCCCTTCCGTTGAACAATGGCGACTCATCTAATAACCCTAATGAGCCTGAAAGCGCGATTCGGAAATGGACATCTAATCAACTAACTACCCCCTTACTCTATATACTTCAAGACTCATCGAGCACGGATATATCCCTTAATAGCTTGACACCCCCCGACTTGACCCGTTTCTGCTGCTTGCAAAGCCTCGAATCTCAATATCACTTCCATGTCTTCATCGCCCAGATAGAGAAGAGAGAGATAGGCACCGAGACTGATACCATAGGTTGCGGGCTTGCAGAAAGCGAAGAGAATGCTCTACAGAATGGAACCCAAGATATTGATGTTATAGAATGGTCGGTACGATTGGTCTTTGATGTTCATTGCAATCGAAAAGCTCATAGCTTAGACATAAAATCCGACTTAATTCTTAATGATGTTTTTATTGACTGTGAGCCTGACGAGGAAGACGATCTCCCCGAAGGCTATGATGAACCTGTCCACCCTGCTGTTAGTCCTGACTCTTCTTGGTTCTATGTTTTCATATAGCTAACCGTTACAGTTACGTGGATTATGTCGATATTATCGATCATTGGTCAGTCTCGCCTAGTAATGGTGTGATACGAGAGATTTTAACTAACCTACCTATTTTCAAGGCTCTACTTATAGTCCCTCAAGCTACGATGTCAACTTATGTTCTGAGTAACCTCTTAGAGGCTGGCGATGTGAAACCCGTGGCTGATCTCCTGGAATATTTTTCATCGAGATGCAACGTTCCAGCAAGTGACGGCATGTATTTTCAGACATTAGCTGATCTATGCGGATATTTCTTCTCCCAGCGGAAGGCGAAGACGTACTCCAAGATGGAACTCCTTGAACCTACTATCGCCAAAGTCCTCCAAGTAGCACTTCTCTTCCAGGATCGCGGCCTCTTTGAGCTAGTTTGTAATAATATCGAAGTCAACCTTTCGTCTCAATTTTTCTCGTGGATCGCAGTCAAGCTTCAAGGGTCAGAGCTGTCACTCACTGCACTAAGGCCAGCGTTAGTTCTTTCACCCCCGTCATCTAGGTCATTACTGACAGCTGCAGTTTCGACCATTCTATTTTGGGACAGCAAACCCTTGGCGATCAGTATATGTATATTTCGACTTTAAACGCCACCTGTGATACGACACCAAAAGAGCTACGGGAACTTGTTCTAAATATGTTAGACAAGATGGTCCAACTTTGCTATACTTCTACACTCTACGAACAGGATGGCGAAACTCTTGTTCTTATTGCCTGTAATCACCGGGATTATGACTGGCTGTTGAATAAGTAGGCTTCATTCCACAAATAGTTACTCGTGTATATCTAACATGAAGTAGACTGGGCCCTCTAGTTTCTAATAGGCGCGATAACATCGCCTTCGTGCTGGGTTTTAGTTGGCAACTATATGTTAGTGCTCGCCAGGGTAGGTTAGAAGTCTCCGACTCTTTTGGATTTCTGAAAGATACCATCAACTCTCTAATCGTGCAATTTGATGTGGTTCACCTGATTAGCGAACAAGGATTCCAACGTTGGCAACGACAAAGAGCATCTCGGAGAGGGGATCACACGCGGCTCAATCAGGACGCAATACCACCACCTCTCCCACCGGTCACTAGTGACACATTACTCAATCTGTGTAGGCTTCTATTTGACCTCGGCATGGAAAGTGACTTGCGCGACCTGGTAAGGAGGTTAGTGGAGCAAAGCGAAAGAATTGACCTGCTCGAACTCGCAGACCTTTACGTACCTTTCGCCGGCGGTTTCATAGATCTTCTAGAAAGTCGATCCATCTCCGTTGAGGATCCTGCGTTCTCGACGTTAATACGAACTATCATCCAGTCGTTCTGGACCCGATATATTGTCATGGAAGAGCCAATTCCTACTCAGGCTGAACAAAAACAAACTTCCAACCAGAGGCTAAATAAGTCCAGCTGGGTTAAACGAGTGGAAAATGCCAGGCGGCAACTCGCAACTCTCAACCAGAGGAGTCTGCTGCTGGTGTTAGGGAGGGATTATTATAACATCACCGGGAACGAACCACCTTACTTCGAGTACCCACAACCGGACTTGATAATGATTGAGCCATATACTGTCCCACAACCCTATGCTACGGAATCCTCTTATCAACGAAGAAGTCACCAGATAGATCACCCAGCCGGGGTGGACTGTAGCCAAACGAATGGATCGCTGATATTTGCTGGACTAAAACGCAAACAACTCAGGGATGACGAATTTGCTGGCGAGCGACCGGCGAAGAGATGAAGTTGGTAGCTTGCATTTAAAGGAGTTACTTGGTTTTGGGGTTGAATATTAATATTGAATAGTTATTATTAGGTTACCTAGGTAGGTAGGTACCTAGGTATGTATTTAGATATCATGTGTGACGAGAGTTACGGAAAAGGGGCTTGTAAGCCGGGATAGTTTAGGTACACAGTTATGTAACCTAGGTACCTACTAACATACAAGGTGCCTATCGAGGTACCTAACCTATTAATGAGCTCCCCACTTTAAGTTAAGCACGGTCTGCGTAAAACACGACAAAGTCGCGTTTTAAGCGTTTTTAGCCTTGTAGAATTAAATTTATATCTTAACGCGTCTTAATGATGAAGCTTCGGGATCGTCGACGTCGACATTTCGTATTACGGAAAGTCTTTGGGTGGTCCCCAATATCCTGAAATGCCTGGCTCGTACAGAATGGAGCCAACCGTAGAAGACCATACCGGTCTTCCGGACAGGCCATTCAAGAAGTCGGACTTGTTGAAGGCGCTTGAATCAATTCATAAAAAGGCCAGTTTCGCATCCATGACTCGAATTAATACTTTCAATCTGGATATTTTCGTGCAGGATGTTGGCATGATTGATAATCCTCTTTCGGAGACTCAGGCGAAACAGATTGCTGCCAAGTCGCATCAAGCTCCTCATGAAAAAAGTAACGAGACAATTGTTGACACGCCGGTGCCAAACATATGGGAACTCAACCCGGATCAGTTCGAGATAAGAGCGCCGGCATGGCAAGCCTACTTGAACAAGACTCTAGTTTACGTCGCTAGGAAGTTGGACATTACTTCCCCTATTTCTGCCGAGTTGCACAAAATGCTTTTATATGAACAGGGTGCCATGTCCGAGATCCCTCCGGAGTAAGCACCACCCTTTTAAGAATTGTCCGGCCATAAGAACTCATCGGTATATAGTACTGAGAAGATCCCTGGCATGTTTGGGACGCTCGTCATCAATCTTCCTTCACGTCACGAAGGCGGGGACGTGGTTGTAAAGTACCGCGGCGCTTCAAAGATATTACCTACTTCACAGCACGACATGGCCTGCGCTTTTTGGTATGTTGTACATTACTATATCGCTGGAACATAGGCTTAAAAACTCTCTTGCTAAGGTTTTCCGACGCCTCGTATGAGGTCTTACCCGTCAAGAGCGGGTACAGCTGGGTTCTGGTTTATAAGCTTGCGATAGATCCAACAGCTGCAGTCCCAACAGCAGCCAGTCGTCTTGAGAACAAGGCGCTTCGTACGGCCCTCGAGTCGTGGTCACGAGATGTCAGTAATGGTTTGAGGAAACCCTCGCCGCTTTGCTATGTGTTTGATGACAATTATACCGACGAAGGCGGAAGAGTATCGTACCGAGGGCTCAAAGACGCAGACCGTGAACGAGTTAGATGTCTTCGGGCCATGTGTACTGATTTGGACTTCGATGTCTTTTTGGCTACTATAGAAAAACAAGAAACTCGTATTATCAAGGACAAACGTCGTCCAGATTGGGATATGGGTTGTCATTGCGACCATGACGATGAGGAAGAAGAGGAACAGGAGGATGTTGAACATGATACAACCGATGAGTTCTGTGGTGTGTCCTATAAGTTGACGGAGGTAGTCGATGTCGAAGGAACCAGGCTGGCCTCGAATTTGCGGCTTGATGAAGGGTACGTTCTGCAGGGGAATTCCTTTACTGGCATGCCTTGGGACGAAAAGTACAAAGGATGCGTGGGTTTAACTGTATGCCTCGTCAAATCCCGCTGGCTGGCAATGAAACTAACTGAGTGGTAGGGACCTCAAAAAACATCTCGATATCTTGCATCAGTATGTCAACATCATAGCGATACAGCGTACCACAGTTTAACCAATCATTAATTACATTCTTAGGCATTGGTTATTATTCCCTGCGAAGGAACAGTGCCATTTATTATTTCACATAAGTTTAAGATCAATGACCTCCTAAGAATCATATTTTTCCAAAACCTTTGCAGTTTTTTAATCGACCAGTGCACAAGCTCTTCAAGAAAAGCTGCGAGATTAAACCAGATATACGAGATTTTCAATACGAACGCCAAACCGTCCTATTTCAAAGAGAAACTTGACCCAGATCATGTTTTGCAAGCCCTTCAGTTATCTATCCAGAACGAGAACCATAGCTTGCTTAGATTAATCATGACGGAATACAAAGAGCCTCTCCCGGTTGAATTCTTCGCTTGGTTAGGGCAAGAATATGATAAATCAACCATCTCTAGCGACAGCTTTCAGAAAGCGTGAGATTACACATAAAACTATTAGTTGATAAAAAAAAAGCTAACTACGTACAGATTTCTATACGCCTTCAATCTTCAACCTACAATTCATAGACGATGGTCGGCTTTATGCGATGTTAATGTAGATCTAGAAGAGATCGAGGGATTGCGAAACCTTGCCTCTCGAACAGTTGACGAGTGCTTGGAAGCTTGCCGACGGGTACAGCTCCAAGAGGAAGATGGCAAAGCCCTCTTTAGCCTCTCCTTTTATTTTTTGGGATTTGAATACTTGAAGACGGTGTGAGTACCATTGCTGACACCTTTCGAGACTGATGCTGATCCAATTAGTGTGGTACCTGTGCTGGAAGATTGCAGTGGTTTAACAGCCTTTATTATTGGCTTCCTCCAATCGTTCGACTTGAAATACTCTCAGGTTCCTAAGGATGAAATACGAGCCGTTTATGAGCGCATAGCACTAGCAGCAATTAGCAAGCTAGAGTTAGATTCCCTCACTGCCGCGGAGATTCCCTCCGATATAGGAGTAAATGGCTCCAGAAACACTTCTGGCCCTCAGTACATAACCTACAAGTCATTCATAAGGTTCATTTCTACCCTTATCGAACTCAAGCTTCAGAACCACCTTACCTTGCTCGCCCAGAAGGTAGCCGCCCAAGCGGATAAAGTCAAGGGGGAAGAATTAGACACATTTTGGATACCACTTCTCCATGGGCTGTTTATAGTCCTTGAGAAGCGTAGGGTCTTTCTCTCGGTTCCATACTGGTCGCAGATCTACCAGAGTTTCTTCAAAGCCTACGTGGTGAACTACGTCCTGGAACAGCCGGTGCCCCCCTGCTCTTGTCATGACTGTAAATGGAGTTTGGGCGCGCAGTTCGAGGCAGCTATGGATGTCTGGTGGACACGACGGCTCCATGCGGAATTTCTACTCGAGACCTTTGATCAGGAGATGCTACGAATCGTACTAGGAGATCAGCACGACGACATCATGAGCATGAAAATGCTCGAACGTCAACAACCACAACCTGTCGTATGCAGTACCAAACAAGCCCATCTACAGCAAATCGAATTAATGCTTGCCACGTCGTGTGCCCGCAGCACAAACTCGTCCTTAACAATGTCGACCCCATATAATATGCCGCCGAGGCCGCCAGCAACATTATCCACCGCCGTTGCCGCAGGACCAGCCAGGCCGTTGCCGCTGCCGCGGCCGACGCCGAAACGATCCATGGTCGACGTCAGCCGAAGAATCAGCGAGAGCGCACGCAAGCGAGCAGCACAGAATAGATCGTCACCGTCGACGCGGCGCAATCATGGCGCTTCGAGTCCAGTGGGTGGCGGTAGCAGTAGCATACCGTCGAGACCTACAGAAACGATTCCTAACCCTATCGCTGGGGCAAAGCGCAAGTATATTGACGTTATTGATCTCACGGGCGATGACTAAACAAGGCATTGGGGGGATAAGGTATGGATAGGATAATGTACATCAGGGAGATCCTAGGAGTTTGATTAGAGCTGTAATTTGGCTAGCAATAGTGTGTGTTATAATTGTTGTGACAAAACGGGGAACTCTGGAGAGTGAGTCCCTTCATAGAATGAATAATGTCTACAGGACAGTTGGTTTATTCATTCTACGGGTTTTCTAAAGTAGATAGCGAGCTATCTTATGCGTCCAATGTATCCAAATGCTACGGATGTCTTAGGTACCTATGTAGGTAATTTATGTCATGAACTCATTGCCAGTCTATCAAGCAGTCTTGCCGTCACTCCTTTCCGAAGCCTTATAACCCGATCTATCTAGTCACCAACAAATCAATTTGCAGGCTTAGTAGCCAGGATCTTCTTGTTCGCTTCGTCGGCCCTCTCGCAGCACTCTTCAATAACCTTCCAGAAATGCGGGATGTCTAGGCCGCGCGGTATCCGAACGCCCTCACTCCCTGGCGGTAGAAGCGTAGCTATGGTGCGGCCAGTCTGCGCGCCACGCTCTCTAGCATCCTCATGCGTACCCTCGGTCACGACCTCGACCGCGAAGCGCTCCCGTCGGTTTGGCCCCTCGGGACTCTTAGGATCGTAGTCGTAGAACGGGATCTCGTACTCGGTACCTTCCAGCACGGCCGCTACCGCCAGCGGGTCGTGTAGAGGCGGGCCTTCCATGATGCCGAACACCTCGCTGGAGAGCGGACATACCATAGTTAGTACATCATACCAGAGATAAACAACAAAGAAAAAAAGACGCAGAAGAGCCCACTCACCGGTAAGTACCAGCAAAGAAATTCAACAGCTCTATCAACATAACCCTCAAATCCGACTTCCCCCTCCCCCTCCCCTCCTCTTTCCCGTCCCCACCCTCAGGAGCCCGTCCATGCAGCAACACCTCCTGGACGTCCTTCGTCGCCAACACGAGGTGCGTCAGATCCAGCGGGACAAGCGTAATCTTCGCCGCCAGCACGGGGTTTTTAAACAGCGCAGCCGCGGCCTCGGGGTCAATCAGCACGTTGAACTCGGCCCACTGCGTGTAATTCCCCACGCGCGGCACCCCGTCCACAACGCCCATGACCGCCGGCGTAAACCCGCCCCCCAGACTGCCCCCCATGATCGCCACCCCCTTGACATGCGCCGCCAGGTCCGGGTGCGCGGCAAACAGCTGCGCGACGTTCGTCAGCGCGCCCGTGGCCGCGACCCACGCGGTGCCCGGGGCACACCCGCCCAGCGCGCGGGCCATGGCCTCGACGGCCGCCACCGGGCCCTCGTCCCGCTGCTCGGCGCACATGGGAGGGGGCTGCGGCAGGAGGTCCGTGCCGTCGAGCCCGGTCTCGCCGTGGATGTCGACGGCGTGGACGGGGGGCCGCTGGAGGGCGCGCGCGGCGCCGGGGTACACCCGGATGGCGGCGTGCTTGCCGATGGCGGCGAGGGCGGAGCGCGCGTTGTTGGTGGTGTTGTCTAGGGGCGCGTTGCCGTGGACGGTGCTGAGGCCTAGGAGCCGGATGCCCGGGTGGTAGGCTGCTAGGAGGATGGCGAAGACGTCCTGGGGTGGCGAGGTTAGATTACTTATGTAATAGACATGTAGATTCTATACATAATAAAGTACTTGCTATACATAACATAGTGCAGTATGATTCAGCGTCGGGCGTAAATCTCGCGCCGAGCCAACGCCCGTCTGACGCAGGACTGCTACTCCAACGCCGAACCGGCGGTAGCCAAGGATGCGGCGGGGCAGCGGCGGTCCCGGGGAACGAAGTCTCGCTTGAGAAAATAAAATAGTCCGGCGATTGATTGGTTGGATAAAGGCAAAAGGGTGGATGAAATAGAACTCACGTCGTGGCCCGGATCGCAGTCCAGCCAAAGTGGGACAGGTTCCGGCATAGTTAAGTATTTAATATTGTGATTTGGTAAAATACTTGTTGGAAGATAGGATAGTTATAAGTAAGTAAGTAAGTAAGTACCTGGTTAGACGATACTATTAAGAGAGATAACTTATAGGTATTTTGGCCGGTTGGCAGGATCTGGTTTTATATGTTCATGCCAATAAATAAAGATGAATGTCGGTCACGGAAAAGTGGAAAAAGGTAACAAGGCGGACGGAAATACGGAATACGCATTTTGGGTCTGTGGGACTCGAGTTGGATAGGTGAATAGAGATAGGTGAATAGATAGGCGGCCGTGGGAATTGTTGTTCGCACCATAACCATAACTCTCTTACCATATGTTAGGTACCTAACTATAGGTAGCTATAGGTAATAATCAGAATGACTTTATGCAACTTTATCACAATAGTCTAACCTAGGTTAAATGCTTATTCTTTTGGTGTTGATTATTCCTGTTCCTATTCCTATTCCTATTCCTATTCGTAGCTTTGGTGAGCCAAGTCAAATACTACCTCCATTAATCATTCGGCGGCTCGTCGTTTCTCGATAACTCGCAAAACATCCGCTGCGCTATTGGCATCCCCCTTTCGCTTCTTGGGCCCTCTCTTACGTTTAGGCCCGCCCCCGCCGTGACCCTCATCGTCGCCCTCGCGTCCCCATTCTGAGAATTTGACCTTCTGCTCTTCAAAGTCCTCTTCGTCTTCAAACCTACTAGTACCAAAGCCCATGTCCATGTCTTCTGCATCGCGATCGTTATTCTGCAGCATCTTCTTAAGACGTTCCGCCTTAGCACGTGCTTCCTTATCATCCTCTTCCGATGACCTAGATATAGGATTTAGGGATGCTGCCTTCTTGAGGGCTGCTTGTATTGCCGGATCAGACATAGACGGCGCCTTGAGCGACTCAGATGACACCAATTTGGTCTTAGAATCCTTAAAGTAGTTTCGTGACTCTGTTGTAGCGGCTGGGCGCGGTGGAGGAGGCATGGCAACCTTATCTTCCTTGCTTGTGTCGGATGGCTGTGGTTTCTTCGCGGCGGACTCCTCGTCTTCGGAGTCTTCCTCTTCTAGCCCAGCAAGAGGATCGTAGTCGTCACCAACATCATCAAATATATTGATATCTTCATCATCTGGTTCTTCGGCCTGTTTCCTGTACTGCTCTGGAACTTCCATGCCGAGGGGTTTGGCGTTCTTGTCGGGCATCATCATATCTGTGTCTTTCGATGACGTTGTCGCCGTTGGCTGAATCTTGCGAACTTTTCGCTTCTCGTGGCCATCTTCGTCCACCACTATCAAGACTTCTCTGCCTTTGCTATCTCGCTCTATTCTCATTCCGGGGGTCTTCGCGCCAATCTTTTTGAACTTCGACCCCAGACCCGTATCCTCTTTGGCCTTTGCTGCTTCTCTTGCTGCCTTCATTTCGGCTAGTATCTGGTCTCTCGTTCGTTTCTTGGACGGATTTAGTGGCGCTGTTGATAGTTGTCCTTTCTTTGCTGCTTTCTCTCTTGCGACCGCTGCAACTTCTCTTTCTTCTAGCTGGTCTAACTCCTCGTCGATGTCGTCTTCCGGCTCGGAATCCTCTTCCTTCTCGCCGCTATCGCCATAAACATTTTCGCCCTTTCGTACTCGTTCGAGGAGCTTGAAGTCGAGACCTTTTACTAAGTGGGTGCTGGATAAATCCCCACCGGCAATTTGACTCCTGAGCCTTTCAAAAGTCTCTTGGTCGATCTCTTCCTTCTTGAGAGACTCTTCCAATGCCTTTATTCGCGCTGCTCGTTCGTCCTCCTCTTCCGAAGTTCTATTCTGAGCGCGGTCTACATATCCCTCTGCTAATTTGCTACCCTTGGGATTATATGACTTGAATTTCTTGGGCTGTTTGTCGCCGCCATGGTTGCGCTCTGCTAATTGTCGTGCGAAATCGGATTTATTATGAAGGCCAACTGAGCGACTGGATTAGTTAATAACGTATGCAATGAAGGTAGAGGGATAGTAGACTCACGGCGTCATAGGAATGCTTGACTTCTGCCTAGATCCAAGCGCTGCTCCTCGAGGAGTGGCTGCGCCTGGTGATGCGCCATTGCCATTCGATGAGGGCTTGGGGGTGTTTGTGGAAACAAGGCGACGGAACTGTTCGTTGTTCATCGTCGCGATGATTTGATGTGACTTATACTGGGGGTAGTCTGCCGACGCGAAATCAATCAGTTTCGCTCTCCAATCTTCAATACATACTGATTTCAAATTACAAGAGTCGGGAAATGCCGACAAGGACCAGGTACGTAATAAGAATTCGCATATGCACATGTGAAGTTATGTACGAGTAAAGAAGACGAAGAAATGAAATAGCCGGGTATATGTAAGTGTGGCTGGTGTAGGCGTCGTTGATGTACCCAGTCACATGCCTTCCTTATTAAAAGGCCCCGCTAAAAGCATATTACAGATGCATTTAACCACGGAGTACTAATCTGTTATAGAGCTCATTTCATCTTTACTATTCATATTTTATAGCTCTTCTTTTAATTATTTACACGTGCGTTCACTTAACGGAATCATTACCTGCATTAAGTCACGGGATGACGTGACGTTACCCGCGTCTCATTAATCAGCGTCGCTCTGCCACGCGTTTATCAATTACACGTTTGTCGGTGAAGAATGAGATCAAATAAGTCGATATTCATAAACGTTTCAATTTCCCTTAACCTAGTAATCTTCGGTGTCGCCAGAAATCCGAATCAAGTCAGCTTATCTTGTCTTATGCTCAACACAGCTAAGACCCCGTCAATTCCAAGATGACCTCCCATCGAAAGATCGCCACAGGCCATCGAGTAGATTCTTTTATGAAAACCAGAACCAGGCATCTCATTATTTGAGATCAACTTTGAAATCCTGTCAACATGGGGAATCGTTTAGATGCCAACTCAAATGCTGTGCGAAAGCGCATAGAAGATCATACCTTTTCGGATGAAGCGGGTGAGGAATATGAGCCTAGCGCCTTTGGCGGCTTTGGGGATTACTTTCGCCGCAAGAAAATCAAGTTACAGAATCTTGATTCCGAATTGAGAGCTTCGTCGACAGACAAGCCTCAAATTTTCAAGGGAGTCGTCGCGCATGTTATAGGCTATACGCAACCGCCACTCCAAGTCCTTCATCGTGATCTAGTCCAACATGGCGCCGGCTTTCTCCAGTATTTGGACTCTAAGACCATGGCAACCCACATCATTGCGTCTAGCCTACCGCCGAAAAAGATGGTTGACTTTAACAAGTATAGGATGGTGAAGCCTGCATGGGTTACAGATTCTATCAGAGCTGGAAAGCTTCTACCGTGGTCAGATTACCGAGTGATAGATGAGAGCCCCAGGCAGAAGACATTAAAACTAAGCGGGACCGGAATAGCCACACAGTCCAGTCCACAATCACCCCTGGCAGGATATCGGGAGCAAACCGAGAATAGTTTCTATAACAGTCAGCTTAAAGGTATTGCGCAGTCTATTGATGGAAAGCATCTCGGAGACATCTCGCCTAGCCGGCCAGGGTCAGCTCTCAAATATGCTTATCATAATAAGTCTGTTGAACCTACGACGCCTTCGGGTGTATTGCAAGGACCGCAATACTCACCGGACATTTCCGATGAGTTGGACGAAGACTCGGTGATGCTAGTCGAATACCCGGAATCTACAGCACCGCAAGCATCCAAGGAGCCTGATAAACAAGTCAAGGACGACGTCGAAGATGACATCCAACCCGGTCCACCAGTCGACGAACAAAAAGCGATGACTTCCGAGGAGCATAATGCATTACTTCTGCAAGATCCGCGGATGAGGAAATCTTCCACCGCAAATCCAGATTTCATCCAGCAGTATTACTCTGAGAGTAGGCTGCACCATCTATCCACCTGGAAAGCCGAGTTAAAGTCTAGGATGCAGAGGCTCGCCGCCGAGAAAGGTCCCCAGAGAAAGCCGACAAAAAGAAAGGCCGGCGCGAGGCGCTACGTAATGCACGTTGACTTCGACAGCTTTTTCTGTGCGGTTTCACTGAAAAGCGCACCCGAATTCATTGATAAACCCGCTGTTGTTGCACATGGAACAGGATCTGGCTCGGAAATTGCCAGCTGCAACTATCCAGCAAGGAAATACGGAGTGAAAAACGGCATGTGGATGAAGCGAGCTAAGGAATTATGTCCCGAGCTCAAAGTACTGCCATATGACTTCCCAGCATACGAAGAAGCCAGTAAATCATTCTACGAATGCATTCTAGAAGTTGGTGGTGTCGTGCAGAGTGTCAGTATCGACGAGGCTCTTGTGGATATCACCTCCGTTCTCCTATCTGCAGTTGGCTCAGATGGTTCCAGAGTCGACGAGAGCAATATATGGAGGGAACAGGAAAAGGCGGACCAGATAGCCTCAGCCTTAAGAGGACAAATCAAGGAAAAGACCGGGTGTGCTGTTTCAGTTGGAATCGGAGGCAACATTCTATTAGCAAAAGTCGCGCTTCGGAAAGCCAAGCCCGCAGGGCAATACCACATCAAACCAGAACAGGTATTGGACTTCCTCGGCGACTTAAAAGTTGATGACCTACCTGGAGTCGCATACAGCATCGCTGGGAAACTAGAAGAGATTGGTGTGAAATTAGTGAGCGATGTCCGGCAAACCTCCAAAGAACGCCTAATCAATACCCTTGGTCCAAAGACAGGTGAAAAATTATGGGAATTTGCTCGGGGTATCGACCGAACGGAGGTTGGCGAACAGCCAATTCGCAAGTCAGTCTCAGCTGAAGTTAATTGGGGAATCCGGTTCATCAGCCAGGAAGAGGCCGAGGAGTTTGTCTTTAATTTATGTAAAGAATTGGAGAAACGACTTCTAAACGAGCAGGTCAGGGGTAAACAGCTCACGATGAAGATCATGAGACGTTCATTTGACGCACCTCTCGACCCTCCGAAACACTTAGGACATGGAAAATGTGATACCTTCAACAAAAGCGTCATGTTTGGTGTTGCCACCCACGACTATCAAGTGTTAGGTAAAGAAGCAGTTTCGATCCTCCGTTCCTACAAATTCAGTCCGGGTGACCTTCGCGGTTTAGGCGTACAGTTGACTAAACTCGAGCCGATCAAGACTTCATTGTCAGGACCTGACGGGAGCCAAAAGAAGCTGCCTTTCGGTGCTTTTCGTACTCCTGGCTTAGGCAAAAAGCCGGCCCTTGAGCCGATTCAAGATGGCAGTGGTGCAGAAGAGACCAGTTCAAGACAAGGTCGAGGCGAGCCGCAAGACCCGATCACAGAGAGCCCCTTGACTCCACGAAAACCGAAGCCAGAACGCCACCCGGCATTCGCGCTATCTCAAGCAAGCAAGGTAGATGCTAAAGCGAATACCCCCTTAAACATCAGCGGAACCCAATTCATCATGCCATCCAACCCCGATCCCGCAGTCATCGCCGAGTTACCCCCGGATATTCGGAGCCGGCTTATGGAGCAAGGCCGTCGAGCTATCCCGGAACCCCGCGACGAGACACCAGCCGCCAAATCGAGGACTCAAAGTCCAGCACCCGTAGACGGCATCCCTCCCGAGATCGACCCCGAAGTATTCAACGCCCTACCAGACGACATGAAAGCCGAAATCCTAGAACAATACCGACCCCGAAGCAGACGACAAACCTCGCTCCCCCAATCCCCCCGCCGGGACCGCACCATCCAACCCCCTAGGCAAAGAACCCCAACCAAACGCCGCGTGCCCAACCTCTTCGCCCGCGCCCGCGAGAGACAAGCCGACGCCAGCGCCAAAATCGTCCAGACCACAATCGCCAAGCAGCCCCAGCCCGACCCCAACGACGTCGAAGACCTAGACCCGGAATTCCTCGCCGAGCTGCCAGAGGAAGTACGCCAAGAAGTCATCGCAGACCACCAACGCCGCCGGCGTGCACAGCGCGCCGACTTAGACCTGTCGAAACTCAACCAAAGCAGGAGGACCTCAGACATCGGCAGCGGCAATGGCAATGGCAACGGCAACGGAGAGCAAGAGTCCACAGCCCTACCAAACGGCCAGACGCGCCTACGCTTCAACCCACGCCCGCCTAAAGCCGGCTTCACATCCAACGGCTTAACAACTCTCCCCGAAATCCGCGACATGCTCAACGTGTGGCACCGGGAGACGCAGGACGAGGGTCCTCATAGGCGGGACGCCGAGATATTGGAGAAGTACTTAGTCCGCGTCGTGCTGGAAGAGAAGGATATGGACAAGGCGGCTAAGCTGGTCCGGTGGCTGGATTATCTAGTAGAAGACAGTGGTGGAGGTGGGGGCGAGGAGATGGAGTATCGTGGGAAGGAGGCGTGGCGTGAGGTCGTAGGACGGGTTAAGATGGAAGTACAAAATGCGGTGCGGGAGAGGGGGTTGGGGCCGTTGGATATATGAATTATTAAATGATGCCGAATATGACCTTATTTATATCCATTACCACGAGCGACACGATAGAAGACTTGGAGCACACATAGCATTGTAAAAAACGAGGTGCTTTATCATCGAAGCGGTGTATTTAGACCTTATAACGCTTTTAAAACAACGAATGCCACCTATCTACTATTCAGTTTCATCTCCGATTTTCATGTACTTCAGCTGATCAAACAGCTCTTGCTCCCAACTATACCTATATCTAGAGGTATGAGCCGCCAACTTCTCCCGCGACGATTAACTCAGTAGACAACAATGCGTAACGCCTCCTTGCGAGATGACGCTATGACAAACGCTGGCTCTGATCTAAAGAGTGTGAAGAAATCAAATAGTAACACCCGATCTCAAACTAAGTCATTCATCCACACATATATATATCCTCACTCGTCAAGTTTCATTTTCGTCTCGCTCCTTACAAGCAACCCCAGCCCAAGGCAAAAGTCACAGCCAACACGAGAATACCCATTCCCACGGCTTGTAGTGCCGCTTGATCATGGGGTGCTTCTGGCTGGGTGCCGGTTCCGGCATTGCTTCCGTTTCCGCCGAATCCATTGTTATCTCCAGGAGTATTCTTTTCTGTAATGTTGTATAGCGTCATGGCGAGATGTCCACCACACACAGTCGTGTTGGCACCATCACACTATACGGATGGATATTAGTAAATACATACTTCACAAAGCGAGAGGTCAAGTAACCAGCGTAGTATATTCGGGCATATTCACGGGGGCAAGGAGAGTTTCAATCAGCTGAATAATATGGAGAAACTTCCGACTCCATTGGTATCCAGGAAAAGGGGGGAATATGGGTGAGAACTGAAGGGAGTTAGTTTCAAAATTATACGTACAGGAAGATCACAGACGTCGTCAATCAAGTGGTAGCTGTGCTTCGAGAGGTTGTCACCACACCAGCACTGATAGGCAAACTCAAGGCCGGCGTAATGGTAGCCAGTCTGGTTCTGCTTGTTCTTGTTAGAGGCGCGGCGGCAGAAATCCACGCACACGTGGACATTCATGAGGCCGGGTGCCGTCAAGAAGGGTCCATCGAGGGCATGCACGTCGGGGTTCAAAAGGGTGACCTCAGACCAGCATCCCACGTACTTGTACACGGGATCTTCGTCGATGATCCTCAGCTCCGGGCGAGGAGAGGCGCTGGGGCTAGGGCTGGGATTGGGTGCGTCAGCCTCGACGATCAGGGTGTTGTTGATAGTGTGGGTTGAAATGGTGGTGTTTCCGGGAACCACGGGCATGGGCAAGCATGTGGGTTGGGATTGACGTGCCACCGCAAGGGGAGCTGTGACCAGCAGCATGGCGAGGCCGAGGACACCTGAGTATGTGTGAGATGCCATTTCTCTATTATTTTGGTGTAATGTATAGTGTGGTATTCGTATCTATGAAGTGTAAGCTTATCAAGGTATTTGTTTAGTTATGCAGTAGTTTACTTACATGGAGATAGCAAAGCCTCTAGAATAATAGTAGAGGACTGGCGTTGGTGATCTATCTCTGCTGGTTAATTATTTGCAGATTGACTCGGTGTCTTCTTTGGATAATCACCTTGACAGAAATATTTCTGGAGTCCTCGTATGAATGTTCACAGTAAAATGAAGCTTTTAAGCAAAAAAATGGTATTGTTAGCAGCAATGATGATAGTAACTCAATGGTCCTTTGCAAAACTGATGTTTGTTGTTGATGTAAAGATGTAAATGGAGCTCTGCCTCAAGAAATGAAACAAAATATCCAAATCTTTGCATGCCTGCCTACTTGACTTGGGAACTTAGGAGCAAGAGCAACTGAAGTAGATGGCAGGAGGTGTGGGTAAGTACGCGTTATGAGGCAGTAAAGGCCAACCCCCTATGCCTACCATTATATCATTGAGAGAAGCGACGAGGTACCTTTAGTATGTAAAACGACTCAAGTCTAAGTCACTTTCTCCACGTTAAACTTGTCACCACTTCATACATGTAGGTACTGTTCAGTCAGACGCCTTCCTTACTTTTTCTTGTCCTTTCCTGAACTTCTGAAAGAAACACCATCGCTTAGAACCCGGGTTTTCATGACCTCATCTAGCCCCCAACAGACTTAGTAGAAGAGATAAAGTGTGCAGATACTGATTTCAGAGTTTCAATAGACTCCATGGCATTTACCTACATTTTATAATATGAAGGGTTATCCTAGAAGGTAGCAAATAACTTGAGATACCCTAAAAATGACGGGGGTAAATTACACTATTTCATCTATACCGTTACAAAGAATGGTATGAAAGTTCGCAAAGTATTGACAATAAAATACTCTGCAGAAAGGCTTGAAACGGCTCATATGTGCGCTTAATCGTTTAATTATTTTTATTTGATTCTATGTAATGTAAGTCTATACGACCAAGGATGTAGCCTTCACTATACAGTCCATAGCTCTATAAGATTCACCACGGATCTTAAATATGAAAGAAGAATCTTTCCTCGGTGCCTTCGTGTTGAATATTGGCTGTAAATGGGTACTGGCTTCAGTATATATGTGTCATTAGCCATGGCAAGGGTATATCCAGTATGCTTCTATTCTAGCTATGGACATCGTCCTTATTTACCCACGTTCCTACGAGCCTCATAGCTTTCTCGTCCCCGTCTACCAGGCGCTCATCTTGCAGCGTATCTGATAGACATCGCCAGGGATCCCGGCTTCCTCCCCATTTGAGCAGATTCTCCTTCAGTCTCTCGCCGTTCGCTCGATCGAGCGCGGCCCCGTTGTGGCCCGCTGAGAAGACAACCTGCCATGCGCGCTTAGAGAGGACTTGATCAAAGAGATAGCTATAATAGGTGCTGCCGTAGCCGAATAGATGACCAAAAAAGCCTTGCCACCTGGTTCCTGGTGGATCCGACGGGAGCTTCCCGAATTTCTTCTGGAGACCTAAATAGATCTCCGTAGAATCAAATGTGTTATCATTCGGTAGGGACGAATGATACTGCTGGTCTAACATGGCGAGTATAATCTGGTTCTCTCTATCTGATGCCTCAAATCTCCTAGATATGTTTAATTTATCCACGACCATATCAAAGGGTAGTGGTTCGTCTGTGACGTGATGTCGCGCGAACAGCCCGAGAACAGAGGGGTCTGCACAGAAATGTTCCATTAGAGTAGACGGCAGCTCTGCTAGGTCAGTCGCGCATCGAGTTCCGGCTACGTTTTGTAAAGAAGTCCGGGCTAGAATCGAGTGGATGGCGTGTCCCATCTCATGGAAGAGCGTTTCCATCTGATAGTAATCTAATAGGGCAGGTCCACGCCCTTTGCTCTTTTCAAAATCGCAAACCAGTGCAATCGTTGGTAGCTGTTTGATAGAGCCGGATTGGAGAGACACGTGCATTCCATCATTTGCCGCGTCAATAGGAGACTCAAATTTGGGAAATTGGAGACCGGATGCGTTTCGTTCTGCTGCTACTTCTTGGATTTCAGCTTCTGAAATCTCCCTAGAGCAACGCACTGTGAAATGTGCTGGGTTAGGAGACTTATCATCTCGGAAGAAAAGGTCGCAGTATAGGACCGCGACATGTCCATCCGTATCAGATACGACATCCAACCGCCTCACGTCCGAATGCCAGGTTTCTCCTCGAAGTGTGTCTCGAGGGATAAGCCTGATTCCATATAAGCGGGTAAATAGTCTTGATAAGCCCTGCATGACAGTCCCAAGTGAGAAATAAGACGAAAGGGAATCACTGCGTCGTCGCGACCTCATAGATGAACGAATCTTCTCCATATAATACTCTCTGTCCCATGGTTGGAGATCAGTTGCCGTGGAGTTCTGCGTTTTGCTCTTCTCTCGAAGGAGAGCGGCAATCTCGTCTTCAACAAGCGGTGCATTGCGATTAGATAGGGCTACGAGGAACTGATGGACCGACTCGGGTGTTTTAGCCATCATCTTGTCGTGCAAAGCCATCTGGCTATAACTTTCAAACCCCGATAGCTTCGCAAGTTCAGCTCGCGATCGTAGTAAGGACTCTAGGATACGGATCGACCAGCCGGAGGCCGTTCGAGTTGCATAGTAGATTGCCTTTCTTGTATCTTCGTCATGCACGCTTCTCAGTGCTACTGTTGCTTCAGGCGACAACGTCTCGAAACTGACAACGCCTCCATGGGTTAACCTCCGAGCCATCTGCGGGTTCATTCCATATGCCTTGCTACTGGGGAATGCGAGGAATCTCTGTTCGGGTCCCATGTCTTGGACGAAATTCGACCCCAGTTCGCTAATCCGCTGCGAAAGGCTGACAAATTGATCCCGCGACCCTTTTGGGAGGTGTATTGCCGACTTCTTGAAATCCTGTTGTAGCAATTTCGCAACCGTCTGTTCTTCCTCGTTCCAGCTGGCCATGACCTCTGGATTAGCAAGAGCTTTCTCTAGCTGATCACTTAAACCCGTCGCAGTGTTCAACTGATTCATATACTGGTAGACTAGCGACCACGCCTTCGACGCAGCTGCTTGGATCATCATGTCGGGGTGAGTTACCCGCACGAAATCCGAAACATCCAGGACTCGACATAGTAGATCGCTCAATCTATCTAGGTCTCTCACGACCGCCTTATATTCCTCCAACGTCGACGCATTGAGCACCCTGTGAACAAGTTTCTGAGCCCTCTCAATCGTGACATTTGCATATTCGAAGAAGCCTTGTGGCGACGTTAGATATTTGTTTCTGAACAAGCCAACATTTTCACCACTCGTGAGCTTGGAGAAGGCTTCGGCAAGGTCTTTGATTAACGGCGGAGAGTCGAAGATCTGGCGCAACAGCGCATCGTCATGTTTTAGATCTGGAGGAGAATGGTCGACCGGTATCTGTGAGGCATCGATCTGAGCAACGCCGGGCGCAGAAGAGAGCCACCGTCTTTGGTCTCGGACTTGAGAAATTCGAGAAATTCGAGAAACTTGTCGGAGATATCTTGAGCAGGTCCACAGACCTGAGCGAATAGTCTTTATCATGACGGATAGAACATGATTATAATTATGTAGGAACTTTGAACTTAGAGTAAAGCCCTAAGAGGTAAACTACCTATTTACAAAAAAGAGTGAAAGAAAATATGAAATGTACAAATAATAATTTATTGTTCAGGTGCAATTGCTTTCGCCTGTATGTATGTACGACCTAAGTGGGATGAAGCTGCCGCACGGAAACAGACGGTTCGCAATTACTATGTACGTACCTGCGTACAAACCAAAATTTCGCCGAGGGCCCGACCCGGAACCCGCCGCGTGAAAAAAAGGTACATGGCCGATTTGTACGTACATACCTTATGTACATCATTGTTGCAGTCCAATATTCTCAAAAAAAAGCTTCCAAGTTTTAATAACTCGAAGCATTGCCAACCCCAATTGAGCGCAACATGGCTGCGAGAGTGCTGCTGCGACGGGTAAGATTCCCTTTAGAACATTTAACCAAGCTATTAAAGTACTGACGAATGGTAAAACTATAGCGTGTCGTTGCGCCTTTCATGGCTGCGACTCTTGCCGGAGGAGCTTTATTTCCCTCGGTTGCGCTGGCTGAAGCACCCTCACACGACCACGTACGGCTACTCTCCTATAAATACTAATATGAACGAGCCGCTTTATTAATTCATACCTCAACAGTCTTCCAAGAAACCTATATACGACGATTACGAGACCTTCCTCTCCCCGAAAGCCACCAATACGCCAGTCCCGTCGCCAGCCTCAGATACTATATCAGAAGCGTCCTTCTCATCGTCAACGACGTTAGTCGAACATCCAGAGAAAAAACATCACAGTCCGACGCCGACCGACCGGTTAGCCGTAGAGGTCGGCAAAGCCCGTCTATTTCTATACCGATATGCTACAGCTACGGAGGATGCCGTGAACGGCGCCATCGACTCGGCATTCCACTTGGAACAGTCCTTCACCGAAACCATCGCATCGCTGGCGCCGGCGCGGGAGAGCGGCGAGAAATTGATGCCGGGTCTAGTATACGTACTTGTAGCATCCATGACGGGCAGCATCATGACAAGGAACCGCAATATCATCCTGCGGGCCTCGCTCCCCTTCGCCTTCGGCGTCGGCGCCGGCTGGCTGCTTCTCCCCGTCACCATGACCAACGTGTCAGACCTGCTATGGCGATACGAGCGCCGATTCCCCGCCGTAGCTGATGCCCATCTGAAGACGAGACAAAGCATCCAAGACGCCTGGCGCTTCGCCAGAGTCCACGTTGACGTCGGGAAGAACTACGTCGACGAGAAGGTCGGCAATACCCGCAATATTGTCGAGGGCTGGGTAAAGCAGGGTAAATAGATAGAGGGGGGGTCTTTTCGAAGAGAATACTACCTTGTACTTTAGACGAATAGACACAAAATTTGCTTTGTTCGAGGCTAGGAAGGATAGGTACCAACTACTATTGGACGTGTAATTGAAAGTACATAAGTTGTTGCATACATCTCCTGTTGTTCTATTTGGCGTAAGACTTGAATCTAGAGAGTTCATCCTCAAACAATAATTTTGATCGTAATCTGAACCAATATAAGTACAAGTGGTTTTGTTTGGTAAACCAACGCATGGTATATTCTATAAGTTGCTCTCCGCAACATCTATCCTGATTTTATTCAACGCCGTCATAGTATCCCCTATTTTTATGTCATACGCAGCCAGCCTTGTCTATCCTATCTTTACAACTCAGCATTACGCTCCGCCTTCTTAACTAGGAAATCTAAAGTCCGCTCATACGTCCACATCGTGACAGCGCTCGCAGGAGCCGCCTTAAGCAGACTAACCGGCAACCCCCTATACAGGCCCCTAACCCCTTCCCTCTCAAGGATCCGGCGTATGGTGCTTACCGTGCCGGCGTACTCGGGGATATTCTTGTGGACGTAGCGGCTCCGCGTGGGGCCCTGGACTTGGATACGCTTGCGCACGAGGTCGAGCGGGAACACGCCCGTCTTCGCCACGACGCTAGCGATGATTCCAGCCGTGGCGTCTCCCGTGCCCCAAGGCAGCGCATCGACTCGTCCCAGCGGCAGCCGCGCGCCCTCGTACACGGCGAAGAAGAGCCCCATGAACGGTACGATCTGCCCTAACGCAGGCGCCAGTCCACGGAAAAAGCCAGGCACGCCCTCGTCCCGTGCTATGTCAGCGACCGCCCGCCGTAGCGACACGTACACGCGGTCGTTGCCCTGGGCCGCGAACCGCGTCCGTAGCAAGTCCAACGGGTACGTAGCCGCGGTGGCTGCTGCACCGGCCGCAGCACCGCTGACAAACGACTCGACGGACTGGGGGAGCCGGCGGGCGTCGCCGTAAAGGGTGCGTAGTAGCTGCGTCGTGGACCGGTAGGTGGTGAACTGGATAGAGGCGTATGCGACGTACATCAGCTCGGCGGGCACGTTGCCCTTCCACAGGGCGGTGACGCCTTCATTAGCGACGATGTGGCGGAACGTGCCGATAGTGCCCTTATAGATGGGAGAGCCGCGGAGGTCGAGGTGAGTTCGCGGATCTGAGAGCGAGTGCGATTGCAGCTGCAGACGGATCTTGATAACGTCAAGGGGCGCGACGACGAACCGGGATATTAGACCGGCTGTAGCCCCAGCGGTTACGACTTGGAGTCGTGAGCCCTTTGGTCATTGAGAGACAAGCGTCAGTTTTTACTCCTTTGTCTCATATGTAGGTACCTAAGGTGTGTGTAAGGTGTGTAGGTATATTCCATGCGCCTCCGGGGCCAAAGTTACGTACCTCATCCTTGAGGCGTGGGCCAGACTTCGACATACATCCGCAACGGCCCTACCCGGGACTAGGGTGTAACTCGGGATATGATGCTAGGATGTTTTCCAACCTGCGAGACTAACGTGCGTTAGATTTGTTGTCAGGTACTGTGCGATGATGTATGTGGTGTAAGATGTAAAAAGCAAAAGTTGCAGCACGTGCCGTAGCCACTTGCCGTCCGGCGAACAAGGGGTACGGGGTTAATTGAGACGCGTGATGATGCCGATATAAGCTAAGGGGACCGTCGACTGGTTCGGCCGATTAATTACGGGCGATCTTGTGAACACTACCTACCTTAGGTACGGATGCACGAATGACCTAACATATGTACCTACCTATGTATGACCCATCGGCAAATAGGTAGGTACGCATGTATGCATCGCCGACTATTCCGCGGTCTTAGAAAAACTTACTTAATAGGTAGGTACCTACTTAACTACTGTGTCAAGCTGCAAGGTGACGCTTTCCATCGGAAATTTAGAGATTTCCAAAGCCGAACCAAAAATTCAAAGGGCTAAATAGCACTTGACTCCAAATAAGTGACGTAAATTGGTCAGACTTCACCTTTTTACAATTGCGAGTCATCACGTGTTACAACGCCAATATGCTATAGCTCACCTGCAATGCGCTGCAATGTTCTGCAATACCCAGCCTACAAGAGGTTGCAATGGTAGGATCAACAAATATTATAAGTGGTATGACAGGGCTATACTACGTGTAAATGTGAATCAAACATCATCGGTTCGGAGCCTAGTTTGAGCATTTTAATGTCCCCAGTTTCAATTCAATGTATCAATAAGAAAATGTGTCCAGATGCATAATTACGTCCATCGCGGGGCTAATATGACCGTGATATTTGCGACTGTACATAGTGTCCATATCTTCAGGGCCAAGCCCCACTAGGCATGTACTTCCGTCTACTAAAAGTATTCGACCACTAAAATTCGACCTGACATAAGGCAAGTTTACTTATTAACAGGCCTAATTCGCCAAGTTGAACAAGCTTCCGCCCGCCCGAGCTTATGCCTCCCATTCGTCCTCTCCCCAGATTTAGAGTGGGACTTCTCTAACTCGCTAAAACCATTGGTTCCCTTTGAAGTTCTGCAACATACATAACGTACATAACAGACTCCTTGTGATTGCTTCTTTCCCCCTTCGATTCTGTCTCGTCATCTATATTTCTCTCTCTCTCTCTCTCTCTCTTATATTACGAATTCTCTTCTACGTTCTTATGCAGCTTACCTTTTCTGTCCCTTGACCCTGAAACAATATAACGTTGACTAGCGTAGCTCGCGTAACCAAAATAGGACCGTCAGCCTCTGAAGGAACGTCTGACAAGCCCTCGTTGCATGTGATAAGCTCCACTGTCCACTTATTCGAGGACCTCAAATAAGAAGCTCCAGCAACGCCTACTTTCGATTCGACTCGTGAACTCTCACCCCAGCACACGGAACGATACCTGAACCTCTGGCAAAATCATGGCATCTTCAACAGTCAAGCAACCAGACGTTCAACAAGTCTTAGGGCCTCTGTTACCCTCACTACCAGCCGCCGCCCTGTCAACCCAACCTGCAGAAAACGTTCTTCCACTTCTCTCTCCGATTCTTAGGCAACGAGTCCAACTTTTATCATCGGCTAGCTCAGAACCGTGGATTCGACTGTTGTGTTATGAACCGGGAAATGTTCCTAAATTGACAGAGATTGCTCAGGGCGATCGGCTAGAACCTCATCCCGTATCTGGCGAGGTCGAGGTCGATTGGGAGTACGACACCGAAATCCGCTACCGGCGGGTGGACGAAGAGACTCTCCAAGCGCTCGTATTACTTAAAAACATCGGGTTGACTTTTCGCCTGGTTTATTGCGTTGGAGATCCTGTAGGCGATGGTTGGAAAGTGGGCGAAGTCAATGTGGCCGAGAAGCCGTCTCCATTTTCATCGTTTGGTGGCGTTTCAAACATGAGCGAAGCCGATAGGCAGTTTAATGAGTCCAAGACGAAACCAGCTCAGAGTAACGGTTTTACAAATAGCCAAGTTGCTCCCGCTCCTCCCGTTGTGGACGACGACGATGATGACGATGATTACTGGGCAAGATATGACGCGACACCTGCGAGAACTCCTGCAGTTAAAAGGTCACCTGCTCCACAATCTACTCGAGGCGTCAGCACGACAGCCGAGGAAGACTACTATGCTCAGTATGACGATGTCCAGCCAGCTATGGACAATCATGACCCGGACGAGGAAGCAAATTATGAGATAGCACCGCCTCTAGGTCTAGGCGCTAGGCCAAGCAACGGTAGCGACGAGGAAGAAGTAGAAATCAACGAAACTCAGGGCGCATGGACACTTGCCCCCAGGCCAAAATCACCTTCTGCACACTCGAGAAGTGGTGACGATCCAAGCATAGTCCATCCTTATCCGAGACCTGCTTCGAGCACCGGATCGAACGCTTCGGTTGAGAAACTCGAGGCAGCGGCAGCGAAGCAAGAGCAGAACGATTTCGGCGTTAAGCAGCATGTATCTCGAAGCATTAAGAGCTTGTTCATGCTATCCCGTGCATCAGGGATCGATCGCGAGGAATTTGAACGACTAGTGAAGACGGAACTTGATACGTTAGGACTATTGGAGGAATGAATCTAATCTGAGATGTTTTTTTTAAGTCATGTAAGTAGGTATTTAAGGTTGGGGAACCTGGTTGTATTTACAGGCGTTCGGACGGCCAAATTGGCGGGTATATCATTTTTGTTGGGGGTGACCGGCTGCATAAGGGGGTGATGCATCCTACATACGGCGTTATGGAGTTAATCTAGGTGTTCGTGTGTATTGTACGCAGGAGGATACCAAAGGAAATTAAAATTTTACGAAATTTACAGAAATTTGTTGAATTATGCCTCTTTAAATCAGACTATGAAGTTTATGGTTTATGTAACTAATAGGAACAGCATTCAACAAAGTCGTCTCAATTAACGGGCATGGATCCATGTATTAAATACAGATACGATACATCGGTACAAGGTGCGATTGAGCTCAACCCAATTTAGATACCGATATCTCCGGCGGGACTAGCCCCACATGTCCCTGAATCGGTGCCCCTCCTGCCCCTCCTACCCCTCTGACTCAAAAATAAATACACGTTTACTGAAATTTACCTTAGGTACTGAAATATGTATATTTGATAAACGAAAAAAAAAAAGGTGTGAAGACGGGAGAAAGCGTGCCTTACGTTATTTCGCAAATCATATCGACTTCGCACAACTCTCCTTCTCAAACATGACTCCCGAGGAGTCGATTGCCTTGATCAAGGTCGGCTTGACCGAAGTTCTCAACCCCGAAATCATCGAAGATGTTATCCTTAATCAGAAACGAGACCTCAAAGTCTACTGGGGAACGGCCACGACAGGCCGACCGCACTGCGGCTATTTTGTGGCAATGGTGAAGATCGCAGAACTCCTCCACGCCGGATGCCATGTCAAGATCCTCCTCGCCGACTTACACGCCTATCTCGACAACATGAAGGCCCCGCTCGAACTTATCGAGCAAAGACTCAAGTACTACGAATATATCGTAAAGAGCTTACTAAAAGCCGTAGGCGTAGACATCACCAAGCTAGAGTTCGTCAAGGGAAGTTCGTACCAAAAGAGCGAGAATTACACAATGGATCGATTCAAGTTGGAGGGTATGACTAGGATATCGGTTGCGCAGAAGGCTGGTGCCGAAGTCGTCAAGCAAACTAGCGATCCGTACTTAGGTGGTCTAACCTACCCCCTGATGCAAGCGCTAGACGAAGAGTACCTCGACGTCGACGCACAACTCGGTGGTTTGGATCAGCGCAAGATCTTTACGTTTGCCTTGGAGAACCTACCAAAGATCGGTTACAAAGTCAGGTCGCATCTGATGCACTCGATGGTGGCCGGCTTAGGAGAGGCACAAAAGATGAGCTCTAGCGAACCGGATTCCAAGATCGATTTACTAGATTCCCCCGACACGGTGTCCAAGAAGTTGAAAAAGGCCGTGTGTGTGCCTAAGAAGGTTGAAGGCAACGGTGTTTTGGCCTTCGTAGAGCATGTTATCTTCCGGGTGGTATCCATAAAGACTGGAGGAAAGCCTCACTTTACAGTCGAGAGACGAGAAGGAGAACCCCTTATCTACGACGAAATTGAAAAATTAAAGGCAGATTATGAGGCAGACATAGTAAGTGACCCCCAATTAGTGTGATATTAGTGTGATATTTCTGCATAATACTAAACGCCATACAGCTCACTCCCCAGCTTCTAAAGGCTGCTTTGACAAAAGCGCTGAACGAGCTCTTAGACCCTATCAGGAGCGAATTTGAGGCATCGGAGGAATGGCAGAAGATTGCAGAGCTAGCTTACCCGTCAGAAGAAAAGCAGCAAAAGGTGAAGAAGCAAAAGGACAAGGGCGACCCAGCTAAGCGTGCAGCTGCGCTCGCGGCGAAGGCGGAACAATTGAAGTTGAAGGAGGGTGGAAGCGAAGAGTCGAAATAAAACCTATGATACCTCGTAGCAGTATTGGTAGATTTGATGCTAACCCATAAAATGGAGTCTTGCATTTTCTTGGAGCCCTTGGAGCCCTTGGAGCCGATAGATGAATACCATGGTCATTACAAGAAATTTTTTTTTTTTGTTTATTCTGCTTTTTTGGAAGTGTTTGTCAAGGAAAGAAGTTGACCAAGTTCTATAAGATAGAATCTATATAAAGACTTGTCTCCTACAGTACGGTAGGTACATACATAAGCTATACATAGGTACCTACCTAGGTACTTATGTAGTGATCATATCTTTTATAATGATAAAATAGGGTCCGCACGGCGAATTCAATATTCCCCTGCCGAATTTATTTTGACCAATCAACATCCAGCGCACTTTGCTGCTCGCGCATTCTACGCCAAAAAAAAAGTGACGGGAGCTATGAAATAGTCTCTTATACCCATTTCGATATCGAGGTATCCCATTCCACAACCATTATGCTACGACCTAGATTACGGATACCAAGGGTGAGTCGGTTATGGCGTCCAGTACCATCGTTCCGTTCAATACACCACGTTCCTAGCCTAGACATCAACCCAGAGGAGGGAGTCCCCGGGTTACTATCTCCAGGAGGCTTCGACTTCGCATGGACCCAATACCAGCAGCTTGTTGTAGAGAGACTCAATATTTTAATAGCTGGTACGTCAATCAATCAATATCATTACAGAGATCGGGAGGCTGGAGGCTGGAGGCTGGAGGCCGGAATAGCTAATTTTCAGTCGCTGTTTTGGTATTATGGGAAACAAAATACTCAATACTCTCCATTGCGTTTAAATAAACCGATTAAGGCATTGAGAGCTAACACCAGGATTAGGTAGCGATTATGAACAAGCTGAGGTCCTAACCATCCTTAAGTCAGCCGCGCGAGAGCCTTCACAAGCGCCTATCTTTAACTATGCATCCATGGCACATAACAACCATTTCTTCTTCAAGAATCTCAGCATCAATCCGGGCTCAGTGGGTAAGTCAAGAATATGGTACAGGAGAGAAGAAAATGGGAATATATTAACAATGTGCCCCAAGATCTTCCCGATGAAGAAAAGATCCCCCACCTACTAAAGCACGAGCTGTCAAGGCAATTCAGTTCGATCGAAACACTCCGTCTCGAATTTCTCGTCACGGCAATGGCCATGTTCGGGCCCGGATTCGTGTGGCTAGTCAAGAACGCGCAGTCAACCGAATTGCGCATTCTGACAACTTACTTAGCGGGGAGCCCGTACACGGCAGCTCACTGGCGACGCCAGGGTCTCGACATGAATACACAGAGCATTAGTGCAAATAGTCCGACCAAGAGCTTTCTAGAGCGCAGCCAGGCAGCAGTCGGCGGAGACAATGGCGGCAGATTCGTACCCCAGAGCCTGGCCGCGCCTGGTGGCACCGACGTCATCCCCCTTCTATGTTTAAATACGTGGGAACATGCGTGGCTACGAGACTACGGTATCGGCGCCGGTGGCGTAGGAGGAAAGAGGCAGTTCGTTGAGAACTGGTGGAAGGTCATCAACTGGACCAACGTTGAGAGCGCAGCGAACATCAAAAGACCCGAACTCAAGACATGATGAGGAAATAATTCGGTATGAACAAGGTGGAGACTTTCGCTCCCAGGCAGTTCGACTTGTATGATACTCAAAACGCCTTTCAAAAGTAAGGGAGGGCCATGTGCTATACACTCAAAATGTACATGATATTACCAAAAGGTAGTACGTCTTCAAAAGGTGGTAGACGAAGTGGACTGAGGTATGAATAAATATCCGATACTACCAAGCGCTCCGGAAATATTCTTTTATTATCCAAGATTCGGAATTGGGCGCTTGGATAATATCCTCCTGGCAGATTATTCAACAACCACCAAGTCTATAAGAGCAAACGTGAATCGCGAACGTATTTGTATTTATTTTATTTATCAATCTTCCTTTTCCCGTAATTTTTCAAAAACTACCCTAATTTAATGATAACCTAACAAACATAACAGATAGGGAGTGTGTTGTTGGTATCTTAAGAGCCTATAGCCGCCTTCATCCGTCGACCATGAGCAATGAAAAAAAGTAAAACAAAAAAGGGCAAAATATCCAGTCAAAACCCCATGTTCGTACGCCTGGAATCAGGTATCATCTGTTGAAGCAGACAAGAAGAAATCAAACAAAAAAGTAAGTGCGGGCTCGCTCGCAAACGGCTAACGCCTGGATATCATCAACCATCAACCCTGCCATTGCTATCGCAGCCCTCGTCTTTCGTCGTCTTTCGTCACCAATTACCGCACCAACATTTGCCATTTGCCATTTGCCATTCGTCATCATATCGTCAAAATCCAACTATTCGCCAGATCCGGGTTGGGCTGTAGTGCCCCTATATAGGTAAGACAAGGAGCGAGGGAAGCAATGCAAAGCAAAGCAAACGTAACTTCTGCGACACCCAGCTAGCTACCACCATAATACCTCGGCCTCGGTGGGAGGGAGGGAAGGAGGTGCGTATATAGGAAGTGGGAAGTGGGAAGTAGGAAGGGGTTGAAACGTAGTAGAAGAAAAAAAGAGAAAGAAAATATATGAAAAAAGATAGTCGGTGTGTGAGTGGAGGGGATGGATAGACAGGTTGGTATGTTAAACATGGCCGTCTATCCTAGATCATGTTCCCATTAACGCTAACCTCAAACCCCTCGCCCTTCTGCCTCAGCGCCTTGGCAAGCATCAGCTCGCGCATCCAATCGATCCTCTCGTCGCGGCTGCGCACCGCGAAATAATGCGTCTTCCCGGTGCCGTTCGCCGCGCCCTCGAACCCGGGGCCCGCAGCAGGCATCAGCGGGCCGGACCCGATGCTCTGGCTCTCCCGCTTGCGCAGCCGCGCGCTCATCATCCCGCCGCCGCCGGCCCTCGCCACGCTGTCCTGCGGTATCAGCTGGAAGCTAAACGCGGCGACCGAGTCCGAGTCGGCGGCCGAGGGGCTGCGGCCGTGCTTCGACCGGCTGATGTTCATGGCTTTGAAGGCGGCGTTGAGCTTGGACCCCGTCGACAGCGAGGAGCACGCGATGGCGTAGTCGTCGATGTCGATGTACTCGAGGGCGCGGGACCGCGTCGCGGCGTCCCGGTGCAGGGCCAGGCGCGTGCCCTTCAGCGTCGCGTACTGGTCGTGCCATTCGTGGCGCAGCATGCGCGTCTTGCGCTTCTTCACCGGGCCCTGGTAAGTAATGCCCTCGGCGTCCTTGACGACGGGCGGGGACCGGGGGCCGGCGATGCCGCCGACGGAGGAGGAAGAGGTGTGCAGGGGCGGGAGGGCGCGCTCGAAGGCGCCGCGCGACGAGGTGGGCGACCAGGGGTATTGCGCGCGGGGAGGGGCTTGGAGAGGCTGCTGGGGGCGGGCGGGGACTTTGGGGGGAGAGGAGGATTTGGGGGAGATGGAGTGGTGAGGGAATCGGGGGGTGATGCGGCCGACGGGGGTGGTGATGGAGTCTTCCTCTACGGGCGCCAGGGACGGGCGCCGCGAAGCTCGGGATTGGGACCGCGGCCCTTGGGCTGCGGGGCCCGCGCGGTAGTTCATGTCAGGCGGGACGGATTGAGAAGCGTCTCGGGCGACGGGGCCTAGTTGTACGGCTGTTAAGGGCACGTCCATGTCTGAGAAGGGAGTGCCGAATCGGTAAGGGGCGTTTTGTAGATCGGGGGATAGAGCCTCGGCTCTCTCCATCCGTTGCGGGTAGTGGTACTGGGAGGGCTGCGGTGTCCGATTGGCGTCGACACGTAATTGTTGCGATTGGCGCTGAAGCGGCGGCTGCTGCTGCTGTTGTTGTTGTTGTTGTTGTTGTTGTTGTTGTTGTTGTTGTTGTTGTTGTTGTTGTCCCGGGATAGAAAGCTTAGGCAGAGCACGCAGGCCCTCGTGAGGCCCTCGCGGCAATATCTCGAAGGGAGGCGTGGGCGGAACTTCGCTGGAGCACGCACCGTCGTCCTGGTGTTGGAAGTCGAGGAACTGGCGCACGTTGTCCAGGGGGTCTCGTGTCTGAAGATTGCGAAGGGCGGCTTCCCGCAGGTACTGGAAAGGGGACATGCCGGGACCGAGAACGTCCGAGGACGCGACTACTGAGGGCACGGCATCAGACATGGGCCGCAGCGCCTCAGTGGAGGAGGGACGGTTAATAGCCGGTGCAGTCTCTGGGTTTCCTGGGTCCCCGGCGACCATGATAATGCCGCCCTGGTCGACGTCTACGAACGGGTGGTCTTTTTTGAAGGCTTCGATCATCCGCTGCTGTCTCCTGTACTTGGAGCAGTTTTCGCCTTTGGAGCAGTGATGTGGCTTCGGCATCATCTGCTCGATTCCGACGATGGATACCGATTCAAGGGGCGAGATGATATCTTCGTGGGAAGGATTTTTCTTGCTGTGGCTTCGCTTGAGGCTCTTGGAACGCTTGACGCTTCGGCTACGATGCTCCCCACTCCCATCTTCCGGTCTCTGTTCTCTTCTCCGTTCCCTCCTCACCTCCTTGCTCTCCTCCTCTTCTATCGGGGTATCGAGTCTAGGCGAGGATACAGCAACAGCAGCAACAGCCGCCGCCGCTTTGCTATCCCGCAGGACGTGAATCTCCTCCCATACTTTAGTCCGAACTCCGAAAGATTGGATATTCAATTCTCGTAGATCCTCGAACTTTAGCGTAATTAAGATAGCCCCGTTGATGTCGTTTTCGACGAATTTCTCGGCGATTGAGACTTCAATGCCAGCATTAAGCATCCATTGCGCCACCTTCTCCGGCGTCCACATTGCTAGGTTACCCGGATCTAATTTCTCGTGCGTGAACTGGAACGGGCTGTTCCGAGATCGAGGTGGCGTCGGCTCATAAGTAAGAGCAAACCGATGGTCCGCTTCTAATGGTTTGGCTGTCTTGGGTGTTATTGGCGATAGGCTGAGGGCTTCTTGGTATTCAAACGAGTTCAATGACGTTGTTATGGAGGCTCGGAATAGATGCGGTCCTCTTGGTCCCTCCACCGGCTTCGACGAGTCGAAGCTAAACGGAAACGCATTCCGAGCTCTGCTCGACCTAGGCGTTTGTACTTCATCGTATGACGATATTGTTGTAAAACTGGGCTGGCCCGACTAGTAATTGGGTTAGTAGCGAACGCCACCAAGCGATATATCGGGTTGGGGTTTTCGTGGGCTTACCGAATTTAAACTTATTCGTGGTGAGTCTGGATCGTCATCTTCTATCTCGCTAACGATATCGTCTTCTTCTTCTTCATCCCAATCGGTATCTACAAATTCAGTCGCTACTGAGATGGGGCGCGGATCGTATCCTTTTAGACCGAAGAAAGGGTCATGTAATTGATTCTTCTGGCGCATTTCTCTATGCGATCGCTCGCTTGCTCTGAGCGACAGCGTATTCTACAGCAACGAGAGTCAGCCACTGCTGCTTAAGATGCGGGTAAATCCGGGGTAGAGGTAGAGGTAGATGACTACAGCCGGGAACTAATAAGCTTACCATTTTGAAAAATAGAAAAGGGATAAATGCAAAAATATGCGCTTTTTTAGTATCTGCTGTTGCCGTTGCCGTTGCCGGCCTTACGATTCTCTTCCTCTCCGTCTAAACCAAGGGGTATACGAGATTATGCGAATACTAAAAGGAAATAACCTCGCTGTGAGCAGTCGAGGGACAGGTTTGACGTCGCAAAGGAGAGAGGAAACGGACGAAAGTACAGCGTGGGCGCCTGCGGGACGTATATGTACGGGGTATACCGGTATAGTATATGGTAGTATATGGTAGTATATGGTGTAGTATAGCCCCGGATCGCAAGAGACACCTACCTATGTATGCACCTATGCAGGAGATGTGATTTGTTTCTCGGGACTTCACACAGCAGAGAGACACCGACCTAGAGCCACCTATTACAATGGCCTTGTCTATCACTAATAATAGCTCCGCGTCTGTATCTGTGTGTGCCTGTGTGTGCCTGTGTGCGAAGGTCCCAAATCCCACGAAGCCCAGAATGGTCCCCCACCGAATGCCCAGCGTTAAGGAACCCGAATGTAGAGGGCTGGAGGGCTGGTTGGACAAGACAGATGAGGTGTGCTAGAAAATAATTGGGACTTTCTAGAGTTGCCATTGGCTGTGATTTGCCACGACCCCGGCACATTTCCTTCTTCTAAGCGCCGGACAGCCTAAGCACGGATGAACAGGGATGAAGTTGTCCAAGTCCGCTTCACTTAGAACCTAATCAGGTATCGCCTCATGGTAACCGTTAGCAAAAGTGGCGCACTTTAAGAGTGAACGACTGCACGGAGGGACCAACATATCCATATCTTCATCGTCCATAAGGCCACAAAGGGGACCACAGGGACTCGAACGGGCGCCTCAAGACATAATACATATGGATGTTGGGCATCCCTTACAGTTGGGGCCGTTGGGGCCATGCAAAAATCCAATTCACATCTCGATCTTTCTCCGCAATAAGCTGTGCAATGTAGCAGCAGTCCCAGGTACCACCGCGACTCCTCGTGCTACGGGTGAAGCCCGCGCTACTGCATACCTAACTACGTCTATCCCATCAATCATTAATCCAGATGCAATCCAGATGTTTCTTGATCTACATGCGGAAGCGGTCAGAGGTGAGTGAGTGACTTTCTCTTGTTTGTGATCCTTGAGAAGCCCACAAGACCGGCCTATCGTGAGAGACGGGGCGGATCAAGTTCAATCGATCCTCTAAGCTAGGAGCCGGGATACGATAAACCCGCTCGAATGATCGCCGACAGCATTGGGCATTTAGCATTAGCATTAGCAAAATTAACAGTAAGCGTTAGCGGATTCGCCCCAAGTCGGTCTGCAAGCCTGCAAGCCTGCAAGCCTGCGGTTTGCGCTCTGCATTTTGTGCTCTTGCGTTCTGCACATGCTTATGCTC